TGGGAGGGTTGCGAGCATCATCAGTTATCGGCGCTCGCGAATGAAGAGCGCCCGCTGCACTTCCTGCACATGTGCGGATCCTTCCGCGTTTTGGGGGTGGAAGCGCTCGTTCCGAGTGGCTGCGCTTGTCTGGGCCTATTACCAAGCCAGCAAGGGCGTGGAAGGGTTGAGAGCATCATCGGTCATCGGCGCTCGCGAATGAAGAGCGACTGCTGCATTTTCTGCACATGTGCGGATCCTTCCGCGTTTTGGGGATGAAAACGGTCGTTCCAACCGTTCTTCTGTTCGGTCACGCGGGTGTGTGCGTTTGGACCTTCAGGGTTTAGAGTTTAGCTTTCCTCCGTCCTTGCCGCTTTACACTTGCTAGATTCCAAGTTCCTGTTTTTTAGTTCTACTTCCCACTCAAGCAATTCGTAAAAATGTCGGAGATACGGAGTTGTGGTGTCTCTTTGACTGTAGACACCTCTGCATGGACAGTTCTAACGTCTTTCAAGACTACTTACTGGTACAATAAGCATCCTGTCTCAGTGTGCTCAGATGGCCCAGCATAGTTAAATGACATTGTATTGTCAACCGCACAGAGGGGTGCATGTATGTGCTACTTGCAACATGTGTCCTTACCCAAAGCCAAATACCTTGAGGCCTTCAGGTCAGGTCAGTAAAATGCTCACAACTACCGTATCACACAATCAAGACAAGACAGAATAATCGTCCAGGGCTGCTCTCGGTCAAAACATCCGGTGGGGGAATGCTCGACTAAATAAAAGACTCCCAACTCAGCGGTTGGGCTGACAGCAAGTAGTGCTGAGGAGTAAATACATACACATGTCATCTCCATTTGGAAGGAGCACTGGTACCTTATTTCTCCTTGAGAGCCGCAATCTGTTTCTTAAGAGCCTCTTTCCGTTTCATGTTTTCATACAGCTTGGCCTGGTACCCCGTCAGGTCTGTCTTCTCCTTCTCCTCCTGCGGAGGAGGCTTCTTCCGTGCTGCATGTGCACTCTGGGGCAGAGCCAATGCGCCGAGAAGTGCCGCCCCAGACACAGCCACAAGCGCCCTGCAGCGGCATGAGGAAGTGATTCACGTTAATGACCTTGCCAAAATTCCTGGGGCAAAATTTATGAGGGGTATATTGCTCTTCTAACGATGCGTGCACTATTGAGGTGGAATGCTCAAGTCGAGAGACTATCTGACACAGATTAGAGGGGTCGTGGGGGTGAGGGAAGAAGGCTACTAAAAGAGCGTTACCTTCTGGTAGTGACATCCTCGTTTGAAGCCTGACACCTCCATCCAACGATCCGATGACTGGCAGGTGCCGGACGCACGGACTTGGCTTCCAGCCGAATTCCAGCGAGCTCTGGCGCCGTCAGCGTCGTGCAAGCCGGCGTGGAAACAAGGATAGACGCGGCCATGATTGGAAAATTTGGCGTTACGCCGACAGCTGAACTAGGAACTAGTGCGCCTGGGAGGGTAAGCGCGGTCTAACCAAGAGCGCTTGAACAGGAGTTAGAGGGTGAGCGAAGATCAATGGCTGCAGAAACATTTTTGCTTGTAAATAGGCACGAGCTGAAGCAAAATGCTCCGGTAGAATGTGAATTCCGAGCCACGTCAACCGAAGCCTAGTCAGCCGAATCTATGGGATTTGGCGGGAGAATATATGCTGCTGTCGTGGCGCAATCTTTGTACTGATTGACGTGGACCAAGTAGCTGTTGACATGGTGTTGACGCGGACTATGGTGTCAACTGAGTGTCCAGCTGATTACGCACTTTCCAGTGTGCATTCATCGAAAAAATCCGCGATAAGGGAGGCCCTCCACACATACCAGAATGGAGTAGAGTCACAATGTCTGTGTCATATTCTTTTGTTGCCTCTTCTTGTTCTTTGCAGTAATGAACTATTACCAGCATGCGCCAATTAATCTAACTATCCTAATGTTTCAGTGGAAAACAGAAAATCGATTACAGAGGGAAAATATCAGTGGCGGGTATGACCGTATCATAGGTAAAAATGCATTACAATGTACGATAGTCTTAACAGTTTTCCAGTTCACTTGTAGATCCATTCTATTTTCGCTCACAGCTTGAATGTGTTCCTCGATAACATACTCGCATTGCAGGCCTCTTGGTTGAAAGAGCATCTGAATCTGACGAGACGCAGCAAGACCCAAGCTTCCAGCTACTTGACTCTGCTGCTATTATCCTGCCTGCCTGCTCGCCTGCTCGCCTCCTCGCCTGCTCGCGTCAGGTTATTCGATCCACTCGCTCGCGAATTTCCACGGATCGGATCTCGGAAAACGTTGTGATCTTCGCAAGTGCAATTATTGACCTGAGCTTTTGCTAAGGTTTCGCCATGGCGGGAATGGGAATGATGGTAAGTGAATCTGCTACAGCGAAGCGCTTACCAGCTAGCAGGCTGACGGTGATCTCGAAGATCGATAGGCGTAGTCTGATTTCCTTACTCGCAGTTGGGCTGTCTCAAGTGATTATGCTATCGGGTGAACGACAATTCAGGATTTGGGGTATCAGGGCTCACGGCTCAGGCGCTTAAGGCTCAGGGCTCACGATGTGCGCTGTTAGGATCAGTGAGCTTGCCGATTTGTTAGATTTCATATCACTTGACTCGCCTCTTTTCCCTTGTCGCCCTTGCCTTTGTCCGATCTTCCATCTGACACCCAACAGCAACCGCAGATCATCCTCCTTAAAGACGGAACCGATACTTCGCAAGGCAAGCCGCAGCTGATCAGCAACATCAACGCGTGCCTAGCTGTCGTGGACACGATCCGCACGACGCTGGGTCCACGTGGCATGGATAAGCTGATCCACGACGAGCGCGGCAACACCACCATCTCCAACGACGGAGCAACCATCCTGAAGTTGCTCGAGATCGTGCATCCCGCCGCGAAAACCCTCGTGGACATCGCCAGATCGCAAGACGACGAGGTACGTCCGAGGTGGTTTGATTTGATGTGCGGCCAGTGTGTGGTTATGATATGTTGCTAGTGGTTCAGGTCTGTTACCTTTTCTCTAGGAGTCATTTGGCGGCGAAAACCCCGACAAACTTGCCAGATCCGTAAGATCGCCAGAGGTTTAAGCGAGGGAGGGGGATTTAGACAAAGGAGGGGAATTTGGGTGAGGGAAGGAGGGTAGGCGAGGGACGGGAGACTTGTCGACCGCCATCCTGCGTTTGACTCAGAATTCGCGGCGACTGATTTGGGATTCGCCATATACCGACTGAGGATTTGCCTGCGACTGACTGAGAATTCGCCTGCGACTGATTTCGAATTTTCCTTCGAGATGGTTACCGGGGGATAGGGGATGGGGTGAGAGCGGATGAATGGTAAAGGGACTGGTTAACTGTCAGTGTGAGCGGATTGGTTGGATACATGCAACCGAACCGAGATTTTCCCTGCGGCTGACTCGGAATTCTCCCGGCCCTCTTTTCACACCACCTCTCTTCTTAGACCCTTCATCAGGTGGAAGAATGCCCGCCTGACGACACTGACACTACTGGCAGGCGAGTTCCTGCGGCAGGCCAAGCCGCCTCTCTTGCTGTGTTGTTCCTCTCTCATTGCTTCCCTCTTCGCTTCCCACACCGGCCTTCTTTTCCTTCCACCCATCAGGTGGGCGATGGCACGACGACGGTCACATTGCTGGCAGGCGAGTTCCTGCGGCAGGCCAAGCCGTTCGTGGAGGATGGGGTGCATCCGCAGCTCATCTGTCGCGCCTTCCGCGCGGCTGCGCGCCTGGTAAGCGCCCTGGCCCTGACCTTTTGCTGGTAAGAGCCCGTGCCGTCTAGCTGTTTCTCGTTCCGCGCACGCATGAGAGCAGATCGAACAAGTGTGCGGTTTTTGAGGGGGGTCAAAACTGTCGAATCTTCTTAAATGCACGCGTTTTCTTGCTGCTTTTGCCTTCTGCTGACCAACCAGGCCGTGGAGAAGGTTAGAGAAGTTGCGATCTCCATTGAAGGCAAGGGCGACGAGGAGAAGCGGGAGCTGCTGCGCAAGTGTGCGGCGACCACGCTGAGCTCCTCCTTTTCTCTTGTTCTCCCACTGTGTCTCCTGGTGTTGCCGACTCCTATGGTTTGGACAGGCGGTTGAGAAGGTCAGAGAAGTGGCGATTTCGATCGAGGGCAAGGGCGACGAGGAGAAGCGAGAGCTGCTGCACAAGTGTGCGGCGACCACGCTGAGCTCGAAGCTGGTGGGCGGCGAGAAGGACTTCTTCGCGCGCATGGTGGTGGACGCCGTGTGCAGCCTTGATGAGGACGTACCCCTGCACATGATCGGCATCAAGAAGGTGTGTGTAGGGGGAAGACGGGGAGAAGAGAGGGGGAAGGACGGGGGGAATTTGCGGGAAGGAGGGTTGAAGACGGGGGGGAAATCTCAGGAGCAGCCATGTTCGGGAAGCCGTTAGGTGGGGGTAGAGCTGAGCTCGAAGCTGGTGGGCGGCGAGAAGGACTTCTTCGCGCGCATGGTGGTGGACTCCGTGTGCAGCCTTGATGAGCATGTTCCGCTGCACGTGATCGGCATCAAGAAGGTGCGATGCACACCTTGATATCCCAGCACTCATGAGGGGACAGGATGCAGAGAGGTGTGTCTTCGCGCGCATGGTGGTGGACGCCGTGTGCTCCCTGTACGAGGACGTGTTTTTTGAGAATTCTCAAAAAAAGACGCCGTGTGCTCCCTGTACGAGGACGTGCCGCTTCACATGATCGGCATTAAGAAGGTGGGGGAGGGTGGGATAGGCAGGAGGGCACTTGAGTAGAGAGGCTGAGTTGAGTGTGCCCGCCCGACTTGGGCGTGCCACCCACGCTGGCGCACCTGCTTCCCCCCCCCCCACCATGCATCCCCTCCCTCGCAGGTCCCAGGAGGGTCAATGCGAGACTCCTTCTGATGATGGACGTCGCGTTCAAGAAGACCTTCGCCTATGCGGGTTTCAAGCAGCAGCCCAAGCTATTCCATCCCTTTCCCCATGTATCCTCTCCCCTCTCTCTCAGGTTCCAGGCGGGACAATGCGGGACTCCTTCCTGGTAGAGGGAGTGGCCTTCAAGAAGACCTTCTCCTACGCGGGCTTCGAGCAGCAGCCCAAGCGATTCGAGTCCCCCAAGATCCCATTTCTGAATATCGAGCTGGAGCTCGAGTGAGAAGGAGAACACACAAGCAGCGACCCCAGGATCCCCCCTTCTGACTCAACTACCTGGCATACCCACCCACTCTGACGCTCCTGCTTTTTTTCCTTCCCCCATCCATCACCTGTCAGGTCCCAGGTGGGACAATGCGGGACTCCTTCCTGGTAGAGGGAGTGGCCTTCAAGAAGACCTTCTCTTACGCGGGCTTCGAGCAGCAGCCCAAGCGATTCGAGTCCCCCAAGATTCTCCTCCTGAACATCGAGCTGGAGCTGAAGAGTGAGAAGGAGAACGCGGAGGTGCGGCTGTCGGACCCATCGCAGTACCAGTCGATTGTGGACGCGGAGTGGAATATCATCTACTCCAAGCTGGACAAGTGTGTGCAGAGCGGGGCAAAGATTGTCCTGTCTCGTCTCGCCATCGGCGACCTGGCAACCCAGGTGAGCAGGGGAATTCAGAGGTGTGGGTGTCGGGCTTTCTCCGCCGCAGTACTAGTCGATCGTGAACGCTGAATGGAGTATCAAACTCCAAGCTGGACAAGTGCGTGCAGAGCGGGGCGAAGATCGTGCTTTCCCGCCTCGCGATCGGCGATCTGGCCACTCAGGTAAGGATGGGAATGGGGGAGCAGAGAGAGGGAGCAGAGAGGTGAGATGGGAGTGTGGCAGTGGACGCGGAGTGGAATATTATCATCTCCAAGCTGGACGAGTGTGTTCAAAGTGGTGCCAGAATTGTGCTGTCGAGGCTCGCGATGGGGGATCTTGCCACTCAGGTGAGCAGAGAGGGGGAAGGGGAGGGGGGGAACTGGGGAATGTGGCAGTGGACGCGGAGTGGAACAGCATCTACTCCAAGCTGGACAAGTGTGTGCAGAGCGGCGCCAAGATCGTGCTTTCGAGGCTCGCCATTGAGGGGAGGAGGGGAGAACCAGGTGTGCGTAGAGTGGGGGAAGAGGGGAGAACCAGGTGTGCGTAGAGTGGGGGAAGAGGGGAGAACCAGGTGTGCGTAGAGTGGGGGAAGAGGGGAGAACCAGGTGTGCGTAGAGTGGGGGAAGAGGGGAGAACCAGGTGTGCGTAGAGTGGGGGAAGAGGGGAGAACGGGTAGAGGGGAAAGGGAGAGGAGAAAACAGGTGGGGATGCGAGGCCAGGTCGCCTCATGCGCACGAGGATATGGGTTCGAACCGCAGCAAACGGGTGGGGATGCGAGGCCTGGTGGGGATGCGAGGCCTGGTGGGGATGCGAGGCCTGGTGGGGATGCGAGGCCTGGTGGGGATGCGAGGCCTGGTGGGGATGCGAGGCCTGGTGGGGATGCGAGGCCTGGTGGAAGGGGAGAGGGGAAAGGGAGAGGAGAAAACAGGTGGTTATGCGAGACCCGGTGGAAGGGGCTGAGGCTGTGAGGAGGGCAACGTGGAGGTACAGGTGTCGGACCTATTTGTCTATGTGGATCCTGAAAACAACTCCAAATCCCACTCCCTTGTCCCTTACCCTGGCAGTACTTTGCGAATCAGGACATCTTCTGTGCGGGGCGCGTGGCAGAGGATGACATGCAGCGCATGGCCAAGGCTACTGGAGGGGCTGTGCAGACCACCTGAAGGAATGAACTCTTTTTCACACCCTCTCTTCCTTCTTCCCCCTCCCTCTCCCCCCTCCTCCCCCTGGCAGTACTTTGCGGATCGGGACATCTTCTGTGCGGGGCGCGTGGCAGAGGACGACATGCAGCGCGTGGCCAAGGCTACAGGGGGAGCCGTGCAGACCACTGTGAACGACCTCATCCCTGATGTGAGTGCTCCCGTGTGTGTGGTGCAATACGGGGATGCCTCTCCTCTCTGCTGCCACCACCACTTCTTGCACATTCTTCCAGTGCCTTTGGTGCAATTGTAACATTTGGGATGTCACCCACTGCTAGCTAACTACCGCGCACCCTTCCCAACCTCTTCTCCCCCGCTTCCCCGCCTTTCCCTTCCCACCTCCAATCCCCCTCCCTTCTTATGTCTGGCGCAGGTTCTCGGAAGCTGCGCGCTGTTTGAGGAGAGGCAGGTGGGCAACGAGCGGTACAACCTCTTCACTGGCTGCTCCAACGCCAAGACTGCCACCATCGTGCTGCGAGGAGGGGCGGACCAGGTGGGTGGATGGGGGGTGATGAGGCAGGAGAGGAATGTATGGCGGTGAATGGCAGCGAATGGCAGCGATGTGGGCAGGTAGGCAGGTGGGCAACGAGCGGCACAACCTCTTCACTGGCTGCTCCAATGCCAAGACCGCCACCATTGTGCTGCGTGGAGGAGCAGACCAGGTGGGTGCTGCTTTGCTGGACAGGGAAGGACCGGCAGAGGGAAAGTAGTGATGTGGGTGGGTGTGAGGCAGGTGGGCAACGAGCGGTACAACCTCTTCACCGGCTGCTCCAACGCCAGGGAGGGGGTGGACAAGGTGTGAGTACTGAGCGTGAGGCTTCTCCTCCTCACAACCCCCCATAGCATGGCGCCTCCTCCTCACAACCCCCCATAGCATGGCGCCTCCTCCTCACAACCCCCCATAGCATGGCGCCTCCTCCTCACAACCCCCCATAGCATGGCGCCTCCTCCTCACAACCCCCCATAGCATGGCGCCTCCTCCTCACAACCCCCCATAGCATGGCGCCTCCTCCTCACAACCCCCCATAGCATGGCGCCTCCTCCTCACAACCCCCCATAGCATGGCGCCTCCTCCTCACAACCCCCCATAGCATGGCGCCTCCTCCTCACAACCCCCCATAGCATGGCGCCTCCTCCTCACAACCCCCCATAGCATGGCGCCTCCTCCTCACAACCCCCCATAGCATGGCGCCTCCTCCTCACAACCCCCCATAGCATGGCGCCTCCTCCTCACAACCCCCCATAGCATGGCGCCTCCTCCTCTCAACCCCCCATAGCATGGCGCCTCCTCCTCACAACCCCCCATAGCATGGCGCCTCCTCCTCACAACCCCCTATAGCATGGCGCCTCCTCCTCACAACCCCTCTTAGCATGGCGCCTCCTCCTCACAACCCCCATAGCATGGCGCCTCCTCCTCACAACCCCCCATAGCATGGCGCCTCCTCCTCACAACCCCCCATAGCATGGCGCCTCCTCCTCACAACCCCCCATAGCATGGCGCCTCCTCCTCACAACCCCCCATAGCATGGCGCCTCCTCCTCACAACCCCCCATAGCATGGCGCCTCCTCCTCACAACCCCCCATAGCATGGCGCCTCCTCCTCACAACCCCCCATAGCATGGCGCCTCCTCCTCACAACCCCCCATAGCATGGCGCCTCCTCCTCTCAACCCCCCATAGCATGGCGCCTCCTCCTCACAACCCCCCATAGCATGGCGCCTCCTCCTCACAACCCCCCATAGCATGGCGCCTCCTCCTCACAACCCCCCATAGCATGGCGCCTCCTCCTCACAACCCCCCATAGCATGGCGCCTCCTCCTCACAACCCCCCATAGCATGGCGCCTCCTCCTCACAACCCCCCATAGCATGGCGCCTCCTCCTCACAACCCCCCATAGCATGGCGCCTCCTCCTCACAACCCCCCATAGCATGGCGCCTCCTCCTCACAACCCCCCATAGCATGGCGCCTCCTCCTCACAACCCCCCATAGCATGGCGCCTCCTCCTCACAACCCCCCATAGCATGGCGCCTCCTCCTCACAACCCCCCATAGCATGGCGCCTCCTCCTCTCAACCCCCCATAGCATGGCGCCTCCTCCTCACAACCCCCCATAGCATGGCGCCTCCTCCTCACAACCCCCTATAGCATGGCGCCTCCTCCTCACAACCCCTCTTAGCATGGCGCCTCCTCCTCACAACCCCCCATAGCATGGCGCCTCCTCCTCACAACCCCCCATAGCATGGCGCCTCCTCCTCACAACCCCCCATAGCATGGCGCCTCCTCCTCACAACCCCCCATAGCATGGCGCCTCCTCCTCACAACCCCCCATAGCATGGCGCCTCCTCCTCACAACCCCCCATAGCATGGCGCCTCCTCCTCACAACCCCCCATAGCATGGCGCCTCCTCCTCACAACCCCCCATAGCATGGCGCCTCCTCCTCACAACCCCCCATAGCATGGCGCCTCCTCCTCTCAACCCCCCATAGCATGGCGCCTCCTCCTCACAACCCCCCATAGCATGGCGCCTCCTCCTCACAACCCCCTATAGCATGGCGCCTCCTCCTCACAACCCCTCTTAGCATGGCGCCTCCTCCTCACAACCCCCATAGCATGGCGCCTCCTCCTCACAACCCCCCATAGCATGGCGCCTCCTCCTCACAACCCCCCATAGCATGGCGCCTCCTCCTCACAACCCCCCATAGCATGGCGCCTCCTCCTCACAACCCCCCATAGCATGGCGCCTCCTCCTCACAACCCCCCATAGCATGGCGCCTCCTCCTCACAACCCCCCATAGCATGGCGCCTCCTCCTCACAACCCCCCATAGCATGGCGCCTCCTCCTCACAACCCCCCATAGCATGGCGCCTCCTCCTCACAACCCCCCATAGCATGGCGCCTCCTCCTCACAACCCCCCATAGCATGGCGCCTCCTCCTCTCAACCCCCCATAGCATGGCGCCTCCTCCTCACAACCCCCCATAGCATGGCGCCTCCTCCTCACAACCCCCTATAGCATGGCGCCTCCTCCTCACAACCCCTCTTAGCATGGCGCCTCCTCCTCACAACCCCCATAGCAGGGCGCCTCCTCCTCACAACCCCCCATAGCATGGCGCCTCCTCCTCACAAACCCCCATAGCATGGCGCCTCCTCCTCACAACCCCCCATAGCATGGCGCCTCCTCCTCACAACCCCCCATAGCATGGCGCCTCCTCCTCACAACCCCCCATAGCATGGCGCCTCCTCCTCTCAACCCCCCATAGCATGGCGCCTCCTCCTCACAACCCCCCATAGCATGGCGCCTCCTCCTCACAACCCCCCATAGCATGGCGCCTCCTCCTCACAACCCCCCATAGCATGGCGCCTCCTCCTCACAACCCCCCATAGCATGGCGCCTCCTCCTCACAACCCCCCATAGCATGGCGCCTCCTCCTCACAACCCCCCATAGCATGGCGCCTCCTCCTCTCAACCCCCCATAGCATGGCGCCTCCTCCTCACAACCCCCCATAGCATGGCGCCTCCTCCTCACAACCCCCTATAGCATGGCGCCTCCTCCTCACAACCCCTCTTAGCATGGCGCCTCCTCCTCACAACCCCCATAGCAGGGCGCCTCCTCCTCACAACCCCCCATAGCATGGCGCCTCCTCCTCACAAACCCCCATAGCATGGCGCCTCCTCCTCACAACCCCCCACAGCATGGCGCCTCCTCCTCGCAACCCCCCATAGCATGGCGCCTCCTCCTCGCAACCCCCCATAGCATGGCGCCTCCTCCTCACAACCCCCCATAGCATGACGCCTCCTCCTCACAACCCCCCATAGCATGGCGCCTCCTCCTCACAATCCCCCACAGCATGGCGCCTCCTCCTCGCAACCCCCCATAGCATGGCGCCTCCTCCTCACAACCCCCCATAGCATGGTGCCTCCTCCTCACAACCCCCCATAGCATGGCGCCTCCTCCTCACAACCCCCCATGGCATGGCGCCTCCTCCTCGCAACCCCCCATAGCATGGCGCCTCCTCCTCACAACCCCCCATAGCATGGCGAGCTGTGGTGAACACAAGTGCACACGTTTTCCCACTCCCCCCCACTCCCCTCCCCCGCTGTCCTCATTTGTTCCCTCCCTTCCGTTCACAGAAGAGGCAGAGCGCAGTCTGCCCGATGCCATCATGATTGTGACTCGAGCTAAAGTGCACCCCTGCCCTTTCTCTCCTTTTCTCCTTTCTTCACCTTTCGTTCCCCCATGCAGTTTATCGAGGAAGCAGAGCGCAGCCTACACGATGCCATCATGATTGTGAGGCGCGCCATCAAGAACGCTGCAGTGGTGCCCGGGGGAGGTGCCATTGATGTACGTGCCGTCTTTGTCCTTTCTGGGGGAGGTATTACTGATGTACTTAGGTCGAGTCTGGTGAGCCATCTCCAAGTCGTCCCAGGCCTCCATGACCACTCACCTCCCCCGTACTCTCCTCTACTCACATGCATGCCCCCTCTATTCTCCCTATCCCCTGCTCCTGCAAACCAGTTACATATTAATTTTATTTTTTATATTATTACAACCTACCTTTTTTTTGTCAGATGGAGATCAGCTGTCACCTGCATCTACATGCGCGCACCATAGCGGGCAATCAAATTCTCTTATTCCCATTCACCTCGCTCTCTCTATCTCCTTCTACACGCCTTCCCTCCACTCCACCTCCCCATCAGATGGAGATCAGCCGTCACCTGCGTCTGCATGCACGCACCATAGCGGGCAAGCAGCAACTTTTCATCAATGCATATGCGCGCGCGCTGGAGGTGGGTGGCATAGAATTTGAGTAATGGTGGGGTGCGGTTGTGTGCGGTGGTGGCGGGGGCAGGTACATGGCATTGACAATGATCTCTGCAGCAGTTTGCCCCCTCTTGTGCTGTCCTCCGTATGCCTCATGGTGCCTCATCCTCTGCCCTCGCTTTTTCTTCATCCTCTCTCATTTGTGTGATTATACACAGGTAATTCCACGCCAGTTGTGTGACAATGCAGGGTGCGACTCCACTGACGTTCTCAACAAGCTCAGGCAGAAACACGCCCTACTTTTGGGTTTGCTGCTCTTGCTCTCAGCTAATCATTCTGAGGCATTCTCTTCTTTCCTTGTATCTTCTGCCTTCCCCTGCAACCCTCACGAGTGCAGGTGATTCCACGCCAGTTGTGTGACAATGCTGGGTTTGACTCCACTGATGTGCTAAACAAGCTCAGGCAGAAACACGCGCTGCCTTCTGGTGAGTGGATTTTCAATTTGTCCATTCTAACTTTCACATACGTCCGAGAAATTGAAGAAACAATTCCTTTTTTCTGGTGCCGACCTTGATTTTGTGCTGTTGCATTCGAGAAATCTGAGAGTTGCGCACGTGGTGCCCTGTGGTTCTTGTCCGTTGATGCAGGCGAGGGGCAGCGTTTTGGAGTGGATGTGAATTCAGGCGGCATTGTCGACACGTATGCATCGTTCGTCTGGGAGCCAATTGTGGTCAAGGTGAGTCAATGCTGGTCAAGGTGAGTCAATGCTGGTCAAGGTTAGTCAACACTGGTCAATGCGAGTTTATTTCGGTCAAAGTTATATTTTGTAGTCAGCTTGAAGCGTGCTTATGAATAACAGGTGGGGTATGAGTACTGCTCTCCACAAACAAACCCACGTTTCTTCCTCCCCACTCCGTCTCTGCCCCTCCCTCAGGTGAATGCCATCACAGCAGCAACCGAGGCATCCTGTCTTGTGCTCAGTGTTGACGAGACAGTTCGCAACCCACGAGTGAGTTGGGGGGGAGGGGGAGGGGGTAATGAGGCTTATCTTTTGAAAAAATCGGAGGGGAAGGGAGGGAAAGGGAAACCACAAGCAAAGTAGATAGTGTTGTTTTGCGTATAGCACAATACTGCTGCTGCTCCTGTGCCATTTTTTCCCCATTTGCATCAATTTACTTCCTGTGCAGTCCGAGGCTGCACAAGACGGTGGAATGGGTGGCATGGGCAGAGGAGGAGGTGGGATGCGAGGGAGGGGCCGAGGCATGAGGCGGCGATAGTCTCAATAACTAGTCTCCTTATGTTCTATAGATGTATTGAGATCCAATATGCACGAAATATCCTACTTTGTAGTACAGTTGATAACCTAGGTGGTGCTTATGCATCCATCGCATAAGTGTCTTGCTTCAAATTTGACAAGAATTGCTTAGACAGGGTTCCGTGAGAAGCAAGTCTATGAGTTTTGCCTTACGCTGAGCTTCGCAAATGGCACCTGCTGGTTTCCAGGCATCCCGTCGCAGGTGCTTTTCGCCGCGCAGCTTGCCCTCCATCCCGAATCGCTAGCTGCTGGCTCCGTTCTTCGCGACTTGCGCCAGATTTTCCACTTCTCGCTTCGATCAATTCCAAACAAGAGGCATGTCCTGCCACCTGGGCAATGGACTGAGGGGGAGGCGGAACACATCTGCAGCATTCCCCCAGGGCCTTGGTCGCTCTCGCGCGCGGAGCGGAGTGAACACCTCCGAGTTTCTGGCTCGAAAAGCACATCAAGCCTGGCGGAAAAAGTCTAGGGAGTCCGGGCGCTATTCTTTCGGGGCGGAACTGCAATTGGGCAAGCAGTTTTCAAGGAGTGTGCTTATTGGTTTGAAGGCCCTATTTCTGGATGCGATGGTTTAGCTAAACATTTATGGAGCTTAGGAAAGTGGAGCTTATTGAAATTGTGAACTAACTTGTGAGACTTTGCTACTTGGAAATGAATCATTCGTTTGCGTGACACTGCTCTCCCTTCACGTGATTGGGATCATCCTGAGCTTCACTCTCCCTTATCCGCTGTCGGATACTATTCCTCTGCGTGGTGTTCCATTCCAATCCAGCCCTAATTTTGCGGCGATTCCTTCGCTTTCGAGAAATGTTACAACGCGGCTTGGATAGTACAATGGCGCGACCTATATCGTTATAGACCGCGGAGGCTTCGTAGAACTTTCATAAACGTCCGAATAGCGGCAATCTATCATGCCGCTCAACTTTATTCACTGTAGCATTTAGAAACATTTCCGTCTAATCTCGGTATCGCGACCCTTGCGGAGGGTCGCTGGTCAACTCGGGAAAGCAGCCATGCTCAAGCGGTTGATAGCCAAGGCCTTACCCGAGGTGTGTAGTCTATAAGTGACAAGGAAAGTCGGAATGCTACTTAACTATCAGAAGGAGTGTAGCTAACTAGTCGGTGGGTAGCGTCGTAAGGCAATGGCTGGCCAAGGAAGCAGTTTTGCCCTCCCGTCAATGCCCCGTAGCAAGTGCGAAACCCTAACATCGTTTCTTTCAAGACATAGCACCTGCGCTCGTTTTCCCGCATTCGTTCGTGTGACATTGTAGGTTTACAAATCGCGTGGTCACTGACTGTTTTTTCCTCCTCGGAGCGACAGATCGGCAGGCGCAGCAGATTGTGGTTCTAGGCCATTTTAGGGTTTCCTTTATCGTAGTTCTTACAGCAATGTCGGTAATATCGAAGCCGTCCGTAGCGCTATCCAATCCAGCTCTGGCCTGTAACCCTAATTCGAAGAGTCATTAATACTCTCCCCCGATACGCGCAGTCTAGCTGACACTAATGCAGGTTCTAGTTCCTTCGCGAATGCAGTTTGTACGGAGCTCTGCGTTTGTAGCTCATGACTGAGTATTAGCCTCAACGTTACAGTCAATATATCTCTGCATTCAGTCTCTTCCAATGATAAATTGTTGGAGACACAGCTTTATCGCATTAGCCTATCTAGCTCCGTCAATGTCCGTCGAAGCCTGGTGTTGCGCCCCGTTATAGAGTAGCGCGATATCGTTTTTCGATGAACCTCAGCTTCGCCGACGCAGTGTTTTCGTTTTTCTACTGTACAAGAACCAATGTGGCCCAGGAAGAGAATGCTGCTCGTAACAATGTGAGAATCCCTAACCTCGCCTCGTTATAAGCAGCATTCTCTGAACTCGCCTCGTTACAAGCAGCATTGCCTGACCTCGCCTCGTTATAAGCAGCATCCTCTCACCTCGTTTCGTTACGAGCAGTACCCTCTCACCTCGGCGTAAGACCGCGCTCAGAAGTCCTACTTCGTTTGCCATCTCGACATTTGCCTGGGATAATTCTCCTAGGGTTTCTCGACTGATGCTGTCCGATCAGACCCGTGCAACACGGCGCGCCTGGCGCTGCGCTTCCTCACACGCACATTCCGTTTTCCCATCCTCGCCAATTCCCCGCCTCTCCATCTCCCCAACACTCATCCTGCTCTGCAAATCTCCCCCCCCTCATTCCCGGTCACTCTCCCCCGCTCACCACCCCCTCAGCACAGTCGTCCCGTTTTTCTCCCCCTCCCCAACCCCCCTCCCCCCTTCCCCCTCCCCTCTCCACCCCCACTCGTTTTCCCGGCCAGTCCGTGCCTGCGGGGAGCCTGAGAGCGGCGCATCTCGAGCCGCGGCTGGCCGTGCATCACGGCGTGCCTGGCGCTGCTTCCGTGCTCGCCTACGATCCCGTGCAGCGGCTGCTCGCAGTGGGAACGCGGTAAGGGAACTCCGATACAAGTGTTAGGAAGGAGCGCGTATAGAGAGTGCAGCGGCTGCTGGCAGTGGGGACGCGTGTAGAGAACTCCGATATAAGCATTAGGATGAGCTCGTATAGAGGGAATGCTGGGGCTGCTTGCAGGAAAAAGGGATTACCGGCAATGCAGGGCCGGCCGTGTATGCCTCGCCTATGCTCCAGTGCAGCGGCGGCTGCTGGCAGTGGGGGCGAAATGGGGGATATGATGGTGGTGGTGTGGAGGAGAAAGCTAAGGAGGCAAGCAAGAAACTGGAGGATGAGGTTGTGTGTGTGTGTGGTCTCCGCTGGCGATTCCGTGGTGGGGACGCATCGAGGAATGGCCCATGGCATGGCATGGCATGGCAACATGATGGTATGATGGTTTTGATGGTATATGGCATGATGGCGTGACGTTCAAAGGCCTGTTCTTGTCCCTCCACCACCCCCCTTTCCCCTCAAATCCCACCAGGGATGGGCGCATCAAGGTGTTCGGGAACGATGGCATCGAGGCGCTGCTCTGCTCGCCTGCCCATGTGACATCCAACCATCTCTTCCCTTCCCTCTTTCCTCCCAATGGACTCTCCTCTCCCTCATCCCTTCAAAATCCCTCTCCCACTTCCCACTGGGGATGGGCGCATCAAGGTGTTCAGGCATGATGGCATTGAAGCTCTGCTCGCCTGCCCATGTGACATCCAACCATCTCTTCTCTTTCCCATCTCCTCTCCACCCACTTCCCCCCCACTCCCCACCAGGGATGGGCGCATCAAGGTGTTCGGGCACGATGGCATCGAGGCGCTGCTCTGCTCCCCTGCCCATGTGACATCCAACCATCTCTTCCCTTCCCCCTCTCCACCCACCTCCTCCCAGGGATGGGCGCATCAAGGTGTTTGGGCATGATGGCATCGAGGCGCTGCTCTGCTCGCCTGCCAAGGCCGCGTGCAAGTTCCTCGAGGTCAGCACCGTTCTGCACCTTACCGCACCTTGACGCACCTTCTCTTCTCTCCCTTTGCCGCCTCAGTGAACCACGGGGTTGCCTCAAAAGTAACTTAAGTGAGCACCTGTAAGCACATTCCATTCCCCGAATTCACTGCCTGCTCAACCTCCTCCTCCTCCTCAGCCCCCCTTCTCCACCTCTCCTCCGCCCCACCCTCAGAGAAGTCATCATGCTTATTCTCCTCATCTCACTTTTGAGTCGACTCAAAAGAAGTTATCATGCTTATTCTCCTCACCTCACTTTTGAGTCGACTCAAAAGAAGTCATCATGCTTATTCTCCTCACCTCACTTTTGAGTCGACTCAAAAGAAGTCATCATGCTTATTCTCCTCACCTCACTTTTGAGTCGACTCAAAAGAAGTCATCATGCTTATTCTCCTCACCTCACTTTTGAGTCGACTCAAAAGAAGTCATCATGCCTATTCACCTCACCTCACTTTTGAGTCGACTCAAAAGAAGTCATCATGCTTATTCTCCTTACCTCACTTTTGAGTCGACTCAAAAGAAGTCATCATGCTTATTCTCCTCACCTCACTTTTGAGTCGACTCAAAAGAAGTCATCATGCTTATTCTCCTCACCTCACTTTTGAGTCGACTCAAAAGAAGTCATCATGCTTATTCTCCTCACCTCACCGCCTTCGCGTCCCCTTGTTGTATCTTCTCCTCCCCTTCCTCCCCCTCACAGTTCGTCTGTAACTCCGAGTACATGGTGCAGGTCACTTTTTTCAACGCCATTGAGGTATGTAGATGTGCATATGGGTGTGCGTGCTTGTATGTATGTGCCGCAGTGTCTGTGTGTGTCTGTGTGCAACTCTGAGTGCATGGTGCAGGTCACTTTTTTCAATGCCATTGAGGTGTGTAGAGATGCATGCGGGTCTGTGGATGAGTCTGTATGTGTCGGTGTGTGCATGACAACTCCGAGTACATGGTGCAGGTCACGTTTTTCAATGCCATTGAGGTGCGTAGATGGATGGATGTGCATGCGGGTGTGTGGTGTGTGCATGCACGTATATGGGCGTGAGTCTGAACATGCATGCATGCCTTGGTGCAACTCGGAATGCATGGTGCAGGTCACAGTGTTTAACGCCATTGAGGTGCGTGGGTGGATGTGCATGTGGATGTGTGCATGTGGATGAGTGCATGTGTATGTGTGCATGTGGATGTGTGCATGTGGATGTGTGCATGCCTGTGCTGCTGTGCGTGGGCATGTTTGTGCATGTGGTTGGGTGCATACCATAAACCGTTGGGGTGGTTCTTCTACCATTGAGGTGCATGGCTTGTTAGGTGGGTCGTTCTGGCTGCCTATGCCAGCATGCATGTGTTTGCACGCCTGTGTGCATAAAATCGTGAGCAATTGTGTGAGTATGTGTGAAGAAGCGTGTGTTTCCTTCTTCCCCCCCTTCCTGCCTATTCAGATCTGGATGGAGTCTGGCTGAGCGACAGATGACAGACTCGCTGCAGCGGGACGTTGTCATCACCTCATTCCCCCTCCCTCCCTGCTCCTTCCCTCCCTCCTTCCCTCCTTCCCTCCTTCCCTCCTCCTTCCCCTCTTCCCTTCTTCCCTTCCCCAACCCCATGCGTGCAGATCTGGAGTCTGGCGGAGCGACAGATGACAGACTCGCTGCAGTGGGATGTGGTCATCACTGCCTTCTCCACCGTCCCCGACACACGCTTCCTGTAAACCACAGTTGTCACAACCTTCACACAACCTTGACACCACCTTCACACAACCTTGACACCACCTTGCATCCTTTTTGTCACCACCACCATCACACCACCCCCCTCCTTGTCATCACCGCTTTCTCCACCGTCCCAGGCACACGCTTCCTCTAACCATCTTGCCGCTCACTTCCTGTAACCATCTTGCCGCCCACTTCCTGTAACCATCTTGCCGCCCACTTCCTGTAACCTTCTTGCCGCCCACTTCCTGTAACCATCTTGCCGCCCACTTCCTGTAACCATCTTGCCGCCCACTTCCTGTAACCATCTTGCCGACCACTTCCTGTAACCATCTTGCCGCCCACTTCCTGTAACCATCTTGCCGCCCACTTCCTGTAACCATCTTGCCGCCCACTTCCTGTAACCATCTTGCCGCCCACTTCCTGTAACCATCTTGCCGCCCACTTCCTGTAACCATCTTGCCGCCCACTTCCTGTAACCATCTTGCCGACCACTTCCTGTAACCATCTTGCCGCCCACTTCCTGTAACCATCTTGCCGCCCACTTCCTGTAACCATCTTGCCGCCCACTTCCTGTAACCATCTTGCCGCCCACTTCCTGTAACCATCTTGCCGCCCACTTCCTGTAACCATATTGCCGCCCACTTCCTGTAACCATCTTGCCGCCCACTTCCTGTAACCATCTTGCCGCCCACTTGTATTCACCACCACTCCACCTTGCATCCTTCCTGTAACCACGCTCATCCACCACCATCGCATCACATCTGTCTGCATCCAGTCTGTGCGCCTGTGCCATGCATTCCCCATCTTTCATCCTTCCCCTGACCAATGGATTACGGTCGTTATTATCTACTCCGCCGCACACCGCTCCCTCCCATCGCAGCTATGTGGGCGACGAGAACGGCGTCTTCCACGTGTTGGAGCTGGATGGGGGGCGGCTCAACAAGCGCCCCTACTCCGTGCCTCCCTATGTCACCATGGGTGAGTGAGAAACCGTGAGGTTTATTATCAAGTGAATGCTTCAGTGCATAGCGGGTCAACTGTTTTAGAGTGGTCTCGCCAACTCACTCCAACTCCCTCGCGCTCCCACCTTCCCTGCTTCCTAACCCCCATTCCTTCCCCCCCAACCCCATCCCCTGCCCCCTGCCCTCCCACCCCTCCCAGCGGGTCTTGTGAAGCAGGAGTCGACACACATGCCAGCCCTCATCGCCATCCTTCCTCAACCTGATGGCCATCAGAACTATCACCTCCCCCTCCCCCCTCCCTCCTCCCCCCTGCCCTCCCACCCCTCCCAGCGGGTCTTGTGAAGCAGGAGTCCACACACGTGCCAGCGCTGATAGCCATTCTCCCCCAGCCCGAAGCCCTCCACACGCGAGTCCTCCTCGCCTACTCCAACTCCCTCGCGCTCCTCTGGGACCTCCACGCCCTGCGCGTGCTCGCCACGCGCGGCGGCTCCGAGACACAGTGCACGCGCCTCTCCGAAGCGGGCGACCGCCTCGCAGACCTCCAAACAGGCAGGCGAAACGTCCCGAAGCCCACGGATGAGGATGAGGAGGATGACGAGGAGTGTGATGGGCCTGAGCTCTCGTGCTTGTGCTGGGCGTGCCCGGCCGGATCGGTGTTTGCTGCTGGGTATAGCAACGGAGAGATTGCGCTCTGGGGGTTGCCGCACCCGTCATTACCCGTAGGGGGGGGGATGGCAGCAGCGGGAGCAGCGGGCTCAGGGGGAGCAATGGGATCCATGGGATCATTGCCACTGTCCGGGTCTCTTTCCTCGTCTGCTCCGCTGATCTCGCTGTCGTCGCCGTCTGGCGGGTGGTTGGTTGCGCCGATCTCGCCGTGCACTGTGAAGGCGCTTGCGGAGGAGATTACATCGCAGCCGTTGGTTCGGCTGCAGGTGCAGGGCGGGAAGGGCGAGCGGTCGGCGATCACGGCACTGCGATGGTGTGCCGATGCGCGGCGCGCAGGGGATAGAGGCGGAGACAGAGGAGACAGAGGAGAGAGAGGAGACAGAGGAGAGAGAGGAGACAGAGGAGAGAGAGGAGATAACAGAGAAAGAGGAGGGGAGAGATTCACAGAGAGGGGAGGAGGGAGGCTGTATGTGTGTGGGGGAGAGATGCCGGGGCTACCGGGATCAGTGAGTGTGGTGCAGCTGGGGGGGTTAGAGGAGGGCATGAAGGAGAAGGGCATGGTGAAGCTGCCGTGGTTTGGGCCCGTGGCCGATGTCGTGGTGGCACCTAGTGCGCTCGGCAGCACGGTTGCCTCTGCTATTCTCGTCCTCACCTTCCCCGGACAGGTACGTTTGGGGCGACTGAAAAGTCCCCTGAGTTGGGGGGGGGTGTGAGAGGAGGGCATGAGGGAAAAAAGGATGGTGGAGCTGCCATGGTTTGGGCCCGTGGCCGATGTGGTGGTGACGCCTATTGCTCTCGACAGCACGGTTGCCTCTGCCATCCTTGTGCCCACCTTCCCCGGTCAGGTACATTCTCCCCTAGGCAGATACGGACATTTGAAACACATTCCATGGATAGGCCCCCTTCATGCTCCACCACTTCCTACACCTTCCCACCTCTCGCCATCCCCCGGCAATCCCTTCCCACCTCTCTCCACCCCTTCCCACCCACGCCTCTCCACCAGGTCCACCTATACGACGAGCCGGGCATGGAGCGGCACCTGTGTGCGCGCCTGCTCTCCTCTCCCCGTCGCCCTCCTCCCACATGTCCACTCATCTGCACCCCTTCCCACCCAACCCTCTCCACCAGGTCCACTTATCCGACGAGCCCAGCATGGAGCAGCACCTGTCCCTCTCTCACCGTTACCCACCCCTTCCCACCCCTTCCCACCCCTTCCCATTCCTTCCCACTTCTTTCCGCCCCTCTCCACCAGGTCCATTTATACGACGAGCCGGGCATGGAGTGGCACCTGTCAGCACGCCTGCTCTCCCCTTCACCCTCCTCCCACACGCCCACTCCGCCCGACCCCGTGGCGTTTGAGAACCCGGGCTCGGCGGTCACCACGGGCAGACTCATGCTCGCGCCCTGGGGCACGCACGCCTCTCACGTGCTCTCCCAGGTGCGTCCTGTGAGATTCTTGTGCTGTCTTTGTGACTCTTGACTGGACTCCAACGTCGCCCTGTGGCGTTTGAGAACCCGGGCTCTGTGGTTACCACAGGTCGGCTCATGCTCGCCCCCTGGGGCACGCACGCCTCTCACGTCCTCTCCCAGGTGAGCCCTTCTGTTGCGCCCAGGTTGTGGTCAGGTGGTGCCGCAGATGATCATCACAGCTGATGGTTCAGGAAGTGACTTAGGTAGTACTCAGGTGGTGCATCAGGTGGTGCCTCAGGTGCTTTCTCAGGTGATGCCTCAGGTGGTGCTCCCATTTATCCAGGTACGCTCAACCTCCTGCCTTATTCATCATGAATCAATCTCACCCTGCATTCTCCTCCTCCCCTCCTTCCCACGTCCCCTCCCTCCTCCCCACGTCCCCTCCTTCCCTCTCCCCATTCCCAGCCGCCCCGTATGTCGCAGACTTGATGCCCCTCAGCTCTCTCCCACGACACCAAGTGGCGTGTGGTGGGGGGTTCTTTCAGTGAGAGCAGCTATAACATGTCATGACCCTGCCTTACCCTTCTCCCCTCCTTGTCTCACCCCTCCCTTCTCAGCTGCCCCGTGTGTCGCAGACCCGCTGTCCCTCGGCTCTTTCCCACGGCACCAAGTGGCCTGTGGCGGGGGGTTCTTTCGGCCAGCAACTGGAGATTTCTCCCGAGGATGGGCTGTGCCTCTACATCTCAGGCCATCACCGCAACCAATGTGCCTCCCTCCTCTCCCTCTCCTCCCTTCTCTCAGCTGCCCCGGGTCTCCCAGACGCGCTGTCCCTCGGCGCTCTCCCACGGCACCAAGTGGCCCGTGGCCGGGGGCTCATTTGGCCAGCAGCCGGAAATTTCTCCTGAGGATGGGCTGTGCCTCTACATCTCAGGCCACCGCAATGGCGTCACTCACGTCTCCGATGTCTCGACTCCCCTCATCGTTCCCCTAGCTTCCGCGCCAGCACACCTGACACAGGTAAGAACCAACCATCAACCATGTCTGTATCATCGTTAATGGTTCTTACCTGATTGGTCGTTCAGACATCGTTAATGGTTAATGACCCAGCACACCTGACACAGGTAAAAACCAACCATCAACCATGTCTGTATCATGTAGAGGTTGGTCCTCTCCCCCCTTCCCTCCTCCTGTCCTCATCCTCCCTGCCCCCCACCCTCCCCACCCCACCCTCCCCATACCCCTTCCCCACCCCTTTCCTCCCCCAATAACAGACGGCGGCAGTGACGTGATGGCTGCGGACTTTTGTGTGGTATCAGTGCTGCTGCTGATGGGGCATGAGGACGGGCTGGTGGAGCTGTGATGCCTAGTCCTCTCCCTCCTCTTTCCCTTTCCTCATCCTCTCTGTCCCGCCCTCCCCATCCCACTCTCCCCACCCACTCCCCCCACCCACTCCCTCCCTCCCACCTCCCATCCTCTCACACCAATCACAGGCGGATGACCAGCCGAGCTACACGGCAGTGACAGCTGTTGACTTTTGTGCCGTGTCAGCACTACTGCTGGTGGGGCACGAGGACGGGCTGGTGGAGTGATGTGACGCCTACTCCTCTCCCTCCTCGCCTCCCTTTCCTCGTCCTCCCCACCCCACCCTCCCCATCTCAACCTCTACCCTCTTTCCCTTTTTCCCCCAATCACAGGCGGATGACCAGCCGAGCTACACGGCAGTGACAGCCGTAGACTTCTGCGCGGTATCAGCGCTGCTGCTGGTGGGGCACGAGGACGGGCTGGTGGAGCTGTTCGAGCTGAGCATGCGGAGGAGGACTCTGTGCTGCCAGATCATCACTGAGAGAGGCGGCTATGAGCAAGGTGCATGCAATGGGGAGAAAGGGAAATGCAGGGGCAGGAGGGTAGGCTAGTTGGTGGGGCATGAGGACGGGCTGGTGGAGCTCTTTGAACAGAGCACGCGGAGGAGGACGCTGTGCTGCCAGATTATCACTGAGCGAGGCGGCTATGAGCAGGGTGAGCGGGGCGTAGGGTAGTATGGTGGGCCAGGATGTAGGCTGGTGGGGAATGTGGAGAGGGAGGTTCAAAGAGGAGGTTTGCAGACCACGGCCCAATCCATCCACGCAGGTGTGGGTGCTTTGCTGTCACCCTCATTCCTGAATCCCACCCCTTCTACCCACCCATTTCCACCCCTTCTTACCGTGTCCCACCACCAGCCACTCCATCTGAGTGCAAGGAGGGCTTTCAGATGGTGGCCCAGTTCCACCAGCACCGAGCCAAGGTGCGGCTGCTGTACTCTCACAGACTCACCCCCATTCCCACCCCTCCCCACCCCTTCCCACCACCTCCCATGCCACACCAGCCACACCCAGTGAGTGCGAGGAGGGCTTTCAGATGGTGGCTCAGTTCCACCAGCACCGCGCCAAGGTGCGCAGCGTGGCCCTGGCCACGGGCGTGGGACGCCTAGCAATCGGGGACGACAACGGCATGGTGTCCCTCATCAACCTCGACACCTTCACCCTCATCTGCTACCGCGAACTCCATCCCGGCTCCTCCTCCTCTCCCATCTCCGCGACAGTCTTCGCCGCCCTCCCCGTCCCCTCCACCGATTCCTCCTCCTCCTCCTCTTCCTCTTCTTCCGCGTCGCTCACTTCGGCGTCGTTCCCCTCTTCTACCTCCGCCTCTGGCGCTGTCGCTGCCACTGCCGCGTCTGACGCGACCGCCGCCCGGAGCGCGGCGAATCAGAGGAAGGGGAGCGTGGGGGCGGGCGGCGGAGGGGCGGCGGGCGGCGCGTCGGGGGCGTATGAGACGGTGGTGTATGTGGCGGCGGCCAACACGACAATGACCATTTTGGATGGCACTACTGGGGATGTCGTGGGTGTGGGACCCATGCAGCCCAAACACGCATCTGGCGCTGTCGGCCTGTTCCTCCTTGGTAAGTATTTTCAATCCTCCTTAGCTGAGTGGTAGGCGAACGGAAGGTGGAAGGTGAGTAGCAAAGCAACTGGTGGGCGGCGTATGAGACGGTGGTGTATGTGGCGGCGGCCAACACGACGATGACCATTCCTGGGGATGGCACTACTGGGGATGTCGTGGGTGTGGGCCCCATGCAGCCCAAACACGCGTCCGGTGCTGTCGGCCTGTTCCTCCTGGGTAGGTCCTATAATGAATCCCAGCCAAGCTTGCTAACACTGGGTAAGTTCTTCCATTCTATGCGTGCTTCTTCTGCCAGTGGTAAAGAAATGAAAACCATGTCCTATCTCTCTGGTCGATTCCCAGTTCCCTCTTGACTCCTTTCCACCACCCCCCACCGCTCACAACCGCCCCGCATCGCCCGTTCTCCCTTACAGACCTGATGGGATCCGCGATTCCATCGTTTGGAGGCAAGCTGCCACTCCTCTGGGCCATGCAACAGCCGTCCATGGCCCGTGGTCTCAACCCCCGAGCCTCTGCTGCAGGCTCGGTAGGCTCCCGAACCTCCGATGCTGCCGAACCTGGGGACCCGAGCCTGCGGTCTCCGCACGGGCGAGAGAGGCGCGGGAGTGATGGCGTGGGGCTGAGGGGGGGGGCAGGGGGAGGGGGGGATGGGGAGGGGTATAGGGACGGGCATGGGGGGGCGAATGATGGTGTGGATGGGGGGGAGGAGGGGGGGGAGGAGAGGAGGGAAAGGAGGGAAGGAAGGGCGGGTGGGGAAACGGAGCGGTGGAAAGGGGCGGAAATCGAAAACAGCAGCAGGAGAAGGGGTTCTAGAAGATAATGGCTCGCAATCACAAGCCTCTGACCTGCACCCACGCTCCTCCTCCTCACAACAACACCCAGCTGACCCGTCTAAAGCCCCTCATGTGAAGGACGATACAGCAAAGCCTCCCTCCGGGCGGCGAAACCCTAAAAAGCCGCCGTCCGTCACTGTAGACACCACTTCCGCTACCACTGACCCGTCCGCCGCCCCTGCCGCCTCTCTTGGGCCCGAGAACAGTCCAAATTCTGCCGCCCGTGCGGATCCCAGCCCTAGATCCCGGGGCGGCCCGAGAATCAGTATCCAACTAACTGCGGGCGGCAGTCTGAGCTTTAACATTGTCTCTTCTGGGGATGCAGAGGGTGAGGCCCTGCAAGGGGCCCGGGCGGATCAGGAAGGGAATGGGGCGGTGGGAGGAGGAGGAAGGGGGCAGAGAGGCGGAGGGGGATCAGGAGGGAATGATGGTGAGGCGATGTCTATGTCCCTCTCTGCTATCTCGCCCACCAATGCTGGAGCAGTAGCAGCTGCAGGAGGCGCAGCAGGAGGAGGAGGAGGTGGAGGTGGAGGCAGAGAGAAAGGAGGAGAAAGAGGAGGGGGGATGGTGGTATCTCATGGTCCAAGCATGAGTATGGGATCTATAGGCGGAGGGGGAAAAGGGGGAAGAGGAGGAATGGGGTCGGATCTATCCTCCGGTGCTGGTTCAGGTGGCTACTCTGGCTTTGCTTCGGCTCACGACCGGACCTCTGCTATGTTCAAGCGCTCCCTGACCTCTGTCGCAGGCTCGGGGAGTGCGGTTTGGCCCGAGCCTCACTTTGTGCTGCTGGTGTCTGAGGATTGCCTGAGGCTCTATTCCACCATGGTTGTGCTTCAGGTAGGCTCTCTTTTGCTTCAGGTGGGAAGCTTCAGGTGGCTCTCTGTGGCCTTCAGGTAGGCTTTCTGTTGCTTCAGGTGGGAAGCTTCAGATGGCTCTCTGTTGCCTTCAGGTAGGCTTTCTGTCAGGTGGGAAGATTCAGGTGGCTCTCTGTTAGCTTCAGGTAGGCTCTCTGTCGGCTTCAGGTTTGCTGGTTTGGTGCATCTGTTGGCATCTTGTGCCTTCCAGCGAAAGTCTCACTCACATGCCCCTCTCCCTACCTGCCTTCCGCCCTCTCTTTCTCCCAACCTCCGGTTCCTAACCTGCTTCCCAACCTGCGATCAGCCCTAAAGCAGGTGAAATCAATTGAGAATGACCGGTGCGTGTGGGCGGGCACGTTGCGAACAGACCCTCTCCTTTCCTTCACTTCCCTTCCCTGTATCAAGGCGGGGCGATCAGCGCTAAAGCGGGTGAAGATCTTTGAGAACGACAAGTGTGTGTGGGCAGGCACTTTGCAAGCCAGTCCCTCTCCTCTTGTTCACCTCCCTCTCCATCCCCCTTTCCCCTCTCCCCCCCTCATAGGCAGAACGATCAGCGCTAAAGCGGGTGAAGATCTTTGAGAACGACAAGTGTGTGTGGGCAGGCACGTTCGGAGCACACCCGCAGTTGCCCCCTGCCATCATGGTCATCTCGTCCCAAGGGCTAGTTGAGATCAGGTACGGCCTTGCTGCTTGGGGTTGCAGCCTGCCCGTGCTTCCATTTTATTCCTGTACATGCACCGCCTTATTCGCCTTACCCTTTCCTTTCCTTCTCTCTTTCCCTGCCTGACCTGCTGCTGGTGACGCCCACATTGGTGTCAGAGATGCTTGGATGGCAGTAGAACAGTCTTCTCATGCTGCCCCTCATGCTGCATTGCTCTATCACCCATCCATTCATCTCCAGGTCCCTGCCTGACCTGCTGCTGGTGACGCCCACATCGGTGTCAGAGATGCTCGGATGGCAGTACAACAGCCTCCCCATGCTGCAGCTTGTGGTGCCTCTCTCTATCACCCATCCATTCATGAGTCATGAGTCATGCATGTTTGCACGCCCCTTGTCACCCTCTCAGGTCCCTGCCTGATCTGCTGCTGGTCACATCCACATCAGTATCGGAGATGCTCGGTTGGCAGTATGACAGTCTTCTCATGCTGCCGCTCACGTGCATTGCTTCTGACGGCCGCATTGCCTTTGTGAGTTAATCCAGCCGTCTGATAGTGCATTGCATTGTGAGTTCTCTGTGCTTGTGAGTTGTTTGAATGCTCCAATTCAGGCAACCCTCATGCTGCCTCTGACGGCCGCATTGCCTTTGTGAGTTCCTTTGGCTGTCTGCTGGTGCTTTCAATCCTTGGTTCTCTGTGCTTTCAATCCTTGGTTCTCTGTGCTTTCAATCCTTGGTTCTCTGTGCTTTCAATCCTTGGTTCTCTGTGCTTTCAATCCTTGGTTCTCTGTGAGTTGTGTGAATTCCAAGCTTATAAGGTTTTATACCATTTTCAAAGCGCCACAAATGCTCTGTTGCTTCAATAGTTCTCTCCGTAACAATTTTCCCCATTTTACAACTCTCCTCGCCCTGCCTTCCCACCCCTGCTCTTCTCCCTCCGCCTTCCTCTCCTCCTTTCCCTGCACACTCCAGCTGGATGGAGAGACGGAGATGGTGCGCTTTTCTCTCTGTGCACGCAGTGCCCCTTTCCCAATCTGTTATACTCTCCCCTGCCCTCTCTCCTCTTGCCCCTCCCACCAGCTGGATGGAGAGATGGAGATGGTGCGCTTTTCTCTCTGTGCACGCAGTGCCCCTTTCCCAATCTGTTATACTCTCCCCTGCCCTCTCTCCTCTTGCCCCTCCCACCAGCTGGATGGAGAGATGGAGATGGTGCGCTTTTCTCTCTGTGCACGCAGTGCCCCTTTCCCAATCTGTTATACTCTCCCCTGCCCTCTCTCCTCTTGCCCCTCCCACCAGCTGGATGGAGAGATGGAGATGGTGCGCTTTTCTCTCTGTGCACGCAGTGCCCCTTTCCCAATCTGTTATACTCTCGCCTGCCCTCTCTCCTCTTGCCCCTCCCACCAGCTGGATGGAGAGATGGAGATGGTGCGCTTTTCTCTCTGTGCACGCAGTGCCCCTTTCCCAATCTGTTATACTCTCCCCTGCCCTCTCTCCTCTTGCCCCTCCCACCAGCTGGATGGAGAGACGGAGATGGTCCGCCTCTCTCTCTTTGCGCGAGAAAACGCCATCGGGTGAGTCTCGTCGGGAACCTTTTCTCCTCCTCTTCCGTCCTCTTCCCAATATTGGAGACTTTTGCGAACCCTCAAAATGGACCAAAAGATGTTAAAAATGGCGTGTTGAATGCAACCTGCTAACAGTGGCTTCGCCTGCTGTGCTCCCTTCTGTTTTGCTCCCTTCTACTTTGCTCCCGTTCTGCCCTCCTCACATTCGTCCCCTCCCCGATCCCCTCTCCCTTCCCCATATCTCCCCCTCCCCCCTCTTTCCCTTCTCCCCATCAGCCTGCCTCACTCGCTCTCGCGCCTCGTCGACCCATCCATCCGAGCCTCCATCCCCCCTCCCCCACTCGCAACCTCCTTCAACACCACTACCACCACTACCACTTCTGCTGCTGCTGCTGCTGCTGCTGCTGCTGCTGCTGCCGCCGCCGTTGCTGCTTCTGGTGCTATTACTGCGGTTTCATCGGATGGGGTGGGTGTGGAGGGGTCTCCAAGGCACGAGGAGTCACCCAGTCAAGGGGGAGGGGATGCGCTGCGGGCTGTGAGGAGCGAGGGTTTCTTGCAACCAGGGGAAGGTGCCGCTGCGTCCGGCTCGCCCTCCTCCTTCCTCCGAGGCAGCAAGGTACACTCGAAGCGGCTTTTGGTTCGACTCACAGGTGTCCTAGTTAGGGACCAGGGGGCGGGGACGCACTGCTTTTGAGGCGCCTTAAAAGGAGTCAAAAGTTTTGAGGCGCCTCAAAAGGATGCACTGTGTCCTGTGAGGAGGGCTTCACTCAGCCAGGGGATGGCGCTTCTGCGTCTGGCTTGCGCTCCTCCTTCCTCCGAGGCACCAAGGTGCACTTGAAGTGCTACCCTCCAAGGTGAGCTACCCTTTTACAGCAAAAGGACACCCCCCTGGGTGCAGCCAGTTGTTGCTACCCATCCCTCCTCACACTCCCCCCCTCCTCTCTTTGCCTCTTCTTTTTCCTCTTCAACTCCTCATTCCCTTCCTCTCTCTCTTTCTCTCTCTCCGTCTAACCAGGTTCTCCGCAGCAGTGCCACCTTCAAGCTCCTTCAGAGCTCCCCCAAAGTGCAGCCCACCGCTCTGCACCCAGCTGCAGACCTCCTTCCGCTCTTTGCCTCTGCACCCTTTGCCCCCCCTGCCCCTGCGGCGGACGGGGAGGAGGGGGAGGGGGAGACGGAGGAGGAGAAGAAGCAAACAGGAAGCTTCTCGGAAAGAGGTGAGTGTGTGGAGATGTGATGTGGGAGGGGAGGTAAGATGGTTGAGACTCGAGGGGAATCAGACCTCACATAGACTGGTTTCTTCGTCGCGCTTGCCCTCCTATTCTCCCGCACTTGCCCTCCTATTCTCCCGCACTTGCCCTCCTATTCTCCCGCACTTGACCTCCTATTCTCCCGCACTTGACCTCCTGTTCTCCCTCACTTGCCCTCCTATTCTCCCTCACTTGACCTCCTATTCTCCCGCACTTGACCACCTGTTCTCCCTCACTTGCCCTCCTATTCTCCCTCACTTGACCTCCTATTCTCCCTCACTTGCGCTCCTATCTCCCTCACTTGCCCTCCTATTCTCCCGCACTTGCCCTCCTATTCTCCCTCACTTGCGCTCCTATTCTCCCTCACTTGCCCTTCTATTCTCCCTCACTTGCCCTCCTATTCTCCCGCACTTGCCCTCCTATTCTCCCGCACTTGCCCTCCTATTCTCCCGCACTTGCCCTCCTATTCTCCCGCACTTGCCCTCCTATTCTCCTGCACTTGCCCTCCTATTCTCCCGCACTTGCCCTCCTATTCTCGCTCACTTGACCTCCTCTTCTCCCTCACTTGACCTCTTATTCTCCCTCACTTGACCTCCTATTCTTCCTCACTTGCCCTCCTATTCTCCCGCACTTGCCCTCCTATTCTCCCTCATTTGCGCTCCTATTCTCCCTCACTTGCCCTCCTATTCTCCCGCACTTGCCCTCCTATTCTCCCGCACTTGCCCTCCTATTCTCCCGCACTTGCCCTCCTATTCTCCCGCACTTGCCCTCCTATTCTCCCGCACTTGCCCTCCTATTTTCCCTCACTTGACCTCCTATTCTCCCTCACTTGACCTCCTATTCTCCCTCACTTGACCTCCTATTCTCCCTCACTTGCCCTCCTATTCTCCCGCACTTGCCCTCCTATTCTCCCGCACTTGACCTCCTATTCTCCCTCACTTGACCTCCTGTTCTCCCTCACTTGCCCTCCTATTCTCCCGCACTTGACCTCCTGTTCTCCCTCACTTGCCCTCCTATTCTCCCTCACTTGACCTCCTATTCTCCCTCACTTGCGCTCCTATCTCCCTCACTTGCCCTCCTATTCTTCCACACTTGCCCTCCTATTCTCCCTCACTTGCGCTCCTATTCTCCCTCACTTGCCCTCCTATTCTCCCGCACTTGCCCTCCTATTCTCCCGCACTTGCCCTCCTATTCTCCCGCACTTGCCCTCCTATTCTCCCGCACTTGCCCTCCTATTCTCCCGCACTTGCCCTCCTATTCTCCTGCACTTGCCCTCCTATTCTCCCGCACTTGCCCTCCTATTCTCCCTCACTTGACCTCCTATTCTCCCTCACTTGACCTCCTATTCTCCCTCACTTGACCTCCTATTCTCCCTCACTTGACTTGACCTCTTATTCTCCCTCACTTGACCTCCTATTCTCCCTCACTTGCCCTCCTATTCTCCCTCACTTGCCCTCCTATTCTCCCTCACTTGACCTCCTATTCTCCCTCACTTGCCCTCCTATTCTCCCTCACTTGCGCTCCTATTCTCCCTCTCTCTTGCACTCCACCCACTACCCTCCTTCCTGCCCCCCTCCACCCCGCTCCAGAGAACCGGTCCTCATGCCTGACTTGACACCACTCCCTCTCTTCCCCCCCCCCCCCTCCCCCCCCTTGACCCTCGACCCTTCTCCTGCCCATTGCCCCTCGCTCCAGAGAAGTGGACCTCATGCTTGAAACCACTCCCTCTCTTTTCCCCCTACACTCTCTCAAACGGTCCTTTGTATTGATTCAGCAGGGGTACAAAAACATGCAGTGCAATCCATGATTACCTCCTTCCCTTAAGCCCCTTAGCTCACCCCTCTTCCCCCCCCCCCCTTGCGTGACCCTCTAGCCCTCGAGCGTGTGGAAGATGTCCCCCAGGTGCAGTGGCCAGGGGTGCGCTGCCATCTGGGGGTGCGCTGCCTCGATCCCAGCCCTGGCCTTGGTGTGCAGGGCATTCGCTTGGGAGCGCTGGAGGGCCACTAACCAGCGTTGGCTGAAGTGGCAGGCCATCTTCTTGGCCGATTTGGCCAAGGGGTTGGCCCTGAACCTGTTCCTAGCCGCTGCTGTGGCCAGCAGCTTAAGGAACGCTGTCGTGGGGGGCGCGTTTGCCCCGTATGTCTCGACGGCCAGGGCGCAGAACACCACGTGTTCGGTGTACCTGTAGTAGTCCCTCTCCTTCCGCCTCTGTGCCTCCCTCGCAGCCCAGCTTGGGGGTTTGCGGGCTGTGGGGTCCCGATTCTGTAGCACAGGGTCGGTGATAGTCGTGTCTGTGGTCCAGGTCTCTCCACTGTCTGGGTCACGCACGATCACATCGGCCTTCTTCGGGTCATCCGGTGGTGAGTACATTGCATTCTCCAGGTATACCACCAGCTGCGCCTCCCTCGCCATTTTTGCCACGGCTAAGGCCAGTTGATTGTGTGTCCGCGTTCTGGCCAGGCCTGTGCTGCAGCGGAGTAGGTGGTTGGGTAGGCTGCAGTCGGCCACGAGCTCTCCACACTCGCACACGGTAGGTACGTTCTGTCGGATGCCCATGCGGAAGGCCAGGGCTGTTCGGAATTGCCCTGGTGAGAAGCAGAGGTCTGGGGTCAGGGGTAGGGCTTGCAGCCATGCTCCCGCTCCCTCGCCTCTCAGGCTGACGAGGCGGAGCGTGTGGCCCATCTCGGGGGCTGACCTGATTGAGCGTGATTCCTCTGTCAGGGCGTCGGCCTTTGCCGCGTGCACTTCCTAAGAGAGGGCCCGCTGCAGCTGGTCTTGGGACGGGGTTTCTTGCTCCTCACGGAGGTATTGCAGCGCCAGCGGCGGCAGTCGTCCCTCCATGTCTTGGATGGTGACCGAGTGTGCCGCAGACGGCTGCAGGGCGTTGCTGTTGCTCCCTAGTGCCGCGGTTGCTGGCAGGTCGAGTCGAGTGAGCGGAGCAGGCGTAGTGCCTCTGTCGTTGAGGCCAGGTAGGCTGGTGCTGCTTCTGTTGTGGGATCCGTGAGGCCCAGTCCACCTAGGGCCACTGGGAGGGTTGCTTGGCGGATGAGAAAAATGAACTCGGCTTCGCGGCGGGGTGGTTGGATGCTGGCGGCAGTCAGGGCGGTGCTGAGCAGTTCGGCGCACCACGCGTGCCATTCCGAGAGGGGAAGGACATCCGCTGGGGTGGTGCGCAGCAAGTAGCCGATTGTGCGGCTGATGCAGCGGGACAGGAGCAGGAGGGCATGCTGTGGATGGATGGATGCTAGGGAGCCTAGGGGTGCCGCCGTGTCTGTCAGAGTACTGCGGACCACGCCAGCGCAGAAGCGCTGTGACCCCATGGGACTTCCCAACACCCGTACCCCCTCGTGGGTGAGTGGGAGGCCCTCGGGGAGCTCGTCACCCTCAAGCGGCGTCGTGGACCACGCCGACGATTTTCTGAGGTTGCAGGTGAGGCCATCCTGGGCGAGCAGCGGCGTTGGTAACTTAAGCGCGCCGAGCGTTGCTGTCGCCGGTCCGATCATGGTGATGTCATCTGCGTATGCTAGGATCGTGACTTCTGGGTGCTCTGCTGCTGTGCGTCTGAGGTGCTGCTGGATTGATGCCGCGAACAGCAGGGGTCCGAGGGGGTCCCCCTGCCTCACCCCTCTTCCGCTAGTAAGTGCCGTCGTGCTCAAGCGGGGAATGGTCAGCAGCTGAGAAGGCGTTGCGTAGAAGGAGCGGGTGAAAGGTATGAGCGTTGCTAGCGGGGTGTTGGTGAGTGCGTTGAAGAACGCTTTCCTCTCTACTGAGTTGAAAGCGTTTTCAATGTCGAGTTGGAGGACTAGGCTGGAAGGTTGTGAAGTGGTGAGGTCTCTGACTGCATGTATAAAGAACTCAGCTCCGCCTGGGACTGCCACACCGAATTGTTGGGGTAAAAAAAATCGCCTTGTTTCTCCTTGCAGTTCCGAGAGTGCCACCTTAGGGCGACCGGAGTAGGGATTCCCCTATTGCGATAGGGCGTACCCCCCCCCTGGTTTCGCGAAGGCGATGAGGCGGGATGGCGAGAGTAGTGCTACAACCTCGGTGGAAAGATTCGTGGAGAGAAGATGTGTTATGGCGGAGTGTAGGTGCCCCAGCACTTCGATGTTGCTTAGAGCTGGGTCGCGGTAGTGTTCAAATGTTGACCCGGATGGACCAGCCCCAACTCCGCTGGGGCAATCCCCAAGGACGTCTGAGAAACTTTCCGCGGTGCACGAAAATTGCGTGGGTGTTGTGTAGGTGTGGACCCAGTCGGGCAGCTCAACTTGGGGTTGGGGATGTTTCAATTCCAACTGCTGCAATGTTGCGATCGTCGCAGGGGCCGCTGGCGAGGGTGAAAGGGCTGCCAACGCTTTTCGCAGGTTACCTCGTTTCACCAGCCCCTCCACACGTGAGCAGATTCCCAGGGGGTCGTTTTGGTGCTGAGGTGGCTCAGCTTGGTGCAGGGACCCCACGTAGTCACTGTAGAGCTGGTTCCAGTGGCCACATCTGAATAGGTGCATCTGCTCTCGCAGCACCTTCCACTTAGAGCTGGACCTCCTGCTAAGTCATAAGGTGAGACGTGGCAGGAACATGAGGACCTGCCACGCTCCCGCGCAGTTGGGCAGTTTGGAGATCCGTAAGAGGGCGGCCAGCATACAGGTGGAGTAGTCGCTTAGTATCTGCGGCGGCAGGCGGCGGACGATAGGCAGGTGGGTGGTTGACGTTAGGGTTGAAGAGTCCCAGCTCGTCGCGATCTCAAAGAGATCCTCCCTCGATGCCAGCTGGGACGCTGACAGGGCTTGGTCCGGAGGGGGTTGGGGTCGGCGTCTAGAATCCCTCTCCTGCTGCTGCGCCTGGTCCTCCCCCGCTTCCGCGAGAGGTGAGTCAGGGTTGTCGGGTTGCCTCAGATCTGACGGTACATATTCGTCGCCGCTCCCTTCTGCGTTTGTATCACCGATTCTCATTGCTTGCGCTGTCGTTCCCCTTCTCCCTCCGCGTCTAGCAAACGACTGGCGCGTGACTCGTTCCGCCGGCTCCCCCAACCAGATTGGGCTCGGTAGTTGGCGCGGATTCCCCCTTGCCGCTTGGCCTGCACTCCGCTGTCCTCCGCGCGCTCCTCGACCCCCGCCTCTCCCCCGCGTGCTTCCCCCTCCGCTCCTCGGAGTGGCTGCCACAGGTGCCGCCTGTTGCGCCTGGGAGATCGGCGTCGTCGGCTCCTCTTGTGGCAGTGGAGCGCCCTGAGCGCTCGCTGATGGATTTCCTCGGCGCTCCGCTTCCTCCTGCACGCCCTGCCGCGAGCCTACCTGTTGCTCCACCGGCGTCCGCTGATCAGATCCGCTGCCGCTTCGAGGACCAACAGTGCGAGCTGACTCGGCGCGCGGGCAGGTCCTTGTCACCGCCGGAGCCCCTGCGCGCGGGGTCCGTCTTGCGCTCCGGCGCAGAGGCTGTGGCGCACCAGGAGCGTTCGCCTCGCCGTCGCTCATCGGCAGCTCGCGACGATAAGCGGGAGAGCCGCCGCGATGATCGTCACGGTGCGGCCCGTTCGTCGCTGTCTCCTCGTTCGCCTCGTCGCGTGGCGTCGCGAAGCCGATCACGTGACCGCCGTTCGCATCGTCATCGTTCGCCCCCTCCTCGTTCATCTCGCCAGCGGTCGCCTGCCCGCCAGACGTCTAGGCGTCGGCCCCCAGCGCCGTGCTCGCCCCCTCCTGCAAAGCGCCAACGGCTCTACTCCCCTCGTCGCGAGGACCGTTTTCCCGGCCGCCAGCGTCAGCAGGGCCCATCTCGCCCGCGTTCGCCTGTGCGCTCGAGCGCAAGTGGGTGTGCGCGTCGTGGGCGACGGGGAGGTGACATTCATGGCGGAAAAGCGGGTCCAGCGTCGTCCGCAATGGAGCGCCGTCTTCTGGATAGGCTTGATGACGTGGAGAAGGAGCTTCGTCGCTCGCGTGCTGGGTCGGCGTCACCATCAGCTCCTCGCGCTGCTCCCGTCGTCCCTCTCTCCGCGCTCCTGCCCCACAATCCCTTTGGATCCCCGGCACGTTCAGAGCGGCCGCTGCCAGCGGGGATGGGCTTCGTAGGTGCTGGTGGCGGGCCACCGTGGGCTCAGTTTGCTCCGCCGCGTCCTCTTCCTGCTCCGCGTGATCTCGCCGTGTCGTCTCACCGTGCCCGCGCGTATGCGTTGCTTCCGCCAATGAAGGAAGTTCCCACGGCGACCCTGGCCCGCCTATGGTCGCTGGCGGCGTCCCTGCAGAGCCGTGAGCGGATTCTCCAGGAGTCATTTGACTCCATGCCGGTGAGCCCTCCGAGCAGGTTCTCTCTGAAACCGCGAGCAGATTGTCATGCGGCGGCGTCAGCGTTTTTCGCGCTCGTAACGCCACTGCAGGTAGCGCCCTCGCCGGGAGCAACCTCGGCCAGCCAGCTGGCTGACTCGGCCCTGGCTCTGAGGACGCTTGTAGCAGGCCCTGGTACTCCTGTTGACGTTGTAGGCGCCACCGTGTCTGTGGTCCGCCAGTTGTGGTTGAACACGAGCGGAATGCCCGCTGCGGTAGAGGCGGACCGCATGTAGGCGCTCCCCCCTTGCGCGTATAGACCCGTTCCATCCTCTACTTGCTAAGTGTCTATGCTTGCTTTGTTTGTATCGGTTGCCTAAGCTACTACTGCTTGTTGTTTCCCCTTGCCATCCCTAACGTGCGGCCGAAGGCCGCGCACGCGAGCGCCGGCGGCCTTCGGCCGCCGGCGCGAAGCGCCAAAATTTCCAGCACTAACTGAAAGAATGGGAAATGGAGAGGCCGCCGTGGCCTTAAGTAGTCATGGCAGAGGGCAGAAAGCAGAGGGCAGAGGGTAGAAGGGGAGAGGCTAATCCTCTCTCTCTCTCGCTCTCTCGAACAACACCAAAATTTCCAGCACTAACCAAAATTTACACTCTCTCCCTCTCTCTGTCCCTCTCTTCCTCTGTTGTCTTGCTGCTCTCCCTCACTCTTGCCCTCGACCCTTCGCTCCAGAGAAAGTGAGTTTTGAGATGCCTCTAAAACTGTTTCCCCAGTCACCCTCCCTCCTGCCCTCCACCCCTCCCCACTGAGAAACCAGACCTTATGCTCGACTCCTCTGACCAGACCTTATGATTGACACTGCGTTCTCTCTTGTTTGCCGCCCTTCACCTGTCTCCCTCCCCCTCCTTACAGAGAAACCAGACCTCATGCTCGACACCTCTGTCGCCTGTGACAGCCCGACCACACCGGATGGCACTGTCACCACGCCGCACCCTGCTGCTGCTGGCAAGAAGAGTCTCTTTGGCTTCCACCGCACCAACTCCAAAGGTACAGCTGGCTTTGGCTTTTGAGTCGACTCAAAAGGCACCTCACCCAGCTGCTGTTGGCATGGGTGGCACGAAGGGTCTATTTGGCTTCCACCGCACCAATTCCTGAGGTACACTTGTTCTCACATTTGTACAGTGAAAAAGTCATTTATGATGCATTCATAAACCCATGTTATTTTTGCATTCATACAGTACCGTTATCATGCATACACTAGAGGAAACCCCGGTTTTGAGGCGTCTCCAAACCCTCTCCCCTTTGTCCCCTCCCTCCCTCCCCCCTCTTCCCCTTCTCCCCCATTCCCCCCCCCCCTCCCCCCCCCTTCTCTCGCCCACGCCACCCACCACGACACCAGGTCGCAGCAAGGAGAGTGAGGGCGCGTTCGGACCAGGGGCGGTGCATGCAGCTACTCCTCGACCCAAGTCAACGGAGGAGATTCGAGGGGGGTTTGGAACGCGCCGTCAGCAGCAGGTGAGAGACGGATAGGAGAGGGGAATTTTATGCGCATACGTGGTTTGCTAAAGGCGTTTGCTTCGGCTGGACGCACCGTGATTGATGGTGTTTTATTTCTCATGTTGTCTGTTGGTTTTGTGGCGTTTCTATCTTGCAGGCTGAGGAGAGTCAATAAAGGTATAATTATTGAAATCACGAAAATCACTGTGGTTGCATATCGTCCTGGTCAAGCAATAGAAAGAGGCCGTTGCATTGGCATGCTATGGCCCAGCTAACAGTCTCCTATCCTAATATGGTGCTGAGGCTCCACTCCTTAGCTGGTTATGTGAAGCCAAACACCATACGATACAGCACACGTTCCTGCACTGTCCTAGCTTAGCTACTAGCAAATATGGTTTTCAGGCTACACATGTTCTAAGTATGTTTGAATATTGCCCAGTTGCAAAGTTAAAATATCTAGTTACCGGGTGCATGTGCTTGCTACGGACTTGGTCATCACAAATCCATGCGGATCGCACTCGGTACTACGAATGCTTGTTCAATCACATATTCGGGTGGAGAAAAGTGCGTGAGTCGTTCTTGATAGGACAAGGACGGCGAAGATGGAGCGATCTAGTCCAGGTACATTTCTTTCGCACACACGCTTCGAGACAATATCGATGAGGCGCTTCATTTCAGGATTTTGCTTGACGATCAGGGCGAATGGAACTAGGAAGGGAGATTCTAACGAGGGGTCACACTCGGGCCAGTTGGGGGACGGCAGCTGCGGGGAAAAGAGGTGGAGAGGGACCTGATTGGTGGGGGAGCTTTGGTGGCGGGTACAGCTGGCTGGCAGTGGCGGTGGTGAGGAAAAAGGCTGGGGGAGTGTGGGGGGAATGGCGGCGGGGGCAAGAGAAAGGCCTAGGGGTAGGGGGGCGAATAATGGAAATTGGGGAAGGAGGGGGAAGAAACGGAGGTGCGCTGCACTGCAGTCGAGCGCTCCCGGGTTGTCGCTTGATTTTCTTGGTTTTCCTTCGCGCTTGGCGTGGTTCCACCCACAGAGACCATTTCCTGCATTCAACCCAACACCTAGCCTAGGTTATCTGTTTTCTCTTTCTTTTTTTTCTCCAGGCAAATTTGCCCCACGCTCAGTTTTTCCTCGAGAATCCCAACGACCCGCGTCACGTAGTTTTCTTAGCCACGCCACGCCACACACACCGCTCGGTAGCTCTCTCGGTTTCTCCGCCTCGCCGCGACTCATGAAGCGAAACACGCTGATCGCGACGTCAGTCGCGATTATCTTTTTTTGCTAGGTAGGCTGTATTGGTGCACCCCCCCCACGTGGTTCAAGGTCAAGGGTAGCACTTGAGCTTTTGCCTGGCTCGTGCAGGTTTGAGCAGAGCAGACGCCTGGCAGTGCTGTCGCATCACACAGACCAAATCAATCAATCCACCTAGGTCTTGGCTCGTTTACTTGTGTGTTTCTTCGTTCGTAGGCATTTCGCCTTTCCCCTTAACGCTGGTGTGTTTAGCGGTTGAGCCAACGTCTTGTTCTAAAAAAAAAGCCCCTGAATGCAGTAGCTATCATCCTGTCGCAACTAAAACACTTCGCTCAGCAAACGGTCGTTCTTCCACTCCCCTCCGTTCTTACCACGATTTAGACGCCCGTTTAAAACATTCTCAAGCTCGTGTCGCCGATTTGCAGACAGACCGTTATGGCCGACGCTTTTTGAGATATCTCGCAGTAACCTAGCTTAAGCCGAAGTATTACCAGGTCCGACATCCCGCTTCTGCTCTCCGGAATCTTAACGTGTCGCCCACTCGTTTGCCCAAATCCTCTAGCATCTGGCCATTCTCAGCCGTTACCTCTCCCCATCCGCACGTATCCCGGCCCAGCGAGTTTTTTTCAGCAGCAAATATCTAGACCTCTCAAACAGCAGCGGCAATCATGTGCCGCGCCAGAAGGCCGCAGGGGCCGGTGCTCGCTATTGCGCCGCTCGTTACCGCGTCAGTTCTCCTGCTTCTGATCGGGGCGTCTGTCTCTTTCGCGTCCGTGCATCGCGCGAGTGAAGGATCGAGCGACGGAGGTACGCTTCGCACCTTTTTATAAATAAGGCAGAAAAAAGTAGGACCGATTTCTTCTGCTGTTCCGGCCCTGTTGGGTACTTTTTCGTCCCTTCCTCCCCTCCCCCTTCTCCCTTCCTCTCCCTTCACCCTCTTCTCCCCCGAAACACCCCTCCTCTCACTTAACACACCGCTCCCGCCCCCCCTTCTCTCCCGATTTCCCCCCCCTCCTCCCCCTGTCACGCCTCTCTTAATCACGTAACCCATCCCTTTCGTTCCCCCAGGTGCTCCAACTGTTCGTCGTAGATCCATGGCCGCTGCTACTCTGGGATCACCGTGCCGCTTTGGCGGAAACATCATGCCTATTGACTGCAGCCCGGGCCTCAAATGCCAGCCTGGCAGCTCCACTGCTGTCGCCTCAGAACCTGCTTCCGAGCCTAATCCGAACCAGCTCGGCAGGCCCAGAAACTCGCAGGGTCTGACCCACAACCCTGACTTCGCCACTACGGGCACGTGCGTTCCTGACGGCTCGTCCACGTCATCCCCGTCCCCATCCACATCATCTTCAGCCAACGATACGTCACCACTCTCGCATAATCCATCAACCCCCGTCCCTCCCTCCTCAGGCTCTACCTCTACGCCTCGCCTCGGCCCGAGGCCCTTAGAAAAGCCCACCACGTGTCAGTACATGTGCGCACACGGGCAGTATCATGGGGAAATGCCGTGCCCGAGAGGGTATACCTGCGTTCTCGCTCTAGAGGGAGGCATGCACTTATCGCCAGAGGCTCTACAAGCTTTGGTTGATGCCTCCGCTGAGGTTCCTGCTACCACTGACTGCAGTAACAGCAGCGACACCACCATTAGCAATGCTATATCGCCCCTGGGCGTTGTGAGCAATGGCAGCAATGCTGAATTTATCAAGTCAGCAGGTGCTGTCATTCCCTACGAAGGGATCTGCGCCCCGAGCCACTGGTTCGGCCCAAACGTCTCGCTGGACCTCCTCTCAGTACCATCGTCCACAATGTCCACCAAGGCTGTCACGAGAGGCTCGGGGTCTTTGCCTGCTGCCGAACCTGTGGCCGGGGAGGCTGGGAGCAACTGCTCGTTCGGCGGGGATAGTGCTGCCGTGCTGTGCAATCAGGGGTATTCTTGTCTGGTGGAGGCTGAGAAACGCACGGTGCATCACCCACAGGTGTTTGGTGTGTGTGTGAGTGCGGAACTTTGTGATCCATACCTAGAGGAAAAGATTGAGGATGCAGCTGGGACTGGCAGCTCAGGGAAATCTGCAGGTGCCCGGACGAGGCTGCCAGGTCTGGGAGGATCTAGGCTTGGAATTGCTGTACTCCTTTTTGCATCCCTCTTTTTCCTGTAAAGGGCTTCCTGGGTCCCCTCGGGCCTTAATGAGGTGAAGGCTGATGGTGCCATCTAGAGTTGTCATTTAGTTGAATTTGGTTTGACCCTGCTAGCTAGGCTGCTGCTTTATGCTGTCGTCTACTTGCTAATGCCTCAATAGCTGCTCTCGAGTTGTAGTGCTGTTATGATTGTACCCTAGGTGGTACGCTATTGTTATCTAAACCTTAGGGTGCATTCCGATGTGGACACATGTCCCAATCGATATGTCCCAATCGAGTGTACTGCTCCGAACCGAACTAAACCAGAGACGCGAAAATTTCGAAACTAGGGTGCAATTTGGTGTAATACGATGCAGTGCGGTAGAAACAATTGGGACACATCGATTGGGACATGTGTCCACAGCGGAATGCACCCTTAGATCTGCTGTACCATTGTTGGAAAACGAGGAGTTGGTTGGTAGTACCGGTAACGGAAACAAAGCCTAGGATGCTCAAGTGCCTAGCGTCTACCGTATTAGTGTATCAACCAAACACTCACCAAGGTCATTACTAGTATTGGTGTGCTCTTAGCAAACCATGAGAATCTAGCAAGCAGCTGAGCCTTTCTAATCTACACTGATAACAAAGAACACTATACCATCTAGTGTGCCTAAGCAGCTTCTATCAGGTTCCTATTCTGCTTCCGTTCTGCACTTATCCAGCGATCCTTCAAGTGTAGGTGATACGGTATCGTCTCTTTTGTGCTCCTCCTCGCCCCATCCGTGCCCATCTCATGATTCACAAACTCTTTAAATGTCCTGATCCTCCTTCCCAACAGCTCCCTCCACTGCTGTCCCCCTCAACCCCTCTGCTGCTGCAACCCTCTCGCTCTCACTCCCCCCCACCCCCCTTGCACCCGTTCCACCTACTTCCCCTTCGTCCCCTTCTCCCACTTCCTCCCCTCCTTCCTTCTTCCTTCCTTCTTCCCTTACTTCCCCCTCTCCCTCAGAAGCTTCGCCCCTTTGCTTCCGTAACCTCTCCACTTCCCTTTCAGCCTCTTCCCTCAGTCTCAGAGCTTCTTCTGCCCGTTTCTCTGCCCGGGCAGCCCTTTGTTCTTCTTCACCTGCCCGCTCTTCAGCTGCCCGCATCCTCCCAGTCAGCTCGTCCGCCTCACCAACCAGCGACTCTGCCCGGGCAACTTCCTCCGATAGCCTAAACTCCGCCAGGGATACCCTGTCTCTAGCCCCCTCAATCTCAACCTCTAAATCCGCACACCTCAGCCTCATCTCCTCCAGCTCAGCTTGCAGACGTGTCACAAGGTGATTGGCCCTATTTTCCACGTCTGCCACCTCAGCTTTGGCTAATTCCACCTGTCCATCTGCTTGTAACGCCTGAGCCCTCAGTCCCGCCGCGTTTTCCTCTGCTTCTTGAAGCTTCCACGAAAGCAGCTCCCTCTCCTGTTTCTCCACCTCCAATTCTTTCCTCAGCTGCCCAGAAATTTCTTCAGTTGCCCGCAACTTCTCTTCCAGGGAATTTACCCTCTCCCGGGCAGATTTCGCCTCACGCCTCTCATCCGTTGCGCGCTTTTCCGCCTCCGCCGCTGCCAGCTCAGCTTCCTCCTTCAGCTTCCGCGACTCCCGCGCGTCCCGAAGCGCTCTATCAATCTTGGATTCTAACGAGTGGTTACGCGTAACGGCCGCCTGTAGCTGCGTCTGTAGCTCATTCACCATGTCCACTTGCGGAGGAGACGCCGGCGCTGGAGGCCGACCCTCCGGTTCTGGTTCGGCATGCGATCGCAGCTCCGGGACGTCCGAGCCTGTTGATGGAGGTTCGGCAGCGTTGCGGGAAGTGACGTGGGGCTGCGCAGACGCGATGCTGTCCGAACCGCCTTTCTTCCGCCACCGAGACAGCATCCTAACGGACTCTAGGCTAGCTCCTTGAACTATGTGCGAGGTCGCTTTAAAGTCGACTCAAACGTTCAGCCTGAATTCCCGAGACATATAAAGGCCTTGTGTGAAGCGAGAATTGGTCGGAACTAAACTTGAGGTTGAACATCAACAAGAGGTCCAAACGACCAGCCAATCTCCAGTCCAGGTAGCCACGACAACTGAACGGCAAGCTGTGTTACAGAAATCGATGCCTCTATGATAATGATAGTGCAAACCAAGAATACTCGAAGCCAGGCAATGCAGACGAGGAGAAGGAAGAAAAGGAGGGAGTGCTCCAAGACTACGATAGGAAAAAATCGTGATGTGAGCTTCTAGCCGTTATGACAGGTGTGATGTTGCTCGGTGTTACGGGTGCAATGAATCGAAGTAGCGAGAATTGCACTAAGGTGTCAAATGAGTACCAAATGTGAGGCATGAGCAAACATTTATACGCGAAACATGTGAACGGTAACGCGGTGCGTGCGAGCTAGCTAGTGCTACGCTGGAAGCAAGGCTCGGGCTAGTCCCGAAGCGTAGGCCAACACGGCCGGGCCAGCAGTGCGAGGTTTGGTGAAACAGTGCGCGCGAAGTCGGCGAAGCTCTGTTAGCAGTAACGGGCGAACAACGGCTGCTGCTGTACGCGGTGTTGCAGGGTGCGCTAAGGAATATCGAGAAAATTCCTTACACTCGGCGTCTGCATGAGGTGGTACGCGGCAAGCATCTAACGGAAGGTTCCTTCCTGCTTTTACACCACTTGAATTGAACAAAAAGACACTCATACTTATACCATTACAAATGGGTATGCAGCAATACATTAGTAGACAAGCAATACAAATCAAATCAGCTAGCCATACACCTCCAAGAACCTGGAAATGCCTAGTATGGCGTATACCCAGATCAATCCAGAGTCCCCCAATTTCACTCCGCACTGTATATCGTTTTTATTGTCATTGAAGCGTCGATGATTGCTCCACATGGCTACAACGCCACACGCACGGCTCCAGACGGCTAGTCCTATGTGGCAAAACCCTTCCACGTGGCAACAATGGCACTGAGCATGATCTCGTGTGCTTCCTCATCCGTCTGTGTCATAGGGATATGGCATGGAATGGGATGGCATGATACGGCATGGAATGGATGGCATGACATGGCAAGGCATGAATAAGGATGATACGTTTGTCTCGAAAGAATGAATATACAACAGGAACAAGCACACGAAACATGAAGGGGCACGAGCAATGCGAGAACACGCCAGGAGAGGAATGTTACGGATGTGGATCCATGCATTCTTCTCCCCAGACTCACCTCACACTGCATGCGAATCGAAGCGAAGCAGAGCAAACTCCACCCCCACAGCTGCCAGCTGCACTCTCCAGCTCTCTCTCTCTCACACTGCCTTTTAAACCATCACCCTCTCGTCCTGTCCTTGCCATCCCCACTTACACATGCAATCCCTTCCCCTTCCAGACTCACCTCACACTGCATGCAGATCGAAGCAAAGCTGGGCAAACTCCATCCCCACAGCTGCTGGCTGATTCTCACCGCCCTTTCCCTCAGCCCCTTCTCTCACACTGCTTTTGAAATCCTCATCACCCTCCCTCCCTGTCCTTGCCATCCCCACATACACATGGAATCCCTTCCCCTTCCGAACTCACCTCACACTGCATGCGAATCGAATCGAAGCTCGGCAAGCTCCACCCCCACAGCTGCCGGCTGATCTTCACCGCCCTCTCCCTCAGCTGACTCCCTGTCCCATTTACTCACCTCCCTCTCTTCACTTCCCCTCTCTCCCACCACTCTCTCCCCCACACCTCCCTCGCACCCCTATTTTCTGAATCCCAAGCTCAACCCTGCAATCCTTCTTCCCCCCATTCCGACTCACCTCACACTGCATGCGAATTGAAGCAAAGCTGGGCAAGCTCCACCCCCACAGCTGCCGGCTGATCTTCGCCGCCCTCTCCCTCAGCTCCTCCCCCATGCCCCCAATCCCCTGCCGATGCACATACAGCAGCAACCTCGCAATAAACCTCACGTTATCCGTGTGCCTTGGCCATTTATAAAACACCCGGGCGGCCATTCTCATCGCTACAGCCATTAACAGCTCTGCCACTTCTTTTTCTTTCGGGCAGACCACTGCTACAACCTGGTCAATCCACGCGCTACAGCCAATCAGCATGCGGGCGCGGGAGGCTGCGGCAGAGGCTTGGGGAAAGAGGCGGGGCGGGGGGATTGCAGGCTTGTGAGAGGGAGTGCGAGGGGAGGAGGAGGAGGATGGGGAGGAGGCGGAGGCAGGGGAGGAGGATAGCGGAGGCTTTTTGGCAGTGGAAGAGGTGGGGACAGGATGGGATTGCGAGGGGGATTGCGACGGGGACAGGGCGGAGGAGGAGGAGCGGGAGTGGGATCGGGACTGGGACTGGGCTTGGGATTTGAAGGCGGAAGAGGGGGAAGAGGAGGTGGAGGAGGAGGAAGAGGAGGAGCGGCGGTGGCGGTGCAGGTGTTGGCGGGGGTCAGCGGCCGAGGCAAAGGAGATGAGGAGGCCCTCTAGGCCCCAGTCAAAGAGCTCGAGCAGGAAGGGGTCTGGCGGAGCAGCGTCCTGCAGAATGGCCTGCGATGGGTGGGAGAGGAGGGGAAAGAGGGAGAAGATAAGAGGGTGGAGGTGTTGACGAGGGTCAGTGGCCGAGGCGAAGGAGACGAAGGAGATGAGTACGCCCTCTAGACCCCAGTCGAAGAGCTCGAGCAGGAAGGGGTCTGGTGGAGCAGTTTCATGTAGAATAGCCTGCAGTTGTGAGGGAGGCGAAGAGGGGGGAAAGAAGGAGAGCGGGGGAAGGGACGGGAAGTGGCGAAGGAGATGAGCAGACCCTCTAGGCCCCAGTTGAAGAGCTGGACCAGGAAGCAGTCTCGTGGAGTGGAATCGTGCAGAATGGCCTGTGATAGCGGGTGTTGGCGTGTCGGGATGAGGGGAATTGAAGGAGTGGAAACGAAACAAAGGGAGAGGGAGGAAACAGAGGGAGAGGGGAGAAACAGAGGGAGAGGGGAGAAACAGAGGGAGAGGGGAGAAACAGAGGGAGAGGGGAGAAACTGAGGGAGAGGGGAGAAACTGGGAAAGAGGAGACGGACTTCTGAAGAGAAGGCAAGTTGAGGAAAGGAGAAGTCTTGATAAGGCGGAACGCACCTTGAAGCTTCCTCGGACGGCCTTGCCCCACATGGGCACCAGTGCACAGTGCTCCCGCCTCTCCTCCTCCAGCAGGCTCCCAATCGCCTTCCACTGCGCCCAACCCACCTCCACCTCTGGATACTCCACCTCCCTCGCCCACCTTGCCACTGCCTCCTCTTTCCTCGCAGCCCTCTCCCTCCTCCTCTCCGCCCTCCTCTCCCTCCGCTCCTCCTCTGCCCGTTCTGCTGCACTCGCCCCGCTGCGAGCCCCCATCCCGCTGCCGACCTTGACGATTTCGTCGCTTTCCCCGGCTTTCACAGGTCCTTCTGGGACCACCACTGACAGCTGGTGCCGTGCCTTGGCACTTACCGACCTGCTGCCATCCCCCCCTCTTCCTTCCCCTCCTCTGCTTTCTTCTCCTCTCCCATTTGCCCTCCCCTCTTCCTTCTCCCCCTCCTCCTCTGCCTCTTCCTGTATCCTCCCACACCTCTCTCCTACCCCACTCTCCCACTCCCTCGCACGGCCGATGCTCTTCCCACCACCCACACTCCCTCTCTCCTCCTCACTCTCCCCACTCTCCTCACTCTCCTCGCTCTCCCCACTCTCCAACCCATGCATCAGCAGTGGCTCTATAGACACTCGCATAATCACCTTCGCACACAGTAACTTCGTCTCTTGCAACTGCTCCTCGCCAACTCCCCACCTACCCTCCCTCCCTCCTTCCTCCTCCTCATCCTCCTCCTCTCCCTCCTCTCTCTCCTCCTCTTGCTCATCTTCGTCCCCAGGCAACTTAAACAACGTACTTAGCTCCAAAAACCCATTAGCCAGCTCATAAGCCCATGGGTATTCTAATATCCGTTTCCCCAGTTTCCTCCACCTCCTCCTCCTCTCCCTCTCTCTCTCCTTTCTTCTTGCAGCACCCCCAACGCTACTCAACCCCCACACCCCCTCCCTCTCCCTCTGCCTCTCCCTTTCCCTCGCCCATTCCTTCCCCTGGATCGGCTCCAGCAGCGCCGAACCAAACACCGAAGCAAACTCCCTCCTTGCCGAGCCTGTCCGCGCCCGCAGCAACGCAAACCTAGCAGCTGCTAAAAGCCTAGCAATCCGCTTTGGAACAGGTTCGGCACCATTGGGAACCAGAGCCAACCGAACCGTCTCCCGGACCCCCTCGGGATCATCATACGTCGAAGCACAGGCTCGGATGCGGATCCGAACCGAAGCCTCGCCGAGCCTGAGCTCCTCGGATCGGTCTGCCAGCAGCCAGAGGTCGTCCGGGGCTAGGTTCGGCAACCGAGCCGCCTCGGTAGCTATGAGCAGCACCAACAGCCCCGGACCTCCAGCAGAGGAAGACACCAAAACGCCATCTAATTGCCGAAGCTTAGGCGGGCTGGCGAATTGAGGAAGGGGCACTAAGAGGGGGTGACTATACTGAAGGTCACTGTCGAAATCCATACTGGGGGTTCTGCTCGAGCTGGTGGTGGCAGCAGCAGCTGCAGGCATGTGTGCACCAAATGCACCCATAATGCTGGACGATGATTGGAGGATGGAGCGGAGAACTGCCAGCTCAGCAAGCTCAACCAATGGAGCGGGGCCTAACCCATCCCCCCCCGCAGCAGCAGCTGATGCAGCAGCAGCAGAGTCGAACCGGGCTTTGGATGGTGGGGGCACGACGGGAATCGGGCAGGCGCTCACGAAACTTCTCTGCCTGCGATGCTTTTTTTTCTGCCCGGACGGGCTGCTAGGAACCATAGACTCTCCCCCCATGCCATGATGGCTATGCCCCTGAGTATTCCCCTGATGATTCGGATCCTCCCCAAGCAAGGCCACCCGCCAAGCAGCTTCCTCCAGTCCCCCTCCCACCTCACCCAACCACTCCCCACCACCACTTACCCCACTCCCCGTCCGGCCCTCTCCAATCCCCCCCTGCACGTCGCCCCCGATTCCCCACTGCGACTGCCTGTTGCTGGTAGGGGAATAACCCATGGCTCCTCTAGGGGAATAACCTATCATTCCAGCACCAGCAGAACCAGAGAAACCCGTAGCTCCCCCACCAGCTGAGCCAGCAAGAAGAGCAGCAAACTCCTCATCGCCCCCAAACGACTTGATAAACGACACCTGCCCCGTGGGGGTAGGCGCAGCCACAACATCCCCATACCCCGCATACCCCACATTTCCCCCATACCCATCCCCATACCCAGCAGCGTAGCTCCCACCAGGCCGCTTCCTGATCTGGCATTTGAGAGCAACAGCATCGACCATATCCAGCAGGCACTGCAGCACAAACTCCCGGCACTCCTGCGCCTCACTCGCATTCTCCCACTCCGCCACAGCCCCTCCTGTAGCCGTCGACCCCGCCCCGTCCCCACACCCGCTCCTCCCCCCCGCCCTGCTCCCCCCGGCTCTGCTCCCCCCGCCTGCTCCGCTTCCCCCTGTTCTGCTCCCCCCAGGACCAAACCCCCCTGCCGTTCTGCTCCCGGGCCCTGTTCCGTTGGTCCATCCACTAGCCATACTCCCAGGACTAAGCGACTCCTCCTCATCATCCTCCGAATCCTCCTCCTCCTCGTCTGAATCCGAGCCTCCGTGCTCGGCTCGGCCGCCGGGCCTGCCGTGCCGCGCCTCCAGCTTCTTGCCGTACCGAGCCTCCCAGTCCTGCTTCCCGAGCCTGTCCAGCAGCCGGAGCACGCAGACAGCTGCGGTGGCAGGCTGGTGGCCCGCCGCAGCTGCTGCCAAGCCTAACAACCGAACCACGTCCACGTGGAGCGGCGCCGGGTTTGGAACTGCCTCCTCTTCCATCACCGAGCCTCCCGGCCCTGCTACCATAATTCCCGCTACCGAGCCAGGAGCCAAGCCGGCAGGTCCGGCCAAGCCAAGCCCCGGGGCAGCACTAGTTTCAGAAGATATCCCCATTCTACCCATCATACTTGTAATCATATCCGATTCTCTAACCCCAACCCCCACACTAAAAGTGCTAACAGTACTTATAGTACTGACTGTGCTGATACTACTCCCAGGCCCTCCCCATAACCCACTAGCGTCACTACTGCTGCTGCTACCGCTACTACTGCTGCCACAGCTGCTGCTGCTGCTGCTCGCCCCATCCACTCCTGCTGCAGCAGCAACGGTGTAACCGCTGCCACCCCCTGCGCGGATCCCATACCCACCACTGCTGCTGCTCAGCACAGCAGCTTCGGCACAGAACCTACTGCTTCCAAGCCTCCCGACGTTGCTTCGGCTCTTCCGATACTCCCGCCCATCTTTTCCCAAACCTCCCAGCTTATTTTCCTCCTGGCCAATCCCACCAGACCCCACCCCTTGAGATGCCTCCGCACTTCCTATCACCCCTCCCCCTGCTTCTCCTCCTCTGTCTCCCCCCCCAACGCCCCTTGCTCCTGCTGCTGCAGTCATAGGCCCAGGAGTTGCTACAGTAAGCTGCCGCCCACTGGAAGCTTCTAGAATCTCTTCCAGCAGTTTGTCTTGTAGCTGCCGCCCCGCCTCAGCCCGAAGCGCAGCTTCAAACGCAGAGCCTACCACCGAAGCACCACCCAAACCTGAGCCCTCGGTATGGTAATCCTCGTTATAGTGATACCCGTTCATAATATTCACATCCTTGTCTTCTGCACCTGCAGGGTCTTCAATCTCTAAAGGCTCAACAATCGTCACCATACGCTCTCGCTTCGGCCGGCTTCCTTCGTCCGTTTCAGTCTCAACAAGGTCACTGTTCACACTGCTGTCGTTTACATCTGAAGAAAATCCTAATACTTTCTCCTCCTCCCCTAGATCAAGGTCCCCAAATTCCTCCTCCTCTTGTATCGCCTCCACCCCACCCCACAGCCCCCTCCCTCTCCCCCTCTCCCCTTCCCCACTCCAATCACTTCCCCCATCCGTCCCACCTCCCCCGTCCGCTCCTCCCCCGTTACTATCACCATCGCTTAAGTCAACCGAGAAAAAGTTCCCCACATCTACAGTATCGCTTTGCCCTATGGAATCGAGCGATGACAATAGGTGCTTCCCTCCCCGCCCAGCCCCCCCATCCCCTATCACCCCTCCCCCACCGCCTCCTTCCCTAAACGACCTCCCTCCGTCTTTCAACGACCCTTCCTTTAACGAGCGTTCTCTAAACGAGCGCCCGCGTTCCTTCAGCGACCGAGCCTCCCTTAAAGACCGACTCTTGCTCATCGCCCTGCTTCCCGAGCGACTCAACCCTCTTCTTTCCGCGAAGCTTCCCGTGTTCTCCGCGTGACTTGTGCTCCTAAAGCCCCCGTCCCCACCTCTTCCGCCGCCTATCCCACTGTCACCCCCACCAATAGTTGCGCTACGAAAGCCCCCAAAGCCCCCTCCGCTGATCTCTCCCCCCGCATCATGATTAACGTATCCCGAAACAGAGCTTTCTTCCCTGACCTGACTCCAGATTGACCCATTCCCCCCGCCTGCCCCCCTTCCCCCGACGGGGGACTCCAGCCCCAGCCCGCCATGGCCCTCGAGTCCGCTTCCGCCGCCGCTGCCCCTTCCGCCTGCGCCCACTCCCCCGCCAGTGACACCCATTACAGCTCCGCCTGCCCCGTGCTGCACAGGAGGCTTCCCCCACTCCTTCCAGAACTCTACCCACATAGCCAGCCCCAAAACAAACACTTCTTCCACTTGTAACGGATCCAATCCTACCGGAGGCAACGGACCCACGTGTGCTAGGGTTTGCTCTGCCGCGCCTGTTACCCCGAAAGCCAGCGCACTCAACCCCGCGAAATCAAACCCCCCGAGTGCGCTCTCCACCTCCCCTTCCCCCCGCGCCTTCCTCCGCGCGCGCCGTCGCGCCTCCGCGGCTGCTACAGCTGCGGCGGCGGCTGTTGCGGCTACAGATGCGGAGACCGTCTGAATAGTTGCCACGAGCCAATCGTATTCCGCGCGAGCTAGGCGCAAAAGCGCCGCTTCTAGAACCTCCTGCGCTTCCCGCGACGTCACCTCCCCCGCCCGCTCCACCGCCAGCGCGACCAGCCGCCGCGTGGACAGTCGCTTCAGCGGCCCTTGCGGCACCGTCTGTTCCGGCTGGAGCGCCGCGGACGCCGACGGCGCCGGGGGTCGCGGCGGGAGTCCCGCTCCGCCGCTGAGGTAGCTGCTTCCGGTGGTGGCGAGGACAGGTGCGGGAGAGTGAGAGTCATGAAGGCGGAAGGGGGAAGGGGAAGCGGAGGCGGCGGAAGGGGAGGTGGGGTAATCCGCGAAAGGGGAGGGCGTGGCGTTATACGAGGAGGGCAGCGGGGAGTTCTGCTGGAGATCTGAAGAAAATTCGTCCCCTTCTTTGTTATCGCTATCTGCGTCCCCATCCTCTTCGTGGTCTTGCTCATCAGCAGCCGTGAGATCTGACGTGGCAACGACCGCGGCGCTGGAGATCTTCTCGACGTATTGCGTGAGGAGATTAGAGACCGCGTCGTGGACCCAGTCCTCCTCGGTTAGGAGTTTTTCCAAGCTTGCAAGCGAGGCTCGGGATGATTCCGATTCGTTAAGATGAGGCGTGGAAGGTTGGTTGAGGGTTGAAAGCGAGGGTGCACTGAGATTCGCTGGAATTGCGAAGTCAGGGTAGGGCCATTCTCCCGCTGTCGAATTCGCCTGACCCATAGCGAATTCGAGGACGAAAATCAACCGCTACAGCAATGAAGAGCAATTTCGAAGAAAGGCGTAGTCTTGATAGGCAGGGAGCCACCTCATCGTTTCCAGAAAAGAAGGATGGAACGAGAATAACGCTACCAGCCAGAGACTGTACCACCTGCTGCTGGAAATGCTTCACTTTTTGCTCTAGTCTAGACACATCGGAGCCACCTCACTATACCTGCACATCGGTGGTGGAATGAGAAAAAGCTACCAGTCAAAGCACCTACACAACCAGCAGCTAGAAATGCTTCAGAGACTGCCATGCACGTGGTTTAGGATTCGACAATGACAAGCAGAAACGACATGAGCAGTCCGTAAAATACCTGCTTGCTCACGCACAGGCTCCTCCCTTACGTTACGCAATTCGGAATGGCAGAGCAAAAACTACGACTGCCCGGGGTTGAGTTGGGGTGGGTGGATGTGTATCTGTGCTGTTGTTTGTAGGGATTGCCGTGCAGAATGTTTTAGGGCGTGTAACATTTTTCATTTGTTTTCGTCCAGACGGCCAGCCGTCCGGACGATTGTATGGTTACGAAGCTCGTTAGATCTCGGCAATGAGTTCGTCAGGGTCTAAACGACGTCGTTTTCTTCGTATTGCATCCTTACGACATCCCATTGGTCGCAACACGACCGTACGACGTCGCAATCTTCGCACGCGTCTTGACAGCCGTCCAGACTTTCAGCCACTTCGAAAAATGTAACACGTTTGTAGGGATTGCCGTGCAGACCATCCCTGACGGAGACAGTCACATCGTCCGTCAGATTGTTGTCGCAACACTGCTTGAGTTGTGGGGAGCCACACATCAGGTTCCGTTCCGTCAACTCTGCCATCAGGCGATGCGGAGATTCTGGCGCGCTTGCGGGGGCGAAGCCCGAGCTCCTCTGACAAGAATGACATCCCGCCCTTGAACAAATCGAGTTGGTCAATAGTTTTCTTTGTGCGAAGCTAAGTGCAGCATATTCCCTTCAGTTACCAGTTCGCTGAGTTCGTCAGACCAAACAGGCCACCCTGGCAGGTCTGCGGCTTGCGCAGCCAAGAACAAGCGCCGAGCCTATGAACCGAAGTGCGCGGAAACACCAGGGCGGGAAATGGGGACTACGCTGGTATCCATGTGAACCTTTCAGTGCATACCGTACATACCATTTACTGCCATGCATGCATGGTGTAGCACCTTTCTGTCCCCTTTGCCTCAACGCAGGGAGCTGTTCGATACATCGACGCCTGTATGTTCTGAATAGGTGCGGAAAAACTCGCGCACGGAAGCCCCTAATACAGGCAGCGGAAGCTCAAGGGCTACGGGGCGGAAACCCCAAGTGCTCAGCAGCACACATCAGGGGAAGCTCGAGGGCAGCAGACTTGAGGCGTGCCTGAACGAAGTGAAAACCTACGATAGGCTGGAAAATAACTGGTAACCGTGATGTAATCGGTTCGAGAAGCGCATCCAGACCGTTGAATTAGCTCATTTTTAGCTAAACTAACCATCACATGATACAACTGGAGGTAGGGAACTGGAACACAATCCCAAAGCCTTATTTCAATCAGTCAGTCTTGCTGCCTTCAACACCTTTGTCCTTTGTAAGGCCACAAGCTGTTTAGGTCCTTTGTTCAGTCCTCTTGCTGTTTAGGTCTTGTCGTGGCTCAAGGGTGTTTGGCTGTACGGAACGACTACATAGCTGCGTAGAAAACGCATGTTCAGCTAGGCCGTAGACGCGATACGGATGCTTTTCCAGAAAGAGCGAGCCTCGTTGCATTCGAGGCATTTAAAAGTTTTCGTCCTCATGCACTTAATCTGATAAACAGACAAAAACTGTTTCCACAGTTCACTTCTGGCTCTAAAATTAACCTTTTCGTCAAGAGCTTAGGGTTTAGTTTTAAGAGCTAAGATGGAAATGGAGGACGGGGAACCGCCGCGTATCGCACCTGCTTACACGCCATGCGCTTTCGAAGGGGAGTCGCCCGGGCCCCGGTGCGGTCACACGCTTACCGCCGTCGCGCCTGTCGGAGAGCCTGGCAGCGCGAACTACATCGGCCCGCGGCTGATTCTCTTCGGCGGAGCCACGGCTCTGGAAGGAGGCGCAGGTCCCGCGGCAGGAGCAGCAGCCGGAATACGTAAGTCAGGACGCGTGGCGGGATCCGTCGCTAAGCGGCTGCTGGGTCGATTTTATGCTGACACTTCGTCAAGGACCAATATAGTGTTAGCCGATTTCGCGACGGTGTCCCCTTTATTAAGGTTAACACTTATTAGCATAGAAATGCTGGTTCCGATCGTGCTCTGAAATGTGCGTACGCTCGCTTACGACCAGCCCGTCTCTCTCTTTTTTCATCCTCCTTAGTCACCAACTCTCACACACACCAACTGCCGGCCTCTGCCGGCCAAGCTCTCTTCTTTCTTCCCGCTGAGTCCTAGTTTCTCAAATTCTTCCGTTTTTTTTTATTTCTCTCCCGTAGTTATCTTCAAGAGCTTCTGCTGAGTGGGCTATTTAGGCGTCACCGCTGCGCTTGAGAAGCAGCTTAACTTTACTCAAGAGCGCTCATTGTCAAGAACGATTCGCCCTTCGAGTTTCCGCACTCTCTTGCTGCTTCCTTTTCTTTCGTCGATCTTTCAGGTCTGGCCGGAGCCACGGCGGATGTGCATTGTTTCGACGTCAACTCGCGGACATGGAACAAGTGAGTGAGCGCTTCCGCTCGGTTTGGCGCGGTTTGTTTGAAAGTTACTGATTATTGTTTGCGCTTCGACAGTATTGGAGAAAATAGGAGCAAAGAACAGGATGGTTTCATTTTAGGACACTAGATGGTGCAAATGAACCCCATCCACGCAGTTCGTCTGTCCACCCGTGTTTCACATCCGCACATTTCTCTCACGTTATCGGAATGCTAGGGTTTCCAACCGCATCTCGCCGTAATTTTTCACCTACTTACCGACCTAGCATCATGCTTCCGCGTTTCCCTTTCCCTCCCAGGCTGACTTTAGTAGGCGAGCCTCCTTCGCCGCGAGAAGCACATGCATTTTCTAGGCGCCTGGGAAGAAGTTTTCTTCTCCTCGCAGGCTCTCTCCTGTAGGCGAGCGTCCTCCCCGCAAGCAGCGCAAGCACTTCTGAAGCGCCTCAAAGATATCTCCCTTTCCCTCCCAGGCTCTCTCCAGTGGGCGAGCCTCCATCCCCGCGAGCGGCGCATGCGGCGACGGCGGTGGGGACGATGGTGGTGATTCAGGGCGGCATTGGGCCGGCAGGGCTGGCCACTGACGATCTGCACGTGCTGGACCTCACCCAGGCTCGACCCAAGTGGCACAGGTACGGGCGGGTTGTGCTGTGCACTGTTGTACTGCTGTTCGACTGTGCCTGTTGTGCCTATTGTACTCGCACAAGCAAAAGAGCAGCATTGGAAGAGCAGAATTCAGAGGAGCTGATTGCAGTTCCGGTCACACCCTGGGCTCGTTTCAGTCAAGAGGATGTTTTGATGCCGTTGCTCGTGATTGATTTATGCCTAAGACGAGGTTTTCTAATGCTGTTGTGGTGGGCGGTGTGGCATGTGCTTGTAACGAGCAGAGTGGTGGTGCAAGGAGCGGGCCCTGGACCTCGATATGGTCACGTCATGGCGCTCGTGGGGCAGCGCTTCCTGCTCTCCATCAGCGGAAATGACGGTGAGAGGGATGTGCGAGGCCTTTTCTTGCTCACTTGCTTGAGACGAGGTGCAGATTGACGCTTGTGCTGTGCAATACATTTGTCAGTGATAACGAAGAATGTGATATTATGGACCTCTTTAGCGCATCACCTCACCCAACTTTCCCCACTTTCACCTCCCCCCCTACCCGCAGGCAAGCGGCCGCTGTCGGACGTGTGGTCGCTGGACATGGCAGCAAAGCTGTACGAGTGGAAGAAGCTGGACCGGGAGCGAGAAAGGCCGTCGCGCTGCATGTATTTTTGAGTCAACCCAACACACCCTTTCCCCCCCTCTCTCCGCCTGCAGGCAAGCGGCCGCTGTCAGACGTGTGGTCGCTGGACACGGCAGCGAAGCCGTACGGGTGGAAGAAGCTGGATCCGGAGGGCGAGGGGCCGCGCAATGCATCCATCAACCTTTTTTGTCCACCCAACACCACAAACACCCCCCACCCCCCCCCCCCCTCCTCCCCCAACCCCTCCCCTTCTGCAGGCAAGCGGCCGCTGTCGGACGTGTGGTCGCTGGACACGGCAGCGAAGCCGTACGAGTGGAAGAAGCTGGACCCGGAGGGCGAGGGGCCGCCGCCCTGCATGTACGCCACTGCCAGCGCCCGACACGACGGGTTGCTGCTGCTGTGCGGCGGCAGAGACGGCAGCAGCGTGGTAAGTTGTGTACCGTGTGGGTTTAGGGTGGTGGTGAGCTCTTGAGTGGGGACTGACATGCCCATTTTCGATTTTTCCTTTCTTTCTCCACACCCTTGCTCTTTACCCTCCCATCTCAACCAATGCATCTCTTCCCCGCACTTACCCTGCCACTTCCCCTCCCCCACTTAGCACTGGTCGTTCCGTGCCATTCCAACCCGGGTCGCATGACTTGGCTCAGCATTTTTAGGGCGCCTAAAAAGTAGACCACGCACTGACCCTGCTACTTCCCCTCCCCCCCCCTCCCCCCCCCGTTCCCCTCACTTTCCACTTGTTGTTCCATACCACATCAGCCTCTACCCGGGGCGTTTGGCTTGGCTCGGCATCGGGACGGCCGGTGGGAGTGGGCTGTGGCGCCTGGCGTGTCCCCCTCGGCGCGCTACCAACACGCTGCTGTGAGTTTCTTCATACCGTGCTATGCGTTGGCTTGTGTGGCTGTCTGCGTGTGCGTTCTGTTTGCCTTTTTGTGAACATATGGGCCTGAACCTTCCCGTAAAGCCTGGCCTGAACTTTGCAGTCAACCCTGCACTGAACCCTGCACTGAACCTTGTGCTGGTTCATGCCCCGAAACCCTTATCTGCGCGCAGGTGTTTGTGGGTCTGCGCCTGCACGTGTCTGGAGGGGCGCTGGGTGGAGGCAGAATGGTGGAAGACGCCTCCAGTGTGGCCGGTGAGTCAATGTGACTATAGCGAGGCCATGTGATCATTGCTCTCTCAAACCAAGGCCACATCTTCCCCCTCTCGTTTCCTCCCCCTCCCCCTCCCCCAACCGTTCGTTCTGCCACGTACAGTCCTGGGCAGAGCTGCAGGCGTGTGGTGTGACCACGTAGCCATGGTAATTGCCATCATTCCTCCCCTCCTTTCCCCCCATCCTCTCCTCTCCCCCTCCCACGCCCTTCTCACCCCCCACCACCCTCGTTTTTCTGCTGTACACAGTCCTGGACACAGCAGCAGGCGTGTGGTGTGACCGCAAGGCCATGGTATCAGTTGCCCGCACCGGCCGCTACAGTGCCGACGCTCCGGGCGGCGACGCGTCCACCGAGCTCACCCGCCGCTGCCGCCACGCCGCCGCCTCGGTCGGCGATATTATCTTCGTGTACGGCGGGCTGCGGGGCGGCATTCTCTTGGACGATCTGCTCATTGCTGACGACACGCCACCCGAGCAGCCCGCCCTGCCGCCCTCCGCGGCTCCTGCCAAGGAGGCTGTGTCTGGATCAGCACGCAAGCCGCCCATGCCGCCCAGATCGGGAGAGGGGCGGCAGGGCGTGGCGGTGGCTTCGGCTGTTGCTGCTCCGGATGACAGAGAGGAGGATATCGGTGCTGAACACGCGAATGACCATCTGCACGAGTGAGTGAGGGGAGGAGGGATAAGGTCAGGGAGAGGGGCGGGCTGTTATCCCCTTGCATGCAGGCACATGTTTCCCCCTTCTTCCCTCCGGTCTATACTGCCCGCCAATGCAGGGTGGACGAGGAGGCATCAGAGCAGCTGGTGCGGATCAACAAGGAGGAGATGGAGGTGGCGCGGCGAGCCATGGAGAGGGGCGACTTGCTTTGCACATACACACAAGCGCTCTTCTTTCCTTCCCACACTCCGTGTACCCGTGCAATTCAATGCAGGGTGGACGAGGAGGCATCAGAGCAGCTGGTGCGGATCAACAAGGAGGAGATGGAGGTGGCACGGCGAGCCATGGAGAGGGGCGGCAGTGGCGACCTGACGGGGGACGACATGGACGACCGGCGCTACGGTGGCACTCCGCCTCCCCCCACTGCTGCGAGTCTCGCCAGGAGCGCCCTGGACGATGGGCGCAGTGAGACGCCCGCCTTCAAGAACGTCACTCTGTATCGCCGCGCTGTGAGTGGTGGTCAAGACACTGGGGAGGAATGAGCAAGGCTGGAGGGGAGAAGAGAGGTGAGTAGAAGGGGGGGAAAGGGAGGGGAAAGGGAGGGGAAAGGGAGGGGAAGGGGTTTGGGATCAAGGCCAAAGCGCGGCAGTGGCGACCTGACGGGGGACGACATGGCCGACCGGCGCTATGGTGGCACTCCGCCTCCCCCCACCGCTGCGAGTCTCGCCAGGAGTGCTCTGGACGATGGGCGCAGTGAAACGCCCGCCTTCAAGAAAGTGACTCTGCATCGCCGCGCCGTGAGTTTTGGTCAAGACACTGGGGGGAATGCGGTGTTGGGTGGAGGGGAGACAAGAGGTGAGGTTTGAGGTTCTGCTTGCCAGGAGCGCCCTGGACGATGGGCGCAGTGAGACGCCCGCCTTCAAGAACATCACTCTGTATCGCGGCGCTGTGAGTTGTTTGTGGTCAAGAGACAGGGGGAATGGGGTGGTGGGGGGAGGGTCACAGGGGGAAGGCGGTTGAGGGGAGAGGGTGCTTGCCAGGACCGCAGCGCTCCGGACGACGGGCACAGTGAGACGCCTGCTTTCAAGAATGTCACTCTCGTTCCAATACCTTTTCCCTCCTGCTTTTCCCTCCTCCTTTTCCCTCCTGCTTTTCCCCCCTCCTTCTCCCTCCTGCTTTTCCCTCCTCCTTTTCCCTCCTGCTTTTCCCTCCTCCTTTTCCCTCCTCCTTTTCCCTCCTCCTTTTCCCTCCTGCTTTTCCCTCCTGCTTTTCCCTCCTGCTTTTCCCTCCTCCTTCTCCCTCCTGCTTTTCCCTCCTCCTTTTCCCTCCTGCTTTTCCCTCCTTTTCCCGCATACCGCAGGTGGTGGTGGCAGCAGACCCTGCTGCAGCCGGCAGTCTGGGCGGCCTGGTTCGTCAGCTTTCCATCGACCACCTGGAGAACGAGGGGCGGCGCATCAGCTTCGGGCCCGAGGGCGGTGCCGGGCCGCCCAAACTGCTCAACCGACAGATGTCCATGCAGGGCGTGCATAAGAAGGTACGGAGGGGGCGGCTTGTATGGGAGTTTCTGGCTTATATGGGAGCTGCTATGGAGGTTGGATAGTAGATGGGTGCACGTGGTTGTGCTGTGCCGCCCAAGCTGCTCAACCGACAGATGTCCATGCAGGGCGTGCATAAGAAGGTAGAGAGGGGGCGGCTTGTTTGGGAGTTTCTGGCTTATATGGGAGCTGCTATGGAGGTTGGATAGCAGATGGGTGCATGTGGTTGTGCTGTGCCGGCCAAGCTGCTCAACCGACAGATGTCCATGCAGGGCGTGCATAAGAAGGTAAGAAAGGGGTGGCCTGTATGGGAGTGGCTTGTGGTGGAGGGGTTTGTAGTTGGGATGGGACCAAGGCTGCGTGCCTTGTACCCTGTGTTGGTGTTGCTTTTGAGAATTCCGAAAAGCAACGCCAATGATGTTGGGATTAATGCCGTACGCCTTCCACCCTCCGCCTCCCCACCCATCCCCCTTTCCTTCACCGCAACTTTCTCCCATTGCCTGCATTTCCCCCCCTTTCAAATTCTGCAGACGCTGCTGAAGCTGCGTGCATGGAAGCCACCTACGAAGAGGCAGTTCTTCCCTCCCATGTGGGCCCCATTGTCTGTTCGCTCCCTGCTCTCCCCCTGCTCTCCACCCAACAGGTTCTGCAGACGCTGCTGAAGCTGCGTGCATGGAAGCCACCTACGAAGAGGCAGTTCTTCCCTCCCATGTGGGCCCCATTGTCTGTTCGCTCCCTGCTCTCCCCCTGCTCTCCACCCAACAGGTTCTGCAGACGCTGCTGAAGCCGCGTGCATGGAAGCCCCCCACGAAGCGGCAGTTCTTCCTGGACGTGCATGGGGTGGTGGAGCTCTGTGACCTGGCGGAGAACATCTTTAAGAACGAGCCGTCTGTGCTGCAGGTGAGATACCCACAAGCATAGTAGTCTGTGCTGCAGGTGAGATACCCACAAGCATAGTAGTCTGTGCTGCAGGTGAGATACCCACAAGCATAGCAGTCAGTGCTGCAGGTGAGATACCCACAAGCATAGTAGTCTGTGCTGCAGGTGAGATACCCACAAGCATAGTAGTCTGTGCTGCAGGTGAGATACCCACAAGCATAGTAGTCTGTGCTGCAGGTGAGATTCCCACAAGCATAGTAGTCTGTGCTGCAGGTGAGATACCCACAAGCATAGTAGTCTGTGCTGCAGGTGAGATACCCACAAGCATAGTAGTCTGTGCTGCAGGTGAGATACCCACAAGCATAGTAGTCTGTGCTGCAGGTGAGATACCCACAAGCATAGTAGTCTGTGCTGCAGGTGAGATACCCACAAGCATAGTAGTCTGTGCTGCAGGTGAGATACCCACAAGCATAGTAGTCTGTGCTGCAGGTGAGATACCCACAAGCATAGTAGTCTGTGCTGCAGGTGAGATACCCACAAGCATAGTAGTCTGTGCTGCAGGTGAGATACCCACAAGCATAGTAGTCTGTGCTGCAGGTGAGATACCCACAAGCATAGTAGTCTGTGCTGCAGGTGAGATACCCACAAGCATAGGAGTCTGTGCTGCAGGTGAGATACCCACAAGCATAGTAGTCTGTGCTGCAGGTGAGATACCCACAAGCATAGGAGTCTGTGCTGCAGGTGAGATACCCACAAGCATAGTAGTCTGTGCTGCAGGTGAGATACCCACAAGCATAGTAGTCTGTGCTGCAGGTGAGATACCCACAAGCATAGTAGTCTGTGCTGCAGGTGAGATACCCACAAGCATAGTAGTCTGTGCTGCAGGTGAGATACCCACAAGCATAGTAGTCAGTGCTGCAGGTGAGATACCCACAAGCATAGTAGTCAGTGCTGCACGTGAGATACCCACAAGCATAGTAGTCTGTGCTGCAGGTGAGATACCCACAAGCATAGTAGTCAGTGCTGCAGGTGAGATACCCACAAGCATAGTAGTCTGTGCTGCAGGTGAGATACCCACAAGCATAGTAGTCAGTGCTGCAGGTGCAGCATGAAGCCCGCTGGAAGCCCCCCACGAAGCAGCAGTTGTTCCTGGACGTGCATGGGGTGGTGGAGCTCTGCGACCTGGCGGAGAACATCTTCAAAAATGAGCCCTCCGTGCTGCGGGTGTGGTGTTGACTGAAGGAGCATTGTATCCCTGTAGCAGGCGAGGTAAGAAGGTAGCAATGTGTCCTGGACGTCCATGGCGTGGTGGAGCTCTGTGCTCTGGCAGAGGACATCTTCAAGAATGAGCCCTCCGTGCTGCAGGTATGACTGGGGGCGGTTCATGTGATAACGTGAGAGGGGGGGTTAGCTTCAAGGTGGGCCCTGGACGTGCATGGCGTGGTGGAGCTCTGTGCCCTGGCGGAGAACATCTTGAAGAACAAGCCCTTCGTGCTACAGAGTAGGACAGGATGCAGGGGTTGACTGGTGCATGTTGGGGCCGGTTGGTCTGGTAGGTTCAAGGTGGGCTCTGTACGTGCATGGCGTGGTGGAGCTCTGTGCCCTGGCGGAGAACATCTTCAAGAATGAGCCGTCTGTGCTGCAGGTGAGATTCCCACGAGCACTGTAGCTCAGTCAGTGTGCAGGTTAGAGGTTTGCAGTTGGGTTCTGGACGTGCATGGCGTGGTGGAGCTCTGTGCCCTGGCGGAGAACATCTTCAAGAACAAGCCCTCCTTGCTACAGAGTGGGGGGATGGGGCTAGGTGCAGACTGGTGTAGGCAGCCCAGGTACTACTGACAGGGGGAGGACCAGGCGTGTGTGTGCTGCTAGTAATGTGGGGGAGGGTAGGTCTGATAGGGTAAAGGTGGGGTTGGAAATGCATCCTGTGACATGACCTGTTGCCTCCCTCCATCAATCCCTCCCAATTGGTCCGTCTCCTCTCTATCCGCCAGGTGCGGGCGCCAGTGAAGATCTTTGGTGACCTGCACGGCCAGTTTGGTGATCTCATGCGTCTGTTCGACGAGTACGGCTCGCCCTCCACTGCCGGTGACATCGCGTGAGTGCCCCTCTCCGCCTCTGCTCTTTCAACCCGCTTTCAACCGCGTTCAACCTCCTTCAACCCCTTGCAACCACTGTCGACCCTCTCGACCATTCTCCCTGTTCGGTTACATCGCACATAGGCTGTCTTTCTCTGGGCGACGGTCAGAAACTCCCATCATTTCCACACTGTTCTTCTCGCTTCTTGAAGCGAAGTTGTTTTTGAGACGTCTCAAAAACAACCTCGCTTCACGTGGAAACTCCCATCATTTCCTCACTGCTCTTCTCGCTTCTCCCAACCCAGCTCACCGTTCACCCCTCCCTCTTCCCTCTCCCATCTCACCAGGTACATAGACTATCTCTTTTTGGGCAATCGTGGACAGAGGCGCGCATAGCACTGTGCTGCTCTCCCACTTTACTCCCTCGCGTGCCTAAAAATCCCCCTCCACTCCACCCCTCTCCCTCCCGCACCCGGACCCCCACCAGGTACCTAGAATATTTTTTCCTGGGTTGATTATGTGGACAGAGGCGCGCACAGCACCTTGACTCTTCTCTCACATTTCACTGCGCCGCTTGCCGAAATTCTATGCCGCCTTCCTCCCCCCCTTCCCCACCTTTAAACCCCACCAGGTACATAGACTACCTGTTCCTGGGCGATTATGTGGACAGAGGCGCGCACAGCCTTGAGACCATCATCCTGCTGCTCGCACTCAAGGTGGGCAAGAATCGTTGCTAGGTCAACAATGCATGTGGTGGGGCGATGAATACTCTCAGGTCAATACTGAAGGTTAGTCGACTCCTCTCAAGGTGGGTCCGAATCTCTGTTTGGCCTGAATTAGATTGACTCGTGACTCGCACAACTCACCCAGGACTGAATCGTCTCGTGTTTTGAGTCAACCAAATTACAACTCACCCAGGACTGAATCGACTCACTCACGCGGGCCGATCTGTGGCAAACACCACTCCAGCGCAACTCTCTCCCATGCTCCAACTTTCTCCACCTTCCACCCCGGCAGATCGAGCACCCGCGCAACGTGCATCTGATCCGCGGCAACCATGAGGCCGCAGACATCAACGCGCTGTTTGGGTTCCGCATAGAGTGCATCGAGCGCATGGGCGAGCAGGCGGGCATCTGGGCGTGGCAGCGCATCAACCAGCTCTTCAACTGGCTGCCGCTGGCCGCGCTGATAGAGAAGAAGATCATTTGCATGCACGGGGGCATCGGCCGGTCCATCCAGCACGTGTCGCAGATCGAGGAGCTTCAGAGGCCCATCAGCATGGAGGCTGGGTCGATGGTCCTCATGGACCTGCTCTGGTGAGTTCCAATTTCAGCTCTTCCCTTGGGTCCATTCAGCAAGTGTCGCAGATCGAGGAGCTGCAGCGACCCATCAGCATGGAGGCTGGGTCAATGGATCTCCTTTGTTAAGTCACTGTTTCGTCTCTTTGACTCATCTTTAAATTCGCTCACTCGAAAGCTCAACCCACACCCCTCCCGTCGGTGCCCTGCCCCCTTGACGTGTGTGCATGTCAGATCCCACAGAGAATGCAAAAGGTTCTCCGAACGGCCAAGGACCGCGCCGGGCCCTGTATAATGACCTTTGAGAGAATTCAAAGGCGCTCACAAGGTAGCCTTTCCCGCCCCTCCCTTGTGTGCATGCAGCTCGGATCCCACAGAGAATGACAGCATCGAGGGGCTCCAACCGAACGCCCAAGGACCAGGCCGGGCCTTGTGAAGCGACCTTGGAGAGAATTCAAAACATGCGCACGAGAATGCCTTTCCCGCCCCTTGCGTGTGTGCATGCAGGTCTGATCCCACGGAGAACGACAGCATTGAGGGCCTCCGACCGAACGCACGAGGACCCGGCCTTGTCACATTTGGGGTAAGGTTGCACTGCAGTTGGGTTGCAAATGTGTAAGAAGTTTTTGTCAAATTCACTTGTTTGTGGCAACTGATTTTGCTTTGCAAATGTGTAAGAAATTTGTTTTAGCTCAGAGATTTGCCCTGGCTTCCACTCCCATTCCCCTCCCCTTCCTGCTCAGCCTGATCGGGTGATGGAGTTCTGTCAGAACAACGACCTGCAGCTCATCATTCGAGCGCACGAGTGCGTGATGGACGGCTTTGAACGCTTTGCCGCCGGCCACCTCATCACTCTCTTCTCTGCCACTAACTACTGCGGTGAGTGCTGCGGTGGTGAGCGTGATGGGGGGAGCGCCGGTGGCTGTCGTAGTCGCAATAGCGGGTTTGCTGTTGCGAATGGTAAGTGCGCTTTTCTGCCGGCCACCTGGTGACGCTCATCTCCGCCTCCTACTACTGCGGTGAGTGCTACTAGCTTGCTGCTGCTGTGAACCGTAATAGCAGGTGTGCTTTTGTAAATGGCAAGTGCGCTTTGCTTCCGGCCACCTCATCACGGTCTTCTCCACCACCAACTACTGCGGTGAGTGCTGCTGAGGAGATGCTGCTGCGGTGAGGGATTGTCGTTATAACAGGTCTGATATGAGTGATTGACGCGTTGTACGCTCGCACTACTCCATCAGCCACATCTCTTCACAATCCCTCCATCGTTTGCTGCATTCCTTTCGAGCGCACTCAAAACAACCCTGCTTCCATCCCTTGTTGTCCTACTTCCCCTCCCTCCAACTTGCTTCTCCTATGCACCTTATGCAGGCACGGCCAACAATGCGGGTGCTATTCTAGTGCTGGGGAGGGACCTTGTAGTCTTCCCCAAGATGATCCACCCGTTGCCGCCCACCGGCAACTCGGGCAACTCGTCGCCGGATTACCAGGATGAATGGATGCAGGTGAGGCTCCCTCCCTCCCCTTCTTCCTTACACCATGTGTCCCTCATGTCAACACCCACCTTACTCGCTGTCCGCTTCTCCCCTCCCCCTCTTGTACTCTCTGATGTGGATTTTTTGGATCTTCGTCCTCTCAATATCTCTATCTCCCATGCACAGGAACTCAACTCTCAACGACCACCGACACCTACACGTGGCCGCCCACAGCCAGCCAATGACCGCAACTCACTAGCCTTTATTTGAAAGAAACTCGCTTTTGTGCATACGATGTTGACGAGTGGACACATATTTGGGGATGCCATCCTCCGTCACTATCTTGCCGAGAGGCACATTATGGGTTCAATGGTTGTGCCGGAATGAACTTGGTTGAGAAAGATGTTCCTACGTTGCTGGCTAGTTTCAGCTGTATTCTGTTCTGCCGACATTGTCTCAGCTATCCATGCCTTTCGATCTCGACCAGTGCTGAGATTTTTGCTTGGAAAAAGCACCGCCCTACTCGAACATAATAGATAAGGGCGTACATGGTTGGCTCCAACTTGGCGGGCTTCTGATGTGTGGTGCAGGAGCACATAACGCACCGACCAATGGTAATGAGTGTGTTTCTCCGCGTCACTCTATGATTCTGACCTCAGGCAAAGAACCTGGCCCAGGGTCGTCCCGAGCTTTTTGACTGAATTTCCGGGTTATGGACAGCTGGCAATCAATCGTCGTACCACGGTGCTCTTCGTGCAGACGTGTCAAACTATTAGCCGTGTGCAAAGCCTTGCTGCGCTGTACTCGTTGGGGTATCGCGACTCGATCATTTCCCGATGGGCAAGCTAGGGGATGCACAATTGTAGCTGCGAGTTTGTGGTTTGCCCTCGGAAATTCCCGAGGGAGCGGGACCAATAGACCAGCCCGAGAGCAGGCAACCACCCATCCATCATCCTTTCCATCTCAGGGCTCCCTGCCTTCTGGCTCTAATCGGACGGCCTGAATGATCGCATATGAGATGAGCCACGCGGTCGCGAGATATAAACGTAGCAGTTTCAAACACTAGGAAATTTCAGTGTTCAGGGAAACACACCTAGAAAGTTCACGGATTGGTTTGAATTGAGCTCTGATCCAACTTGCTGAAAAACGATCACAGAGAGTCGTCTACACAGCCACTTCTGACTCTGGCTTTGTGAAGACTTTCTGTTGCGGGAACCACGCCATGGCTGCCTCTACAGCCTGCAGAACGGGCCTCAACTACGCTGCAGGCCTCAGCACGGGCAGCAAGACCCGCCAGATCGCGTCCGTCAGCCGGATCGGCGGCCTGAAGCTCCGCGCTCCTAAAACCACTACTTTGGTCAAGAATGCGCGTCCTCAGATCAGCATGGTGCTGGCTCCGCCGCCGCCTATGACTCGCGGCGACGACCCCAGGGAGCCGCAATCCAACCTAGACTTCGATGCCTCTGCTCCTCCGCCATTCACTCTGGCGGATATCCGCGCGGCGATCCCGAAGCACTGCTGGGAGAAGGACGCACTGAAGTCCATGGCGTACCTCGTGTGGGACGTCGCCGTGGTGTTCGGCATGGCTGCCGTCGCTCAAGCGGTCGACCAATGGTGGATCTGGCCAATCTACTGGCTTGCTCAGGGTACCATGTTCTGGGCGCTTTTCGTCATTGGTCACGACTGGTACGTACTGGGACGAGAGTGGCACTTTCACATTTGGAAACATTCTGAACGCCACATTATGATTCATGTCAGGAAATGTAAATGTTCAAAGTGTTCAATAATTACAGCCTTTGCATCTTCACTGCGTGCTGCATTTCCACAGTGGGCATGGAAGTTTCTCCAACAACAAGGCTCTGAACGACGTCGTTGGCCATCTGACTCATTCCTCAATTCTCGTGCCGTACCACGGATGGTCAGTAAGGGATCAAAGTTACTGGTGAACTAGTGGCTATGTTGTCGGTTCTGTTAAACCCTCGCGTGTATGTCACTCACCACTGCCTTTGTGTTTACAGGAGAATTAGCCACCGTACACATCACGCCAACCACGGCCACGTTGAGAATGACGAGTCTTGGCATCCAGTACGTATAGGCCCATTTTAGGGAATTCTTTTGTTTCCATTGCAGCGTGCAGGAGTAACCTGCCAATTACATTGTCGATGCGCAGGTTACCAAGGACAAGTATGACCAGATGGAGTTTTGGACCAAGGTTGGCCGACTCAAGTTCCCGTGGCCTCTCTTCGCCTACCCATTCTACTTGGTACGTACCGATAAAACAAGAAATGAACGCTGCTCTTGTTACTTTTGCGTCGCCAAGCATTGACTGAGTTGTCCCTTGTGTTTCCAGTGGAAGCGGAGCCCTGGCAAGGACGGTTCGCATTTCGACCCCAACTGCGACCTTTTCACTCCTAATGAGAAGGGCGACGTACTTACATCTGCGACTTGCTGGTGGGCCATGATGGGAATTCTGGCCGCGCTCACGGTCTTCATGGGACCTGTTTCGATCTTCAAGCTTTACGTCGTTCCGTACTGGGTAAGACACGCGCTGGGTCGATGCTGACAGCTTGTCTCAATTATCTCGCATAAGTGGCCTCATTATATCCTTTTTTTTTATGTACCTCGTCGAGCAGATCAATGTTGTATGGCTCGATGTTGTTACCTATCTGCATCACCACGGTTATGACAAGAAGGTTCCGTGGTACAGAGGCGAGGTAAGAAACGCACCTAGCTTTAGTTTTGAACTTCACCTCTGCATGATTGAAACTACATGAAATATCTGTCTTCACTTCTAACACAATCATTTGCTCCATATCCCTGCAGGAGTGGAACTACATGAGGGGTGGTCTGTCGACCATTGACAGGGACTATGGTATCTTCAATAAGATTCATCACGATATTGGAACACACGTGGTTCATCATCTGTTTCCTCAAATTCCCCACTACAACCTTACAGAAGCGGTGAGTTCACACGTATACTGATCATTTCGTTCCTAATTTGAGTCTTAGATGGTAGTTCGGCGAGTTTGCTGATCCAATGCACGAACTTAGGTCACTGTACCCTACTCACGAGGCCTCGTTTCTCGTTGATGCAGACGGCTGCGGTGAAGCCAGTTATGGGAGAGTACTACCGTGAACCCGAACCTAGCCCTGGTCCGATTCCCACCCACCTATACAGGCCCCTCTATAAGTCCTTCAGTGAGGATCACTATGTACCAAGTGAGGGTAACATAGTGTTCTATGAGAGGGATGAGAAGCTGTAGAAACCAGTCATCCCTTCCTGGGTTACTAGTTGATTCACCTTCAGCTGACTTTGGAAGCTGAGGGCCTCTGTTCAATTTTTTGCTTAATATATTTTGGTTCAATTATCCATCCCTACATTTGATTCTCACTGTTTGCACTATCACCTGTGATACGAAATTTTGTGCACAAAATGCATGGATATAATAGAAATATTTTGGTAACTAACACAGAGTGCTTCTGAACTGATAATTTGACCCGTCATCCATTTTGAGCTCATGGCCGACAGGTCAATAGGGGGCCTGTACACTATATCGTGGTTTGTTGCAGTAAAAGCTGTGTGCAGAGTATAATACCAGGATGTGTGGCCACATTGGGCGATGTGGCCACACATTTTGTGCTTATGCAAAGTTTGTGATGCACGAATACTATCCATCAAAATTTTGTGCTGCCCTGTCACAAAACATCCAAGATACGGTATGATACTTGAAGTCATCCTGGCCTCTCCTGGCACGGTATCATACTACTGATTACTGCTGTGCATGCCACCAAAGCAGCCTGCTTCTTTACTTGCACTTGGGTTCCAACTGTTGCTCGTACAGGCTGGCTGGGCGTTGGGCAAGCACTGGTGCATGTACGTCACCCGTCGCGTCGCCCTCCCTAGGCCCTAGCCCGTCGCCCTCCCTAGGCCCTGGCCCGTCGCCCTCCCTAGGCCCTGGCCCGTCGCCCTCCCTAGGCCCTGGCCCGTCGCCCTCCCTAGGCCCTGGCCCGTTGCCCTACCCTAGGCCCTGGCCCGTTGCCCTACCCTACGTCTTGGCCCGTCGCCCTAGCCCGCTCTTCCGCTGCGACTGAGTCCTCTTCCCCCCCGGTTGTTACTCGCCTGTTCTTTCGCGTTGGTTCTCACTATGGCGACTCCGCGAGTTCTTCGTTTCGACGCCGACGGTAGACCCCTTGACTTTTCCATCTGGCTTCTTCGCGCTCGTCGTCTGTTAGAGAGTCAGGTCCAGGGGGGCGAGACCCTCTGGTCACACGCTACTGGTGACCTCCCCGAGCCCCCCGAGCCTACAGCTTTAGGCCCTGCTCCTGACGACGCTGCTACGGCTCGCTTTGCCCGTCAGCGCGCTGACCGGACGGCTTGGACGTCGCGTGACGCTGCGGCCTGCATCGCACTCAGCAGCCTCCTCCCTGAGTCCGAGGAGGTCCACTTTACTCAGGTTCGCACCGCTGCTGCGTACCTCACTGCGATTAAGGCCCGCTACTCTACTCCCGCTACTGTCTCTCTCGGCCGTCTTTTCCTCCCGTTCCTGTTTCCTGATCTTGCCTCGTTTGAGCGCTCTGCTGACTTGATCGCTCACCTCCGCTCGCTCGACGCTAGTTACCGCGCTGCTTGCACTGAGGCACAGCTTGCACTGCTTCCTCCCCCCATGGCGATTACTGTCTATTTCATCGCCACTAGCCTCCCTGACCGCCTTGCCTCCGTTCGTGACGCGCTTCTGCTGAAGCACCCTAGTGAGCTGACTATCGAGGTCCTTGAGTCTGCACTCAAGGACGTCGAGAGCAACCTTCGTTCGGTAGCTGCCGCCTCTGGTACTGTGTCCCCCCCACTCTTCCACGGGTGCACAGTCCCGCAGTTACCCACCTTCACTGCCTCTCTTGCCACTGCCGCTACTGACGCGACTGCGGCTGCTGTTACGACTGCGTCGCGGTCCCGCGGCAGGGGGGGCAAGAAAGGTTGTTCCGGTGGAGGTGGAGGCGGAGGTAGCGGAGGTAGTGGGGGTGCTGTTGCGACTGGCAGTGGTGGGAGTGCAGCGTCTGGAGAGACCCCTCGTGCAGCGGCTGGTGACTCCACTGCACCTGCTGGTGGCGGCGACCCTCGAGCTCGTCAGTCGCCTCCTGTACTGCCGGCCCCGCTAGGTGGAGCAGCGGCGTGGTACCAGGCTCAGCGTCAGCAGCACCTTCAGCAGCAGCAGCAGCCCCTTTCCTCCCAGCAGCCTCAGCAGCAGCAGCGTCAGCAGCTGGCTCCGGGGTCGGGGCTGCGTCAGCCCCAGCGCGGTGCGGCTTACCCTCCCTGCCCCTACCAGGTTCAGACAGGTCCTCGACGGGGCCACCCTTGTGGCCGCTTTCACCCCCCTGGTCAGTGCTTTGCTCAGCTCACTGACACGGTCCGGTTGACCTACGGGGTTGGCGGTCCTGCTCCTGACTGGCTTCCTCTGGTTCAGCGCTACGGCTCCGCTCTGTGGGGCATGTCTGCTGAGCAGTTAGTTGATCTGATTAGTGCTCCTCATGCTATGTATGCTGTTGTTGACTCTAGTGTTTCTGACTCTGTTTACTCTGGTGTTGTTAGCTTAGGTGCTAGTCTTGCTCAGTTGCCTGTTGCTAGTGTAGGTACTTGTGTAGACTCTAGACCAGCGACTACCTCAGAGGACACTTCGCTGTCGTTCACACTGGACTCTGGAGCCTCCCACTGCTTCTTTCGGGACAGCACGACACTTACACCACTTCCTGCGCCTGTTTCTGTAGCGTTGGCTGATCCCACTACGGGATCAGTCACTGCACGTCACACTACCACTTTACCGTGTCCTGCTGCTCCCTCCGGGTCTCTCACTGGGTTTCACGTCCCCTCGTTCTCCCGGAACTTGGTGGGTGTGCGACCCCTCGTGAGTCAGCACGTGGGTGTGTGGTTTAGCCTTCTGGAGAGACTGCGGTGTGTCTTGACGGAGACTCTTACCAGCCTCTTGCTACCTTTACTGCTGAGCCGGGCTCGGGTCTCTACACTCTTCACACTGGCCCGCGTGCGCCGCAGCAGCAGCCGCAGCAGCAGCAGCAGCCGCAGCCGCAGCAGCAGCAGCAGCAGCAGCAGCAGCAGCAGCAGCAGCACCAGCGGCCGCACCACCAGCCCCCCCTACTGCCACTGCCCCCGGTTCCCCCCCCCGTTCGGGTCCCCGCGTCTCACCAGGTTGCTACGTCCCCTCAGGTGTCTGTGTCGTGTCAGGTTCCTACGTCTGTTCCAGTCGCTGCGTCGTGCTCCTGCCGATCGCTTGCCCACCCCACCGTTCTGTGGCACCACCGGATGGGGCACCCGTCCCTTCCACGTCTGCGCGCTATGTCTAGTCAGCGTCTTGTCCTAGGCCTCCCACGTGTCTTGCCGTCGCTGCCGCCTTCGCCTGCGCCGCCGTGTTGTCCCTGCGTCGAGGGTAGGCTGCGCGCCACCCCTCAGTCCTCCTCCCTTCGTCCGGCCACCGAGCCTTTTGAGACGCTTCACTTGGACGTCTGGGGCCCCGCCCCTCGTCTAGGCCCTGAGCGTGAGCGTTACTTTCTGGTGGTCGTTGACGACTTCTCCCGCTACACCACAGTGTTCCCTCTGGCGAAGAAGTCTGAGGTGCCTTCTACGCTGATCAGGTGGTTGCTCACCACTGAGGACACTCGTGGTCGTCGTGTCAGCTGTCTCCACTCCGACCGTGGGGGTGAGTTTCGCTCCGGCATTCTCGCTGGATTCTGTCGCGAGCAGGGCATTCGTTAGTCCTGGACGCTTCCAGAGTCCCCACAGCAGAATGGGGTTGCTGAGCGCCGCATAGGCCTGGTCATGGAGATCGCCCGCACCTCCCTGACTCACGCCTGTGCCCCCCATTTTCTGTGGCCCTACGCGGTCAGGTACGCCGCGCACCAGCTGAACCTCTGGCCACGTGTCTCTCGACCAGAGGTTTCACCGACCAGTCTTTGGACAGAGTCCCGTGGTGTTGCGTCGCGGTTTCGTGTCTGGGGGTGCTTGGCTCTTGTCCGCGACACCTCCGCGGACAAGCTCTCGCCTCGTGCCGTCCCCTGTGTCTTCCTTGGTTTCCCTGAGGACTCCTCTGACTTCACCTTTTACCACCCTCCCTCTCACCGGTTCTTTGACTCCCGTGACGTCCGTTTCGAGGAGTCCACTCCGTACTACGTCAGGTACCCCAGTCGAGGTCTCCCGGTTCCTCCTCCCCCCCTCTTCCTGACTGCCGTTCCCCCTCCTGCTCCCCCGGTACAGCCTCCCCCCCCTGGTCCAGCCCCGTCAGGTGTGTCCCAGGCTACCCCTCCTCCTTCGGTAGCCCCTCCGGTACAGCCTCCCTCCCCACAGTCCTCCTCGCAGCGTGCCGCTGGTGCTAGCTCTCGAGAGGTTGGTGCGGCGCCTGTTCCTGTACCGGTTTCTGGTTCTGGGGGTGCTGGAGTTGGAGCTGGAGTTGGAGCTGGAGTTGGCACTGGAGTTTCTGGTTCTGGGGGTGCTGGAGTTGGAGCTGGGGTTGGAGCTGGAGTTTCTGGTTCTGGAGTTGGAGCTGACCCGGTGGGTGCTGAGGACTCTTGTCGTCCGGGAGCTGGTGCTGGCCGCGCGGACACTGGGGGTGCTGCGTCTGGGGGTGAGGGTGCGCCTCCTTCGGGTTGAGGTGAGCCTCGTTCTGGAGTTGGTGTTAGTGCTGCCTCTGGGGGTGGTGCGCCTAGTTCTCCTGAGGTGGACTCTGGAGCTGCCGCTGCTTCGGACACTACTCCACCCCCCCACCCCTACCCGACTAGGCACCAGGCTCGTGTTCGCCGTGCCCGTGACGAGCAGCTGGCGTTGGAGAGAGAGGAGAAGGAGTTACAGCGGCTGGAGGAGCAGCAGCAGCAGCTGGAGCCGCAGGAGCAGCAGCAGCAGCTGGACTCGCAGGAGCAGCAGTCCCAGCAGCAGCCGCGTCCGCAGCAGCAGCAGTCGCAGCCGCAGCAGCAGCAGCCACTTCCTCCTCCTGTCTCGGGTCTTCGGATCCTTGGTCTCCCCTCCCCTTCTCCTCCCTCCTCCGCATCTCCTCCTGTCTACGGTCCCACGTTTCCTCCTCCTGACTCCTCCCCCGCTGTTTTCCCCAGTTCTCCGCCTTTGTCCTCTCCTCCTCCGTCTCGTTCTTGGACTACTCGTCGCTCCCCTCGTGCTCGTCCCTCGTCTCCTGTTCCCTTCACTGACCTTCGTACTGCCTTCCTTCTTTCTAGTCCACCTCGTCCGTCTCAGTCTGTGCTTCCGTCTCCTCCTGAGTCGGCCCTCACTGTGTCGCTCCCTACTCCTGTCACTGACTACTACCGCACGTACCGTCCTGTTCTCTCTCGTGTTCTCGCCTCTCTTGTTACTCACCCTCGTGCCTCTGTGTCCTCTGTGTCCGCTCTTACTGCCGCAGTTACTGACTTTGCCTCTACCCGTCGCCTTGACTACGCCACCACGCTTGTGGCTGCTCCTCCTACCAGTCCTCTGGCCGTCGGGGGTGTGTCTGCCCTTGGCTGTGACGCCCTAGAGGACAGGCAGTTTGAGTTAGAGTTCCTGGCGGCCGCTTCCCCTCATCTCTGTGCCATGCTCCTCGCCCCTGAGGGTGACCCCGACGCCCTTGACATTCCGACTCCTCGCACTTACGCTGAGGCAGTGTCAGGGCCTTGGGCCTCTCAGTGGAGAGCTGCCATGGACGCAGAGATGGCCTCCTACAGATCCACAGGCACCTACGTCGATGAGGTTCCCCCCCCTGGGGCGAACGTAGTCGACGGCATGTGGATCTACAGGGTGAAGCGGCCACCGGGATCTCCCCCGGTCTTCAAGGCGCGCTATGTGGCTAGAGGTTTCAGTCAGCGCGAGGGAGTTGACTTCTTTCAGACCTTCGCACCTACCCCGAAGATGACCACTCTTCGGGTGTTACTACACGTAGCAGCACAGAGAGACTACGAGTTACACTCTCTTGACTTCTCCACTGCTTTCCTTCAGGGCAGTCTACACGAGGAGGTCTGGTTGCGTCGTCCCTCGGCCTTCACTGGCACTTTCCCTCCTGGGACCCAGTGGAGGCTGAGGCGACCTGTTTACGGTCTTCGCCAGGCCCCTCGTGAGTGGCACGACACTCTGCGTTCTACCCTCTCTGACCTTGGGTTCCAGCCGTCTTCTGCCGACCCGTCGCTGTTCGTTCGTCGTGGCTCCACACCGTTCTTTGTTCTGGTCTACGTCGACGACCTCGTTTTCGCCACTTCGGACAGGGTTGCTTTGGCAGACGTGAAGTCCGAACTGCAGAAGAGACACACGTGCACTGATCTTGGTGAGCTGCGCCACTACCTTGGCCTGCAGATCACCAGGGACAGAGCCGCTCGCACCATTACACTCTCACAGTCACACATGGTGCAGCAGGTCCTTCAGCGGTTCGGGCTTCAGCACTCCACCGTACAGCGCACACCTCTCGCTGTTGACCACAGACTCACTGGTCCCTTTCCTGACGAGCCGTTTGAGCCTAGTGGTCCCTACGCAGAGCTTGTGGGTTGCCTCATGTACCTGATGACTTGTACTCGCCCGGACCTCGCCTTCCCTCTCAGCATCCTTGCGCGCTTTGTTGCGCCAGGGAGACACCGTCCTGTTCACTGGACGGCAGCTGTGAGGGTGGCGAAGTACCTAGCGACTACATCAGGCGTGGGGCTAGTTCTTGGAGGGCAGCAGTCTGTCGTACTCACTGGTCACTGTGACTCCTCTTACGCTGACGACGCTGAGACTCACAGGTCTACTCAGGGGTACTGTTTCAGTCTGGGTTCTGGAGCTGTTTCCTGGCGTTCCACGCGCTCCTCTTCTGTCTAGACCTCTACAGCTGAGGCTGAGATTTACGCTGGTGCCATGGCGGCACAGGAGTTGCGGTGGTTGACCTTCTTGCTCGCCGACCTTGGTGAGCGGCCGAGCTCTGCACCGACCTTGTTTACTGACAACAAGGCGTCGATCCTCCTCTGTCGTGAGCCGCGACTGGAGAGCAGAGTGAAGCACATTCACGTCAGGTACTTTCTTCTGCGAGAGTTGCAGAGGCGTGGACAGGCTCGCTTCGAGTTTGTAGAGTCCGAGGCCAACACTGCAGACATCTTCACCAAGGCGCTTCCGCCTTGTGACCACCAGAGGTGTTGTGTGCAGTTAGGCCTTGTTGACACAGGTTCTAGTCATGCGTAGACTTGAGTTTATTGCCTGCTTCGTCTGTACACTTACTATATATACTTGTGATCTCTTGGACTGGCCTTGTGGCCACTGTTGCTTGTGCTCAGAGTGTGTGGTGACGTTGTGATCCACCCTGAGCTTTGTTTTCTTTTGGACTGGTCTTGTGTTCGTACTCTTTTTTTTGTTTTTGCTAGACACCCCTCACTTAGGCTATGGGGGTGTGTCAAATGTTGTAGCCTGTAGTGAGGTTTGTCTTTGGGGGTACAGAAGTTAGGGTTTGTCATATGTACCCCAACCAACATCAATGCAACATCCATTCCTCATTCTGACAGAGGGATCATGCACACAGTTTCTTGCATAACACGGAACTAGTACCGATAATATGTTTCACGGGTTTAGGCTGGTTTGTGGGCCCTGGTGCTGGGAACTGTAACCTGCATGATATGCCTTAAAATGGCTCACCCGTTCGATTGCTGCAGCGGCATACGGTAGGCTTGACAATTCCACCCTAACTCAACCAGTCTGGTACCCTCATTCCGGCTATGGCCTCCCCCGTGGAAGCTACGGTATTTTTGCCCCATGTGGAGGCTGGACAATTTCTCCGTAACCAACTCAACCAGACCAATAATACGGTACTGTAGTATATATATCTGTGACTCTCTATCGAGTAAATGAGTGATAAACCAGGCCCTTGCCTTCCTCACTTGTTCCCACAGCATCGTTTCTACAGTTTCGACACTAGTTAGCACTCCAAAGGGACCCAATATGTTTTGACGAATGAATGTGTAGTTTATTGGTTCAAGAATACACACACGCAACCCAGATATTCTCAACCAATTACTTAAATATTACCGGGTTACGCTCTTCCAGGCTATCACAGCCCTTTCTCGTCCTCATCTGACCATAGCTTTACAGCTCATGGCTCTTCTGGTAGAAGACGATATCTCCCTCAGACGCCACAAAGTGGTCCTCACCAAAAGACTTTACCAAAGGCTCTAGAAGATGGTAAGGGAAGGGGCCCTTGCATGGCTCTGGTTCGCGGTAGTAGTTTCCAAGAATAGGCTTGATGGCCGCCGTCTGGATGATAACCAGCAGGAGTAAGGGGTTAGGCATGCAGTTCCATGAGTTAAACAAGGGGAATGTCAAACTGGATGCAGGGACAAGCACTTACTGCTTCTGTCAGGTTGTAGTGGGGAATTTGGGGAAACAGATGATGCACCACGTGCGTTCCAATGTCATGGTGAATCTTGTTGAACATCCCGTAGTCTCTATCAATAGTTGATAGGCCTCCCCTCAGGTACGACCATTCCTGCAGAGCAGAAATCCCACTTTCAGCACGCCACGAGGATTGTGCTAAAGCTGATAACTCGAACAAAGGAAGTCACGTACCTTCCCCCTGTACCACGGAACCTTCTTGTTGTATCCATGGTGATGAAGGTAGGTGACCAGGTCGAGCCACATCACATTAATCTACGCACAAGGGCAACAAGTTCGGTTAGATTTTCACTTCTTCGACTTGGTCTAGAGGTTCATTCATTGATGGATCACTCACCCAGTACGGCATGAAGTAGAGCTTGAACATGACGAGGGGCCCGAACGTGACCGAGAGAGCGGCCAAGAGAGCGACCATGCCCCACCACCACGTTGCCGAGGTGACAACGTCGTTGTATTCGGCCTCCGTGAACAGGTCGCACTTGGGGTCGAAATGGGATCCCTTCTTGCCTGGAGTGCGCAACCACTGAGAAGGGAGCACATGTCAGTGTCACGAACTGAATTCAGCAGAGGGGAGGAGGGGTCGGAGCGAACGCGACAGTGAATTCACGGGAATGCGACCAGGGGCACATACCAGGTAGAACGGGAAGGCGACGAGGGGAAACGGGAATTTGAACCTCGCGAGTTTGGACCCAATGTCCATTTGCTCATAGACCTCCTTCGTAATCTGATAAAAGCATGGGAAGGCGTCAGTGACGTCACTGAAGACACGCTAGACACTGAAGATGGATCTAGGTTTGTGACATGGTGCAGTCCTTACCGGATACCAGGACTCATCATTCTCGACGTGGCCGTGGTTAGCGTGGTGTGTGCGATGGCTTATCCTCCTGCAACGTCGTAGCGAAAGCAGATTAAGCCTTGAAGCATGCAGCAGTCGTAGCGAAATCAGATTAAGCTTCAAAGCTTGCAGCACGGTTTTTCCTTGCAACCTGAATGACGAACTCACCACCCGTGGTAAGGGACGAGGATGAACGCGTGACTGAGATGCCCAACGATGTCGTTGAGACTGCGGCTGTCCGAGAAACTTCCATGACCACTGCATTGAAAATGAGACACTACAAGTGAGTATCACTGTAAGACACCCAGATCTCGATATCAGCGCAATCACCGGATGATCAAGCGACATACCAGTCGTGGCCGACGACGAAAAGAGCCCAGAACATGGTTCCCTGAGCGAACCAATAGAGAGGCCACAGGGTCCATGAATCGAAGTACAGCGCCACGGCACCGAGGGTGAAAACGATAAAAAAATCACGAACGAAGTAAGACAGCGATCGCATGGGGCTTTTCACCCAGCAATGCTTGGGAATGGCGTTACGTAGATCCGACAAGGTGAAGGGGGGAGGAGCGGAGTAGTCGAAGTCCTTGGATTTGAGAGGAGCGTCGGCTTGCCCATTGGCAGCCATGGTGGGTGAATCAGCTGTCATTCTGCAGAGTCCCGACTCACGGGCTCAGCAACTAAGCAAAACTGATGTTAGGAGGAACCTAACAGGACCTGCAGTTGTACCCCCCTCAGTGCTGTTCACGAGGAACCAGGGACTCGCAACAAGAGTAACCTTCTGCTTGAGCCAACTTCGAAAGTAGTTTCACACGAGATGGGCAAACCAGAGGTGACCACTCTGGGCTGATCACCAGGCCAACTCAGCAGAGGTATGGACTACGGGGATTCGTTTCGAGTGGACATGGACAGCTACCGGATGGGACACACACAGGCCGCCAAAGCGGGGAAACTGGTGGACGAGAAGGGGAAGTTGAGCGGAATTTGTGGGCGAGACCTCGACTGCTAGTATGGCGGTCAGCCTTGGCCAATTGGATCAAGCGCCGAGCCAGGTGATCACGGACGATGATTCGTCCGACGTAACATACTAGGTGCTTGACTGTACATGTTTTCCGAGGAATCAACCCAACCCTTTGGGGGACCTGACCGTGAAGGTATTTTTCTGGCAAACAACATTGATACACACACTGAGGAATTGTGTGTCCATAACCAGCGAGAAACGTTATGAAATAAAACATATATTTCCCTAACAATCGTTCAGTGGGTGAACCCGTGCAAGAGCTAGCATACACAGTACATGCCCAGGGTGCCCAGGGTGAACACCAAGCTAGATACGACCATTTTTCCCACGGTCCAGATGCGTCGGTCGAACCGTGAAGGCACAAAACACGTCTACGCTATTGAGAATTCGTTTGCGCCGCCATTGCATTCTCTACTCTCACATACACATCAGCCATTTTACAAGGATTTCTCGAAACATGTCTGGTTACCCATATGCACAACAAGCTAAAATATATCGCTTCTGCGACGCGCCCTAGTGAATCTTTCCCCATGCCGACAAATCTTCATCTCTCCACGTGCTCATGCATCGACGGCCGTGTGAGAAGCCGGTCCCACCCGATCTGATCGTACGATCGAGAGTTGCTTTATGATGGTCCCTTCCACGTTCGCACCTACCCTTGCCCAGTCATCCGCGGCCTTTCAATAATCTCTAGGGTTGGCTCCTTCACTCCATTTTCCTTCTGCTCCACCGTTCTTTGCTTGCTGTTGCTTCAGGAGCAGACATCAGGATTGACAATTCTCACCAAAGCTCCGCATTCACCAGCTAGAGTCCACATGCACTTAGAAGCTCTGGTCATAGAGGGATTCACATGGCAATATCACCACGCATACACGCTACACACGGGTTCCTAAGAACTTGTCTTTCGCAGGACCACGCGCAGTAGCTATCAAGCACGTTAGTGTCACATATGGCACGTGACCTAGTTTCGCTCACGCACTCAGGACGTGGTACCGCCAACGTAAGGTTCGACCCGACATTTCAAATCTCTTGCATTTTATCGCCTTCAGAGTGCTAACTTCTCCCGTTATAATTTAGTAACCGTCGCAGGCGTGAACAATAGTAAGCCTTACTTGGCTAAGAGGCTTGGAGCCTTTACAATAATCGAACAGGGTATTAGTGGCGGACTCTTTGAGCTATTCACATGCGCAACCGAGGATTGAAACGCCGCATCTGTGTCTGAAAACGCAACGGCCCGAGGAAGTTTTGTTGGCGTGGCATCATGAGCAGCAGCAATGGGCTTCCGCCCAACTGTCCGCCTGACGGTTTCGGCCTTCCACGTACGACGCTACTAGAAGCACTGCTACTTCAGCAGCATTCTCGGTCTTCCCGAGTTCTCCTTTCCAATCCAAGAACCGCCATCCATTCTTTCCGCTCCCCCACCTCAGCGGCTTTCCCCACATTGGCCCTCCTTCCTCCCTTTTTCCCTCCTCACCCAGCTGCTCTTCCCACATTGTCCCCCACCTTCGCTCCCCCAACCTCCGCTCCCCCACCCTCGGCACCCCCACCCTCCGCTCCCCCACCCTTGGCACCCCCACCCTCGGCTCCCCCACCATCGGCTCTCCCCACTTCGGCTCCCCTCACGCCGCTCAGCGTCCCCCCTGCCTTCTCCCTCCCTGCTGGGCAGAATATTTTTACAACAACTCGGGCAGCTGCGCGCAGCAGACGTCGTTCTTTGCCGGGCAGCCCGTGCTGTCGGTGGGGGTGGGGTACGCCGTGGTGCTGGGTTTTGGCGCGTTCTTCGCCGTCTTCACCTCCTGGCTCGTACGGCACTCCTCCCTCTCCTCCTCTCTCACTCTCACTCTCTCACTTGCTCACTCACTCACTCGCTTGCTCACTTTCACACTCACTCACTCAGAGAGTGGTGCAATGCAAACCCACCTCATTCCCACGATGCTGGTTCTGTCTGCAGGTGTGGCTGGACAAACGAAACGTTGGCACGTGGCAGAGCAGCGTGTGTTGCAAATCCACATAAGTCACCCGACTCACTCTTCCATCCCCACTCACCACCAGGTGTGGCTGGACAAGCGGTATGTGGGCACGCGGCAGAGCAGCGAGTGGTTCAACACAGCGGGCAGGAACGTGAAGACGGGGCTTATAGCGAGTGTGATTGTATCGCAGTGGACCTGGGCTGCCACCATCCTGCAATCCTCCAATGTCGCCTTCCAGGTACCGCGCTGTACCGTTCTCGACCGTGCTTTGCCTGCTCTGATGCATCATCAACTCTGTCATGTGACACCATGTTTGCTGTGTCTGGACCATGAACTGCCTCACTCCATACTAGATCCATGGCTGTGCCCCTCCCCCTCCCAAATTCCAACAGAACGGAGTGAGTGGGCCGTTCTGGTACGCCAGTGGGACGACCGTGCAGGTGCTGCTGCTCGGCATCATTGCTGCACCGGATAAAACCACATAGCTTCACACATTTATGCCCTCACACATCCACACAACCCCCCCACCAGAACGGAGTGAGTGGGCCGTTCTGATATGCCAGTGGGGCAACAGTGCTGGTGCTTCTGTTTGGCATATTATCTGGAACAGATTAAACAGCACATGCTCTCACACTCCCATGCTCTCACACCCAACCCCCCACCAGAACGGAGTGAGTGGGCCGTTCTGGTATGCCAGTGGCGCCACGGTGCAGGTGCTGCTGTTTGGCATCATAGCTGTAGAGATCAAACGCAAAGCCCCCAACGCCCACACCGTTTGTGAAATCGTCCGCGCCAGGTGAGGCTAGGTGGGTGATGATTCTGGCAAAGGTTCAGGTAGCCGTTTGGGTGAATGTTCAAGTAATGGTTCAGGTGATGGCTCAGGTTCCCACTATATGCCTGCATGTTGTTGACCAGCAATTCCTTTCCCAGCTTAACCATGCAAATGGTTTTGATTTTTATAATTACCATTACTATTATCACTACCATTACCATTACCATTATTATTACCATTAGCATTACCATTACCACTACCGTTATCATTATCATTACCATTACCACTACCATTACCATTACCATTACCACTACCATTAAAGCTGTCGCCTACATATTTCCTGCGGGAGGACTTGGTTTATCACTTAAAAACCTGGTAGCACAGGGCTTCGCTCCAACCTTGAGTGGCGAGGTGTAGTTACTGTTTTGTGACAACCCAACCCCCCCTCTGAAAATAGGACTGCTTAGGATTGGCTTACAGTTTTCGCGCCCATCTCATCCCCAACCTCGATTGGTTGCAGGTTGTGACGAAATCTCCAACACAACCCCAACCTCACGAAAAAAGTACCCCCCAGCCGAGCCTTGCACGAAACTGGCGGGATTCGCCAATTGTGTTCGAAACCTTCGCGCCCTCATTTCTGGAAAAGGATCATTTCGTGAGCAAATCAGACTGCGTCTTAGGGTGTGCACCCGAAATACCCACAAAAAATACCATTTTGTATGTAGACCGCAGCTTTAAGATTACCATTACGACTACTATTACCATTTCCATTACCATTAGCATTACAACTATCTTTATCATTACCACTACCGTTACCATTACCATTACCACTACAATTACCAATATCACTATCATTACCATTACTATTAGCATTACCTATCATTACCACTACCATTACTATTACCATTACCACTATCATTACCATTACCACTACCATTACCATTACCATTACCATTACCATTACCATTATCATTACCACTATCATTGGCATTACCATTACTACTACCATTACCATTACCATTACCATTACCATTACCATTACCATTACCACTACCACTACAATTACCCATCACCACGTCCACCTGGTGGACATGGTTTCGTTTTTCAATTCCTTCATTTCTGGTCACTCCCACCTACGCATCTCCATGTCTACCAGGTGGGGCACAGCAGCGCACGTCTGCTTCCTCTTCTTCTGCTTCCTCACCAACACCATTGTCACTGCCATGCTCGTGCTGGGAGGAGCAGCAGTCGTCACTGCCTTAACAGGACTCAACGTGTATCTTGCGTCGTTTCTCGCACCCATTGGAGTCATCTTCTACACCCTCGCAGGAGGTCTCAAGGTGAGTAAGGAGGTATTGAGGTGAGTGAGTGCCACACATGCACCCTCACCTACACCATTGTCACAGCCATGCTTGTGCTGGGAGGCGCTGCAGTGGTCACTGCCCTAACAGGACTCAACGTGTACCTCGCTTCGTTTCTCGCACCCATTGGAGTCATCTTTTGCACCCTTGCCGGAGGCCTCAAGGTGAGTCAGGCACATGTCTCTCTCGCCCGTGCCCTTTTGCTCCTCCCTCCTGCCACCCCTTCCATATCACCTTCCTAGCGTCATACATCCACATCGTCATCGTGCATGGCATCCTTGTGACCTTTGTTCTGCTCTGCATGCACGCTTATCATACCCTTTCCAACCTGCACACCCTTATCTACCCCCCCTACACACACCAGGCCACCTTACTAGCGTCCTAAATCCACAGCGCCAGCGTGCATGGCATCCGTGTGACCTTTGTGCTGCTCTCCTTGCTCCTCTACCGTGTCCTCTTGACCTTCCACACTCGTGCACTCCCACCAGTTCCCCCCCACACCAGGCCACCTTCCTGGAGTCATACATCCACAGCGCCAGCGTGCATGGCATGATGGCATCCGTGTGACCTTCGTTCGGCTCTGCAAGCACGCTTATCATACCCTTTCCAACCTCTTCGCCTTTATCCACCCCCCCCCACACACTTCAGGCCACCTTCCTGGCGTCATACATCCACAGCGCCATCATGCACAGCATCCTCTGTACCTTCCTGCTGCTCTCCTCTCCCTCGTACCCATACCATATCCCTTCCCAATCTGCGCAACCTTCATCTTCCCCCACACCAGGCCACCTTCCTGGCGTCATACATCCACAGCGTCATTGTGCACAGCATCCTCTGTACCTTCCGGCTGCTCTCTGTACCACCCCACCTACTCTTCCCCCCCTTCTCCCCCCCTCACCAGGCCACCTTCCTAGCATCATACATACACAGCGCCATCGTGCATGGCATACTCGTCACCTTTGTGCTACTAGTCTACTGCTTCAGCGGCTACCTCGGCTCGCTCGCTGCTGTTTTCAACAACCTTGAGTTTGCTGCCAGCCCAACCAGAGACTGCCGGCTCACCAACCCGGGACAGGTGAGGCTATGAGGCCGTTTGTTACTGTTCTCCAAGCCCTTGGGACTGCGTTTCATGCTGTTTAGCACGGTGAGTCAAAGCCCCTCCCTTGGCTCGCCTGCTGCTCGTTTCAACAACCTTGACTCTTGAGTTTGCTGCCAGCCCCACAAGAGACTGCCGCCGCACAAAACCCTGGGCCGGTGTGTGGGCTGGTGGTGGAGTGGAGGGTAATGCTTGTACCTGATGATTCTGTCACCAGGGGGGTTCATGCTTGGCATCATAGTGCAAGTGCTCGCTCTCCCCCTCACACGCTCACACACAAACGCATGCACGCCCGTCACTGGGTGTGCGGACCAGTGGACGGAAACTACGAGGGGTCATAAATGCCATGCTGTCACCCAGAGAGGTTATGTTTCTCGTTGCACGCTCTTTCTCCCTACCCCTACCATCTCGTACACATACGCCTCAACCCATCACCAGGTGTGTGGGCCGGATGGCAATTATGAGGGGTCGTACCTGACCATGCTGTCACCCAGACGGGTTATGTTTCTCATTACACGCTCTTTCTCCCTACCCTCCCCACCTTCTCCCCCCCCCCCCCCCCCCCCCCCCCCCCCCGACCCATCACCAGGTGTGTGGGCCGGTGGATGGTAATTATGAAGGGTCATACCTGACCATGCTATCGCCCGGGGGGTTCATGTTTGGCATTGTCAACATCGTCGGCAACTTTGGTGCCGTCTTCCTCGATAATGTGAGACCCGTGCTTCTGGCATATCTCATGCAACAGTCGTTTCTTTTTGTTCTGTCATGGGCAAAGTTGGTGCTGCCTTCCTCGACAATGTGAGACCTGTGGTTTCAATCAACTGATACCATCAGTTAGAGCTGTTGCTGTTGCTGTTGCTGATGCTGATGCTGATGCTGTTGCTGTTGCTGATGCTGATGCTGTTGCTGTTGCTGTTGCTGTTGCTGATGCTGTTGCTGTTGCTGATGCTGTTGCTGTTGCTGTTGCTGATGCTGTTGCTGTTGCTGATGCTGTTGCTGTTGCTGTTGCTGTTGCTGATGCTGTTGCTGATGCTGTTGCTGTTGCTGTTGCACTTGCTCTTGCTGTTGCTGTTGCACTTGCTCTTGCTGTTGCTGTTGCTGATGCTGTTGCTGTTGCTGTTGCACTTGCTCTTGCTCTTGCTCTTGCTCTTGCTGTTGCTGATGCTGATGCTGATGCTGATGCTGTTGCTGTTGCTGATGCTGATGCTGTTGCTGATGCTGTTGCTGTTGCTGTTGCTGTTGCTGATGCTGTTGCTGTTGCTGTTGCTGTTGCTGTTGCACTTGCTCTTGCTGTTGCTGTTGCTGTTGCTGATGCTGTTGCTGTTGCTGTTGCTGTTGCTGTTGCTGTTGCACATGCTCTTGCTGTTGCTGTTGCTGTTGCTGATGCTGATGCTGATGCTGATGCTGTTGCTGTCCATCCATTCTCTCTCCTTCCAAACCTCCCTCTCTCTCCTTCTCCCTCCCCCACCCCTAAGGGTTATTAGATGTGTGCCATAGCATCGCGCCCCTCCTCTACTCATCGAGGCTACATCCTTGGAGGCCTCGTCCGATTCGCTGTCCCTTTCTCCCCCATCCTTCCCACTCCGCTCCCTCCCTCCCCTCCCTTCTCCCACTCTCACCTCATCCCCCACCGCACAGGGTTATTGGATGAGTGCAATAGCATCGCGCCCCTCGTCCACGCACAGAGGCTACATTCTGGGAGGTCTCGTCTGGTTCGCCGTACCGTTCTCCCTCGGGACCTCCCTCGGCCTTTCCAGCCTCGCCTTGGGATTGCCAGTCACTCTAGAGGAAGCTTCCCGTGGCCTCGTTCCCCCCGCTGCAGCCGTGGCTTTGATGGGGGATGCAGGGGCAGTGCTTATCCTCGTTATGGTGTTCATGGCTGTCACTTCTGCTGGGTCTGCGGAGCTTTTAGCGGTTTCTTCGCTTATGACTTATGATATTTATCGCACGTATATCAACCCGAAGGCAACTGGGCGGCAGATTTTGTTTTACTCTCGGGTTTTCGTGCTGAGTTACGGGCTGTTTATGGGTGTACTGGCGGTGGGGCTTAGCGAGTTGCGGGTTTCCCTAGGCTGGATGTACCTTGTAATGGGCGTGCTTATAGGGAGCGCGGTTATACCTGTAACGAACCTGCTCCTATGGAAAAAGGCAAACGCAGTGGGGGCGATAGCTGGGTGCATTATCGGGATGATCTCGGGTGTAGTGTCGTGGATTACTGTAGCAGTGGTCATGTACGGTACTGTGGATCTCAACAGTACGGGGGAAGAGGCACCGACGCTGACCGGCAACTTGGTGTCGCTCTTTGTTGGTGGCATCGTGCACGTGGCTCTCAGGTGGGTCTTTTACACCTCTCTTACCATTTATCTGCTTTGTCCTGGCTCATGTCCCCTGCCTCAGATACTCTTGCTTACCTTCACATTCTCCTCCCACCCCCATGCCCCTCCCAGCCTGAATTATCCAGACGAGTGTAGCTATGCCAGCACGAGAGCCATAACGCTGGTGGATAGAGACTGGCACTCCGACATACCCCCCTCAATCTGTTCTCCCTTGCTCTTGTCCTCTCCCACGCACATCCTTACTCCCCCCAGCTCAAGTATCCAGACGACTACGACTATGCCAGCACGAGAGACATAACGCTGGTGGATCGGGACTGGCACTCAGACATCCCCCCCTGGGAGCACGATGAGACGCGACTCAAGCAAGCTCGCCACTGGATCATCCTCTGGGGAGTCTGTCTCTCCATCGCTCTCCTGGCCCTCTGACCATTTGCCTTTCTCCCTCTCACTCCCTGTTCTCCTCCTCTCCTTACCCTCTCTTTTTCTCTTCCCATCCAGCCTCAAGTATCCAGACAACTACGACTATGCCAGCACGAGAGCCATAACGTTGGTGGATCGGGACTGGCACTCCGACATCCCCCCCTGGGAGCACGACGAGACGCGCCTCAAGCAGGCCCGCCACTGGATCATCCTCTGGGGGGTCTGCCTCTCCGTGGTTCTCCTAGCCCTCTGGCCGCTCCTTGCCCTCCCCGCGGGGGTATTTTCCCTCGGGTATTTCACTTTCTGGGTCGTGATTGCGATCACGTGGGGCGTGATTGCGTCCGCGGTGATTATTTTCCTGCCCGTTTACGAGAACTGGCGCGGGTTAGTTCTGGTTATAGACGGGTTATTTACGAGCGATATTCTGCAGGAGAAGGTCGATGATATAGGTCTGCGATTGGCTGCTATCATGGCTACCATACCTGAGGCGGAGGCCCGGTATCTACAGTACAAGCGGGAGATTTACGATCTTCGGCATAGAAGCTCGGGAGTGCCTAGCAGTACTACCGAAGGAAAGAGCCCCGAGCAAGGTGTAGGACAGCCGCAGCTGCAGCAGCAGCAGTCGTTTCAGCAGCAACAGCAGTTCCAGCAGCTGCAGCAGCAGGGGCAGATTCAAGAGGTGCAGCATGAAGGGCTTTTTGGCCCATAGTACCGTAGATAGGGTAGAGGGAAATTGCGGTGATGGTGGTTGAGAGATATAAAGCCGCGGTGAGGGCATCAAGGTGCGTCCTCCTTTGCTGGCAATGTGGTTTGTTTCGGATTCCAATCTGTTTGAATAACTTGTTTTGTTGGCAGGGTACAGTAAGCTTTCTTGTCGCAGAGGCTCTCGATTGCAATAACGAATAAAAAAAATTGTTAAATAAGTTTTTCCTCCACAAGATAGGAAAGTGTTACATAATCCAGAGGCAGCTTCAACCACTTGCACCCGACTCCCGCTCTCGATCTCAATCCCTCCTTGTCAGCAGCAGCAGCATCAACAGCATCGGCAGTAGCAGCAGCAGCAGCACCACCACCACCCATCATGTTCTTAAAACCCCTCGTGAAGCAATTGAGCTCATGGTACCCTTCCAATTGAGCCGCTTCGCTTTCCCAATCCCCCTTCCCATCTCCTTCCTCACCATCCCCCTCTCTTCCCTCTCCTCCATTCACCTTCCCCTGGCCTTCCTCCTGGCCTTCCCCCTGACCTCCCCCTTGCCCTCCACCCTGCCCTTCCCACTCCCTTTCCTCCCGCCTCCGCCTCAGCCTGAATTGCTTCCCTCCCAGAAACCCCTTCTCTATAAAGTGCTTCACTATGCGTCCTCCCTCCCTTCTCACACGCCCTTCCAGCCCCTCATACAGCTCACCATCCATATCCACATAGTATCTCACATCCAGACAAAGCTCGCATGCCACTGCAGCTTCGGCTAATTTTCGAAGCACAAGCTGAGGCTCGGTGGCTGGATGCCTGCTTCGGGCATAGGCTCGGGCGACAGCGTTGAGGTTTCCGAACCCAAAGATGTGGTTCGGCTCGAGAGCATTGCCTTCGCCCCACTCGTTCCAAGCTGCAACAAAGAAATACGTCCCGTTCGCAACACCCTCTTGCACCTCCGCTGACTCTTTTTTTACTCCACCTGTATCCGAGCCTCTTTGCCTTTTCTCTGAACCTTCCTGGTCTTGACTTAAGCTAGGTTCTTGAGTCTTTGTGCTGTCTGGGATGCCGAACCTTGCCCGGTCCTCAGCCACGTCTTGCCGAGCCAGCCTCATCCGAGCCTCCATCCTTGCTGTCAAGTGGATCGGGTCCTCTGCCACATCACCGAGCCTCCACGATAGGTCCGTCGAGTGCCTGGGAAAATTATCCCATGCCACGTACGAGCCTCGGTAGTGGTTCGGATGAAGCCGAACCGGGGATGGGGTTTCGCCGAACTGAAACTTGCGGTAGTTAGGTTCGTATTCTGCCACAGCTTGCACCAGGGAGCGTTGGTTCGGTGTGCTGTTGGTGTGTGTGAGGCACTGGAACAGATGCAGGCCCAGGAAGCCTTGCTGCCGAGCCAGGCTGTGCCAGAGGTCAAACATCCCCCGAGCCTCAGGTTCGGGAATATCGCCGAGTTGGTAGATACCGAACATAGGCTGGCCAGATACCTGGTGGGGTGGAGATGAGACCGTAAGTAAGCGAGAGCGAAAGAGAAATGGGAAAGAGATGCACGGAGAAGGCAAGAAGAGGGGCAAGGAGACAGGGAAAGGAGCGAGGAGAAATGTTAGCTAGAAAGACCGTGAGCAAGATGCAATCAATGGAGCCAAACCACTCAGGACAAGCATCACTGAGACCTAGCTATCTACCCACCCAGAAAGGGGTTGCACAGCATACCTTGATGTAGTTCGGATGGTTGAAAAATTTCAGCAGCCAGTCAAAATGCTCCTTCCAACATTCCTCATCCCCATACGTCTGCTCCAGCAGCACTCCGTTCCCTCCCGCTTTTGCCCCATCCCACCGGTTTGTCCACGGCTCATTTGCCCAGATAAGACAAAACGGGAGGTTGGGCTCGCCGTCCTCTAGCATCCGGAGCAGAGGCTCGGCGAGCGTGGTTCGGCGGCAGCCGAACCAGTAGTGGTGGTAGCACAGGCCATGGAACCCGTAGGCTCGGGCCAGAGCTGAGGTTCGGCGGCGGTGGGAGCGAGAAAGGAAGTTATAATACCCACCAGAGAGGGGCGAGAGGGGGTGGGAGATTGGAAGTGCGTTCAGAATGGGGGTAGAGATGAAGTGTAGAGCGGTATGGGGAGGTTCGGGAGGAGTTGCGGGGCCGATGGGGTGGGCGACAGGGCGGAAGGTGGTGGGGTGGAAAAAGGATCGCTTGACGTTGTCCCACTCGGAGAAATTGACTCCCCAGAACTGATCGTTCTCCCTGCATGCATGGAACTGGAAGGAAACAGGGGAGGATGGAGAAGTGGAGGGAAACGGATGGAAGGGAATGGGGGAGAAGTGGAGGGAAACGAATGGAAGGGAATGGGGGAGAAGTGGAGGGAAACGAATGGAAGGGAATGGGGGAGAAGTGGAGGGAAACGAATGGAAGGGAATGGGGGAGAAGTGGAGGGAAACGAATGGAAGGGAATGGGGGAGAAGTGGAGGAAAACGAATGGAAGGGAATGGGCAGAGGAGGAAAGTTGGTGACGTGACCTGGCTCTGCACCCGTGCTTTGAACCCCTTGGAGCATGGTAACTCAATCAACCAGAGGAAAAATGCCCACCCAGCGGCACCACTCATCACCCTATTGTACCGCCCGTTCATCCTACCGCACATCACCTCACCAAACCAAACATCACCTGTGGAAAGACAATCGCAATGAGCTTCAAATCCGGATCCACCGCCACTCCTCTCACGCCCACATCGCTGCCGCCCGTTCCCCTCTCCGATTCTTCAGGTGGCAGCTGTAGCTCTTTGGGCGGCAGCTGCAGATCTTCGGGCGGCAGCTCTAGCTCTTTGGGCGGCCGGTGCACGAGTGGCAGCTGGCGCAGCAGGGAGAAGGCACATCCCCGCCGCAGGTGCCGGCACACAGGGTTCTTAGAGAAGGGCGGGCGCGCTCTGGGCTAGAGGGGGGAGGCGGGGGGAAGAGGGGGAAGAGGGAGAAGATGCGGGGGAAGGGGGGGGGGGGGGTGGGGGAGGGGGAAGGAGCAAGGGGGTGGGTGGAGGGAGAGAAAGGGAAGCGAAATTGGAAATGGGAGATTGGGATGGGGAAGGATGTGAGGGATTTTGGAGTTTGAGAAAAGAAAGGGTGCGAGTATGGAGTGCGGAAGAAAGGGGGTGGGAAGGAAGGAGGAGGGGAGGGGGATAGGGGGAGGGCGGGGGGATGCAGAGTCCAACCACCCTCACATGTTCCGAACGAATCTGAAGTCAAACGCCGTGTCGAAAAACGCCCCTGCAATTCCTGGGTTGTCTGCGCGGGTAACCCTATCCTGATTGCTCACTCCCGCGAGCAAATCATGCCACGCCACCTGGCGGCTGCGCTTCAATCCGCAGCGCGCCGCGGCTGCGTTCATGGCGGACCAATAGCGGCGCGCGAACCACGCCACGATGGCGCGCTCCGGTGGAGGGAAGGGCGGAGGATTGTCCTCGTTGGAAGCGTTTCCAATGCCGTCATAAGAGCTACTCGTGCCATTGCTGCTGCTGCTGCTGCAGCTGCTGCTGTTCTTAGTACAGCAATCAGCGGAGATATGCTGATGCGGGGACGCCGAATTGGTAGCGTCGCCGATGGACGCGGAGAGGGTAAGGGAATGAAAGAGAGGAGAGGCCGGGAGGACGGATGGAGAGGAGGAGTGGAGGAGGCGGAGGAAAACGACAAGCAAGCCCAATTGCAGCGCAATGATGACTGCAGCTAACGTCAGCGGCACGCATTGGCGGAGCTTGTGTGTCCATAGGAACGAGGCCGTTGGTCCTCGCATCAAGACACTCCGATAAGACGGGCCTCGATACGACTAATTAGATGGCGTATCGAAGACTAGTTTTTTATCGCGCCGAAACGACAGCCATAAAATATCGTCGAGCATTCGCGTCGTCAACACCATTCAGTTCACCTATCCATTACCAACCATTCAGCAAGAATGACGAAGATGCATAACACCACCTAATTGCAGTGATGTGATTGCTTCAGTGATCGTCGTAAGGGCGCGCTAGGTAAAAAATGGACCTTGGGAAGGGCTGAACAGCCACCCTGTCAGTGCGAAGGCATCGCAGGAACCTCACGAAGACGATTCATAATTCGCAAGGCAACAACGCCTGCAGCGAACTTTTTTTTCTAGGCTGTCTAGAAGGACAAACAGTGATCTCGGTAACCTCTGGAAGCACAAAACGATGCGGATATGCTCGTAACAAACATTGGAGCTTGCTGCATGGCAGTACAGTTTACGGGTCAAAAAGTGGACCATTCTAGGGCTGCGCTGAAATTTGTTGTAAATAAACACGCACCAACTGCTGATACTTCCACTCTCGATTTTCTGAAGGCGCATCCATTCGTGAGTAGGCACACGGTCACACAGTCACATGGTCATTCCTTCACACACACGCTGACCCGGTACTGACCCAGAGCAACTCTGCTGCTCGGTCTGTCTTGCGACGAATCAACAATAACCGTGTGGTCGACACGTGCAGCCCACACGCGTGGCCTGATTGCGCTGAGCAGCCGATTCGATGGAAGAGGTAGGTCCTGCGAGGATAAGAAACAACGGGAAGCGTCATTATTTTGTGATTCGCTGCGTGATGCGCAAGCCAAAGCCTATCCAGCTCGTCACTACATTCTTATCGTCCATCCAAGTCGTAAAATTCACCTGGTTCATAATATGTGTTTACATCTAGTCCTGATTCGCGGCCTAGATTTATCGTCATTAGAACGGAACGCATTGTTCGGGAGGGATGGAGCGGTCTCGGTTCTTTGTCTTGTTGTTCTCATTCAGCAGGCCACGTCGTGAGAGCTGCGCTTCTGTATCTTACTTTATCTGGATCAATAGCATCGGAAACCACCATCAATTTCGGTCCGAACAGTCCGTAGCTAAGTCACTGTACGGTTTTTATCTGCTGCTTCTGATTTTAGGATGACTTTGAGTTCGAAGGACCAGTTGCTTCGCGAGTCGCGCCCAGCAACGGTCAAGAAGCTGCTGGCGCCGGCCGCACGAAGAGCTCGATTGGCCGCTTGAAGGCTGGTGGTGCGGTTTCGTCGGGTTCCGATGGGGGAGGCGGGGGAGGGGATTTGGAGGAAGTTGACGGGGAGGAGGAGGAGGAGGAGGAGGAGGTGGAGGAGGTGGGGGAGGAAGAAGAGGTGGATATATATCCGATGGAGGATGAGCAGGTGGGTCTGGGTGGTTGTGTGCGTGGGGGGGCTGGTGGCGGGATTGTGGGTGTCTAGGGTTTCACTGCACGGATTTTTTTATGGTGCATGTATGGCGTCTGTTTTGTGCTGCTCCCTACCTGCTGGGTATTTATGAAACCTGATGCCTCGTGCATGGTTCATGTTACACGGTGATTTGTGCATGGTGCATGGTGTTTGGTGCATTGTGGATGGCGCATGGTGCATGATGGATGGTGCAATGGTGCGTGGTCTATGGTGCATGATCTATGGTGCATGGTGCATGATGCGTGCTGAATGATGTATGCTACATACCGTATGCTGCATGCTGCATCCCACGCACCTCTCAGGCATCAGTCCCGGCTGCCGTGGCTGCAGCACACGACCATGCCACCACCACCATACTCACTCTTCGTGCCTGGTGCGTTGAGTTTTTTCCTTCCTGTACAGTTTAGGGTTTCACGTCTACTCTCAGCTAGTGTCCGACCTTTGCTCTTCTTTCTCTTCTTCCACATCGTCCGTGCTGCATAGAATCTGACCTACCCTCTCTCACTGTTCCTCTGCCACGTGCCACCCTCTCTGCCTGTCTCTCTGCCACGTGGCAGCGTGGAGGAGAAGGATGCCACCATCAAGAAGCTGCAGGTGCGTTTTACACGCACTGCAAAAAATATCTTCAATGCAATTCTTTGCTTTCCTGACCTCAATTCTCCCAACAACCAACTGTTATCCTGATCTGAATTCTTCAGCACTCTCCAACAATAATTGCTCGTGCTGACGACTCTCCACCTGTTCCCATCCGTTACAGTCACAACTGGATGAGGCACATGCGGATCTGCACAAGTGGCGCACGGCCTTCCATCCTGCCAACATTCTTGCGCCTGAGGCTACCGCTGGTGAGCTGCCCTGCCCTTTCTTGGTTACCCTGTGGTCCAGGATAAGTGGCACACCGGCACAGCCCTCCATCCTGCCAATATTCTTGCGCCTGAGGTCACCGCTGTTGAGTTTCTCTGCCCAGCCCTGCCTTGCCTTCTCACGTGCTGCCTGTTCCCCTGCTGTCCTGCTCTTTTGCGGATCTGCACAAGTGGCGCTTGGCCTTCCACCCTGCCACCGTCCTTGCGCCTGAGACCACCGCTGGTGAGCTGCCCTGTCTTTCCCGCTCCCCTGAGTTCCGGATTTCAGTGGCCCACAGGCCACGGCACCGCCATGCCTTGAACCCTAAACCCATCTGGTGAGCTGAGCTGCCTTCTCTGCCATGCCTTCCTTGCTCCCCCTGGGGTCCGGAATAAGTGCCACGCACGCACGGCCTTTCAGCGCCTGAGACAGCGTATGTTTTTTTAGAATTCTCAAAAAACATACACGGCCTTACATTGCGCCTCAGACTTCTGCTGGTGAGCTGCCCTGTCTTCTCACGTTCTGCCAGTTCCGCTGCCATTCCTGCTCCCCTGCGGGCGTGCATAAGTGGCGCACAGGCACTGCCTTCCATCTTATCAACATTCATTGCACTTGCCTCCTTCCTCCTCCCCTCGTCTTTCTCCTGCTCATCCCCCAACAGAGCCAGCAGCGGTGGTGGCAGCGTTTGAGGCAGTGCCGGAGGCAGAGGCGCAGGCGCAGGAGAAGCTGCTGGCAGCGCGGAGGAGAAAGGCCACCTGCCCTAGCCTCCGCCCACCTGCCCTAGCCTCCACCCACCTTTTGTCATTTCCTGTCCTTCATATCTGTCGTATTGTCTCTTGCCCCCTTCCCCCTTCCCCAACAGAGCCAGCAGCGGTGGTGGCGGCGTTTGAGGCAGTGCGGGAGGCAGAGGCGCAACTGCAGGAGAAGCTTCTGGCTGCCCGGAGAAGAGAGGCAGCTATGTTGATTCGCCTGGCCGGCAGGGAGCAGGAGGTGGTTGCTGTCAAGGTGGGTGGGTGGGTGGGTGTGAGAGCGGGTGTGTGCATGTGTACATGCATGCATGTCTGCTGGTGTGGGTGTGTGTGTATGCTGATACGCCTGGCCGGCAGGGAGCAGGAGGTGGTTGCTGTCAAGGTGGGTGGGTGGGTTCATGTGTGCATGTGTGCATGTGTGCATGCGTGTATATGTGTGCATGTGCGTGCCTGCCTGCTGGCGCAGGCGCAGGAGAAGCTGCAGGCAGCGTGGAAGAGGAGGCCGCCATGCTGATACGCCTGGCAGGCAGGGAGCAGGAGGTGGTTGCTGTCAAGGAGGGTGGCTGTGCATTTTTAGACGTCTCAAATATAGTGTGCATGTCAGAGGAGGATCTAGACATAGGATGGGAGTGTGTGTTTTTATATGACAGAACGTGCTGCAGGTGGCTGGCATGAAAGGCTTTCTTCAAGCCGATACCATACTCCCTCCCTACAGCATTTAAATCTAAAGAATAGACACGCGCTGATGGGCTCCCAAAGTCTCCTGCGCTCGCTCAATGCAATCCAATCCCCTGCACTCCCTCCTGCACTTGTGCACTGCAGGAGTCACTTCTGAGAATTCTCGAATGTCTTTCCCCCGATCCCCTGCACTCCCTCCCCATGTGTGTATTGCAGGAGCAGCTGCAGCAGGTGTTGGAGAACATGCAGCCCGCCAGCACGCAGGTGGGTGGTTTAAAACAATTGCTTTCTTGGAGGAATAGGTGGGAGGGAGGCGGCTGCTAGATTGGGAAAGTAGGTGGGGGATAGCAAGCAGGTGCAGCAGGTGTTGGAGAGCATGCAGCCCGCCAGCACGCAGGTGGGTCAGAATGACTGCCCATCTTGAAGGGTGGGTGGGAAACAGCCGTGGCAGTATGAGGAGGGTGAAAACGCAGGCTCAGTCGTGACTTGCCAGCTTTTTCTCTTTCGATCCTCGTGCCAGCTTTTCCAACCGCTCTCCACGTTAACTTGTGCTTTCTGCACCGCCTCTTGTCCTTCTACTCATGCTTTGCTATGTCATGCTTCCCTCGCGCCTCTGTCCAGTTTTGAGGCGCCTCAAAACTAGTCTACTCATGCTTTGCTGTGTTATGCTTCCCTCGCGCCCCTGCCCGTGTCTCTCCCTCATTTCTCCCCCTTGATTGCCTGTTGTGCGCCAGACTCGCTCACTGCTGCTGGACGCGGCCATTCACGCCGAGTTCAAACGACTCAAGGTGAGGCATGCAGTCAAGGCAAGACGCACGAAAGGCGAGGCGCACAGAAGGTGAGACACACTTATGTTTGAGCTGGATTCGCTGCAGAAATGCAGAAATTCAGAAACGCAGAAATGCAGAAATGCAGAAATGCAGGACGACCTAGCAGAAATGCAGCTCACCTCCCCGCCTTGCCCTCTGCCGTTGCCCACCCATACTCATCTACATTCGCCCATGTGAACCTATTCAGACCCATTCAGACCGAGAGGGAGGCGCTAGAGCAGCAAGTGAGGGAACTGCAGGACGACCTAGCAGCGGCGCAGTTCACCAGTGATTTACTCACCTTCTACGTCTCTCCCTGCCCCCCTCCCCCTACCCCCACGTATACTTAATTTCACCGAACCACACCTACATGCACCCTTTCAGACGGAGAGCGTGGCTCTAGAACGGCGGGTGAGAGAGCTACAAGACGATCTGCAGCGGTGCAGTTCACGCCGCACAGCAAGAACGGCAAGATGCTCATGGCCAAGTGCCCCTTTGCACCCATTCTAACCCCTTCAGACAGAGAGCGAGGCCCTGGAGAGGCGGGTGAGAGAGCTACAGGACGACCTAGCGGCGGTGCAGTTCACGCCGCACAGCAAGAACGGCAAGATGCTCATGGCCAAGTGCCGCACTCTGCAGGAGGAGAACGAGGACATTGGCAGGGAGGCTGCTGAGGGGAAGGTGCGCCTAGGGCAGGTGTCACCTGGGGTGGTGTAGGCTATAGGTGAGGTGAGGCCTGGGACAGGTGGGGTTTGAGGCAGGTGAGGGTTTGGGGCAGGTGGGGCGTAGGGAGCGTGAGGCCTAGGGCAGGACCACCTGGTAGGAGCGGTGCAGTTCACGCCGATAGCAAGAACGGCAAGATGCTGATGGCCAAGTGCCGCACTCTGCAGGAGGAGAATGAGGACATTGGCAGGGAGGCCGCTGAGGGGAAAGTGCGACTGGGGGAGGTGGCACCTGGGGTGCTGTAGGCAAGGTAAGGTTGGACCTAGGGCAGGTGATGCTGAGGGCAGGTCACATGTTATCTGACAGTCACATCACGTGCCCCCTCCATTGCGCTTGTCTACCTGCCTCCTGCACAAGCTGGAATGCAAGCTCGGCCTGCATAAGCTGCTGCTTTACAACACGCCGTTTTCCTCTTGATGAGTCACTTTCTTTTTATCTTCTCGTTTGCCTTCCCACTCGTGCTTTGATCCATCCTGCCTGTCACGTCTGTCAGGTGCACGAGCTGGAGAACAAGCTCGCCCTGCAGAAGCAGCTCAACTCGGAGCTCAAGCGCGGCTACCAAGGTACTGCCTTCACCCTCTTTCTACCCGTTTCCCACTCTACAAGCTTGCTGCGGTTAGAATCCATCAATCCCTTAGCAATCTGGCTCTGCAGAAGCAGCTCAACTCGGAGCTCAAGCGCAGTTACCAAGGTAGCGCACTGAGGCACATTAACCCTGCAGCAGTGTAATTAGTGTCATTTAATTAGTCTAAACATAAGTGTTGTGTTCTTACTTCTTCTCTCCTTGCATCCTGCATGATCCTGTCGTATGAGGGCGGCATGAACCTCGATGTTTTTTCCTTGCGCTCTTTTCCCCTCATTGCCGTGTGTCCCATGTGTTTTGGGCAGAGCTACAGGAGTATCAATAAGGAGGCAGAGAACCCTCTTTCCGAGGCCCCAAAGATGCACTATGACTTGGTGTTTTTTCCCCCGACTGGCGCACTCCTTTTCCCCTCCTACTGCTCCGCTCCCTGGCAGAGCTACAGGAGTATGTGGATGAGATCAACGAGGAGGCGGAGAAGCCAGTGTCTGAGGCGCCTTATGACCTGCCCCTCTGCTTTTCTCTCGTAATGCTTGTCGCTGTGAGCAGAGCTACAGGAGTATGTGGATGAGATCAACGAGGAGGCGGAGAATTCTGTTTCTGAGTGTCTCAAAGCCACACTTTGACCTGCCCTCTGCCCTCTGTCCCGCCACTGTCCCACTGCCCCACTGCCGCCCTCGCGCCCTGGCAGAGCTACAGGAGTATGTGGATGAGACCAACGAGGAGGTGGAGAAGCCCCTTTCTGAGGCCCCAAATATGCACTTTGACATGCCATTTTGTCCCCCGACTGTCCCACTCCGTTTTCTCTCCCACTCGCGCCCTGGCAGAGCTACAGGAGTATGTGGATGAGATCAACGAGGAGGCGGAGAAGCTCGAGGAGACGGTGTACAAGCTGCAGAGGCAGCTGCAGCTGAGAGACGCCGAGGTCCAAGAGCTCTCACGTTTCAAGGCAGGCGTGTTGGAGGCTGAGAGATCCCAGCAGCACTTCCCCCCTCCGCACTCCCAGCAGCAGCAGCAGCAGCAGCAGCAGCAGCCGGGACAGGGCATGCAGAGGGGGGGGTCGTTGAAGCGAGAGAGGGAGCGTGAGCGGGAGCGGGACAGGCGGCAGGGGCAGCCGCAGGGGCAGGGTATGCAGGGGTCGCAGGAAGGGTCCGAGGCTGAGGATCGGGACGGGCAGGGGTTTGTGCGGGAGGGTCGGGAGCGGCATGGGTTTAGGCGGGAGTTTAGTCGGCAGCTTTCGGGGAGGCAGCACCGGGGGCATGAGGAGGAGGATGAGGAGAGGGGCTCGTATGGTGAGGAGCATCATAGGAGGATGCATCACCATTTTGGGGGGAGGGAGAGACAGAGGGAGGGGTCGATTGGGGGTGGAGGGGAGAGTGGTGCGTATGGAGGGGAGAGGAGAGATGGGAGAAGGCGGGAGGGCAAGAGGAGCTGGAGGGATCGGTCGATGGAGAGGGAGATTGAGGGGGAAGGGAGGGGGCGGCGTGCACCTTCTCTCAGTCCGTGAAATTACTAGTATGATGGCATAGTTTGGGAGTGAAATTTTATGAAAGAATGGGCTGTGAATCATCTTGTGATTCCCAACATTTACCAGTATGCGGATTTTAATATGACAAATTTAGGCTTATCAATCCTCACTAAAAAGCTCGTTGAAAATCGCGAAAATGCGTCTAAGCACGTGTTCACTGAAGCGCCAGAAGTGTCCTTTAGATCGCCTTCCTGGGGTGTCCGGACATGAAGTGGGGACAGCGAAAAGTGCATTCCGCGCGTGCAAGAGATTGGGTAGGATGATGAGGTGGAGGGGGAGCGAATCTGGACGTCGCAATTGTTCAGAGGTCCCCAATGTGCGAACACCCCTCATGATCGGACGGTTGGGCCTGACCAACTAGATTTGAGATGCGATCACAGATCGTAGATGGAGTCGTGCAGGAAATTTTGATCGCACACTGGAGAGTAGGTGAGAACGTGAAAGCAGCGTGGAAGCAACGAGAAAATCTGCCACGCTGGACCCAGATAGTTGTACTTTTGGGGGCTGTCCTGTCCCAAGTTCCCAAGTTAGCTGATGTGGGACTGAGTCATCCACCAGCAGAGCTTGCCTGTCAGAACCTTTTTCTTGGCCCTAAAACCTCTTGACGGTGCTGACAATTCGCCAACGCAGCATCGAGATCGTTTATTGGCCGTTCGTCCAACCCGCCGGGTTGGAGTGTTCACTTTCACCAACCAGCCTCGATATGGTCGTGTCAAGGCTCCGAGATTCCAGCTACGCGTGCCCAATCACTTCTCAGAAAACACCGCGCAAGCCGTTGCTAGCACCTCTTTGTCCAATCACTAGCCCCTCCTGATCAACAACCTCGATATTCTCTGATCTTTGGTTGGTCTGCTTCTTGGCGCGAGAATATCCCGAACTTTGTTTCGGTTTCATGTGTCAGCGCTCACCGAACAGAATTTGCCCTTTTTCCGCTCTGCAACAGTGTCCTATGCTTGTGTCTTCCTTCCTGTCTCTTCTCCAGCTTCTCCTCTTGACTGATGCAGCTTCACTTGTTTCTTGTAAGCAGGTCTCCCATGTATGGATAGCCTGTGAACTGAGCTCCAGTTTCAAATTCATTTCATCTTTATTCTGAGTGTCTTACCTCCCAATCTGCTGTGCAAGCTCCAGGTTAGGTTAAGGGTTAGAGTCCACTGCAAGTCCCTTCTCTCACTTGAGAAGGAGGTCGGGTAGGTTCCTAACCTGCTGCTCACGTTCTATTTTTCGGGCACGGGTTTTCCATGGCCCTCCGTGTCGTAGAATGTGGGTCCATCGCACCGCTTACCGATTACACCAAGGGATTGGGAGTGGCAGTTCACTCGAATTCCGCTATGGTCATGCACATTCCCAATTCAACAATCATCAGCAAGAAGGACGCTTGCGGCTTGCTCTTACAAGAACGGACTTGCCGATTCTCCAAAATTCGCGAATCCCAACGTCGAAACGCTACAGGTTTGCGTCGGATTGGCGTGAGGGCTTCCAATAACGAGTCAGGCGGAAAGGGCTGGTCTAGCGGCGTGTCTCGCGTGTTAAGCAGCGCGGATAAATGGTGGGAGAAACGGAAGAAGCAGCACAAGGAGCACGCAGATAGCAAACACGGGTACCAGGGTCACCACTCTCAGCACGCCAATCATTCCCATCATCTCCACCACAGATCCTCGAGCGATGAAGAATCGGACGGCGAGCATTCGTCCTGGCATTCGCATCACAGGAACCGACACGGGCATTCTGAAGATCACTCGCACCGCCATGACCGCAGCCACAGCCATGGCCACCGTAGCCATGAGGGTGAGGAGCATCACCACAGGAAGCACCATCGGCACAATGAGGAGGAGAAATCCGCAATTCACCATCAGCACCACCATCATCATAAGCACAGCAGCCATCACAGCCACGACGCGTCCCATCCGGATCATCATAAACCCCAAAAACATCATCATCAACACCAAGACCATCACAAGGATCATTATCACGAGCATCACCATGAGCACAAGCATCATAAACGGCATCAGCACGAGGCAGACAGCCCGGACCACCATCACTCGCATCATCATCACGTGCGCCACCACCATCACCCCCACGGACACCACCACAAGGGACACAAAGACCACCGGCGAAAAACAGACGCCAAACTCCCGCAAACCATTGCCGGACTCCCTCCCGGACCGCTCACAGACTTCGCCTTCTGGGTTCGCCGAACCTTCCTGTCGAAGGACGCGTTCGAGCCGCCGCAGCCGCCGCCGTACAGCATTAATCTTTCCAAGGATCAAGCCGTGCTGCTCCTTAATGTCCTCGCGTTCGGTTACGCCGCGACCGCGGTGACCGTTAAGCTCATGCAGGAGCTCCACGGGGGGGGCGGCGCGGGGGGAGAGGTCGGGGGAGCGGTAGCTGGCGCGGCGGCGGTGACTGCGGCGGGGGTGGCGGTGGGGGAGGCGATTTCGACGCCTGTGGGGGAGGTAGTGAGTGATGTGATTGGGGGAGGGTTTTTCAGCGGATTCCTGGGGGAGGGTATGTTCGAGGGTATGTTTGGTTCGGGTACCGCTGGTTATCCTCTTTTTGGGAGTCTCGATACAAGTGTAGAGTTTGCGATTCGGTTTCTGTTCGCGACGATCGGGCTGGGAGGGTTTGCGCTGGCGAGACACGTGGCAAGGATGCACCACGAGAGGACACACCAAAAGGAGGCAACCTGGGGCGAGAAGGTGCTCGGAAACTTTCGAAACTCGTGGGATGCGGCGTGGGACATGTGGGGTAACACCGGATTGAGCAACCCCATGACGTCTTTACTGGGGGAGGGCGCATCTGACGGCGGGGAGACCGACAGCAGGGGCAGCAACGGCCGGGGTAAAACAGAGGCGGAGGAAGAGAAAGGGAAGAAGAAGGGGAAGAAGAACGGGAAGAAGGACGGAGGCAAGGAGGGGCTAGTAGTGGGGGTGTGGGAGTCGATGGTGGGGGGGAGCAAGAAGGAGCGGCGGGAGCGGGCGGCGATGGTGGTGGGGGGCGTGGAGCTGGGCGTGTGGATGTTCGTGACGTATGCGGGGCAGGCCATCGGGCTCGAAACCACCTCCGCCGACGACGCTGCTCTCATCCTCACCGTCTCGGTATGAGAATCCCATGCCCACACGTCCCTCCCCAGCAAGAACGGTGGATTTTCCTCCCAGTCGTCCTTCGATGTTCCCCAATTGCCCCCCTTTTCTATGCCGCCCACCTCGCCTCCCTTTCCGGATGGCCTCACACCCCCCCCCCCTCCAACCCTCCCCCCCCCCCCCCACACACACACATATATACACACACACACACACACACACTCACACTTCTTCCTTTTTCCCAATGAACCCTTTGTTTGAATTCTCACCAATGTGACCCAGCATGCTTCAGCTCCTCCAGATTCCGCCCCATTGTTCCAGCCCTGCCACATCCCACGTTCGCTCGTAGCACAGTCTGCAGCATGGATCTGTAAGAACCCGTGCATAACCAGTGGCGTCCTGTGTTTGGCATTCACTGCTGCAATCCACTGCAGGTGGTGCTGGTTCCATTCCTGGAGGCCCTCTCAGGCACGCCCATCAACCGCAGCGTGTGGATCGCCACACTTCTCGCTTGCACCGGTACGCTCTCCACTCTCTCCACTCTTGTGAGGCTTCCGCCTTCTCCTCGTTTCATGCCTCCAGCGCCTTTCCTGTGTCTTCTCACTCACTCACACCTGTTTTGTGCTGCTGGGGTGTGTGCTCTGTTCCTTATCCTTAACCCCCCCGCCCCCTTATCCCATTGCACACCCGCACCTTTCCTCCCAATGACCGCCTGCATGCACCCACGCCCACGCCCCCTCTCATGCCCACTCCCACGCCCACACCCACGCCCACGCCCCCACTCACGCCCACGCCCTCTCAGCACCACACCCTCGACCACGCCCATGGCCACACCCTCACTCGCTCCCACATCCGTACTCACAGGCATGGTGATGCTGGAAGGCGTGGAGACCGTCACTGCTGCTGCAGTAGCAGCTACGCCCACTCCCTCACCCACACCTGTTCCCTCACGTATGCCTATTCCCTTACTTACCCCCTCGACCACACCAACAGGCATGGTGATGCTGGAAGGCGGGGAGACCATCACTGCTGTCGCAGTAGCAGCCACACCGGCTGACATCATCGCCAGCTCAGCATCAGCTTCCTCCAATGCCATCGCTGACACGGCAGCAGCAGCGCTGGCGTCGGTGCCTGTGCAATGGAGCCTACCTGTGGGCCACGTGTGGTGCCTCATTGGCGCTGTGGGCTCTGCCATCCACGTGGTGAGTGTGCCATCCACGTGGTGAGTGTGCCATGCACGTGGTGAGTGTGCCATGCACGTGGTGAGTGTGCCATCCACGTGGTGAGTGTGCCATGCACGTGGTGAGTGTGCCATTCATGTGGTGAGTGTGCCATTCATGTGGTGAGTGTGCCATTCATGTGGTGAGTGTGCCATTCACTTGGTGAGTGTGCCATTCACTTGGTGAGTGTTGCATTCATGTCATGAGTGTGCCATCCTTGACATCCTCAAGCGGACATACATTCTATCTACACACATTCTCCTACACTCCCTTCGCTCCCCTTTCCTTCCCACCAGAAGCTACCCGAGGTCCTATGAGCATCCTACAACCCGTTCGTGTTGGTCATCCTGTACTAATGTGCCATCCTTTATTCGCTATTCTCCTTCTCGCCCTTCTTTTCCCCGCTTCCCCCTCCACTGCAGGTGCGCTCCGAGGTCCTATGTGCACGCTACGACCCGCTCGTCCTTGTAATCCTGCAGCTGGGCACCACAGCAGCTATCGGCGTAGTGTGGGTGCTGCTCTCGCTGGCAGGCATCGCGCTCACAGCAGGGGGGGGTGCAGTGGCGGGGATCGACGGCAGCGGGGCAGCAGTGGCGTGGAACCAGCTGCTGGCCGTGGCTGCTGCTGCTCCTATCGGCATGGCACTGCTGGCTGGGCCGTTCGGAACAGGTAAGGGGGG